ACCTGCGAGATGGACTGATGATCTGTCCAAAGTCGCGGGACTTCGCTGGATGCAGGCCGCTTCAAACCGATCAAAGTGGAAATTCCTAGAGGAGGCCTATGTTCAGCAGTGGACGCTTACAGGCTGAAATGATGATGATGATGATGATGATGATATGATAATGTTTATGAATCTAGAAGGCCAGCAGTGACTTTTTAATGTAATCGTTAAACAGTGAATAGTGTACTTAACATTAAAGAAGGAAATGGTGGCGTTTTATTCTTGCGTTTCACTTTGGCTTAGATTGCCTTTGAAGCCAATTAATGAATTGACACGTGATTTGCAGAGCATTTCCAACTTTATTTCCTACTAGTAAAGGTGAATTGATAGACACGCGTGTTTGTAAAGTTTCTAATAATAAATATTTCAAATTCCTCATGATGTTTTCAAGACATCCAAGATTTCGATTCTTTGCATGTAAGATATCTTCTCTTTTCTCAGAAAAATAATTATTTTTTTTTATAAACCATTTTATTGAAAAATGGCTAACTATTGTATTTCTGATTTTTCTTAAGAATCTCAATCCAGATGACATTGCAAGAATTCAAGAAATCATAAATTAATTAAAAAACCGGCCAAGTATGGGTCAGACTCGCGCACTAAGGGTTCCGTACCATTATCTAGTATGTAATTGTTTTTGTATGAGCGCTCATACAACTCGGAGGACTATCTTAATTGGCGTGAACTATGTATGTATGGGGACACCCTTAAATTTTCAACTTTTATATTTTTTGGAATTTTTCCTTTATTTGTCCTGTAAGACCTTGCTTTATACCAAATTTGTGATTCTATCTCAACGGGAACTATCTTATAAGTTTTCGACCCAAAACCTATATATAACTTCCGGTTGATCTAAAATTGTCAACTTTGATTTAAAGCAAGGTAACTTAATATTGGACAAGTGGATATTTTCACTTTTCCAATATTTATTTTCCAAAATTGTTCCAGAAAACAATTACAACATAAGGCTTAACATTAGATAAAGCTGTTGTAGATATTGAAGATAAAGAAACATTTATTGGTTTTTGGGTTTATTTATTGGTAATGTTTAAAGGATTAGCGTTATATAAACGATTCCCTTACGATAGATAAAGTAATATTAATGAATTGTTGTATTTATTATTTATATTCATCATCATCCTTACATTAAAATTCTCTTTAAAAAAAAGTACCTTTAAAATAACTACAAAATCATTTCATTTCACGGTGGGAGGGCCACGCAACCGCCTCGGCTGTTGCAGGAATGGGAAGGCTCGTCCGTGTAAGTACCACGACCTCACAGAAGACCGGCGTGAAGTGGAAGTGTAATACTTTCGCGTTTCGTCTGGTGAGTGAGTTGGCCGGAGCCCAATTTTCAAAAGGCTGTCAACGCATCCGTAGCCCTCGGGTGTAGCAGATGTCCATGGGCGGCGGTATTCACTTAACATCAGCTGAACCGTCTGCTCGCTTGGCAACTTCTCACATAAAAAAACTACATAATCACCCGGAAGGAGGTCGCGGAGAGAGAAAGGAATACAACTGTCACCCTGGAAATCTGCTGAACTAGACCAGGGCGCAGGAGCCTGGCCCACGCGCGCAGCCTTCCTCCCAGATATCAAGCCACAGGGCGGCAGATGTGGGACTAACTGCTGCCCCGCAGATGGCTTGAGAGGGTTGCCATGTTCAGTGCACCGACACGGCACCATGTGCTTGGACCGGGTGTCAAAACGCCCGTAGAGAGGAAACCTGAGAAGGCAACAGTCGACCTGAGCAGGCGGGGGATGCATAAAAAAAGGTATGGTCCTTAGTGGGCTTAATTTTTTTAGTATTGAATGGTGCTATATTTTGTTCGTCACCTGCGAGATAATTAATTAAATTAATAGTTACACATAACACATGTCAATCGACAAATGAAAACCATAGTCGCGTTTATTTCAATGTTACACCACTGAAAACTTTATCAAACTGTATTCATATACATATAACATACGTTTTTTCGTTTGAATTTCAAATTCTAAGATTTTCTTACAATGAGATTTACCCAGAAGATGTTTTTAAATCAATGGTTCACTAAGATTAACACATACTAGTTGATCCGTGCGTAATTTTCCCACAGTATCGTAAGTCCGACTTCCACAGTAGCAGTCATTATGCACACATATCACAATGCTAATATAAATTTAAAACAGTATACTTCGCTATCTTTCATTATCATACATTCATTATATTCTACTTTTTATTTTCGTTGATTGCGGGAATTATAAGCTTTAAAAGTGTTTGAATCATTAAATTTCATGACGAATCAAGGATGTTTTGGCGTACCGACAAAAAACACCTTTGAATGATAATTTAAACAGAGCTTTCTGCTGCTTTATATTGCTTTCGATGTTTATAGGTATATTTTCACTACAAATAGCGCCTTAATTATAAATTATATTAGTTAAAAATGAATTGTAAAAGAGATTTCTTTTTTGGGATTCATTTTTATTTTCAGTGGTGAGATTAAAAACAAAAATGAATCTCAAAATTGTAAGAGCAATGGCGACATCTCTCGTTAAAAATGTTCATCACGAATGTTCTTTGTAAGGTGTTGTGTGCTGTAAAGAATTTGGATTTTTTTTAATTTTGAAGCAGTGTTGTTTAAGATGATTCTATCTTGCCAGATCTTCTTGAGCTTACTCATCGCATTCTTAGCCATCTGCGTTCGCTGCCAAATTTTCTGAAAAAAGGGGAAAATGTCTCGAGGTAAAGCACCAAACTGCTGATACGACCCGATCAAGGCCATACTAAAGTTGCCTATTACCACCGCTCTCTGATGGCCGAAGACAGGCAGAGTCCTGGCGGAAACTAGCCATTGGCTACTAACAGCAACAGGAACTGTCAGTAGTTAGACACGACTTTCAGAAATGAAGAGCGCGACGAAGAAAAAGAAGATAAAGAATAAATATGAAGCCACCCACAGTTGTAATTATTTTTTTACCTTCATCGTAGCGTAATCTGTAAAAGACAATTAAAATTTTTCAGAAGTCTTTATAGATTAATTAACCAACAGAAGGGTGTATGCTACTTATGGCTTTTATATAAATTGTACTATATGTAAGAGATCGAGAGTTGTTGTTGTATAATAATTATTATATTTTTACTCTGTAAGGGACACTATTACTATTTCATATTACAGTTATATTTATATGTATGTACAGAATGTAGTTAATATTATTTATACGTACAGTTATGGCATTTTTGCAACACTTGCGAATCTCGCCTAAGCAGTTAGACAAGTCGAAATTAGTAAAAGTCAAATCTCGATACGTATGCGTATATCGCCCTACGTTTAATTGCCTGTAGTCTAAAAAAATTAAGAGGAGCGAGTTTCGCCTTTGACACTCGAATCCGAGTATTGCTGAAATGCTACGAGTTTTGCGATACTTTATAATATACGCAACCTCAGGAGAGAATCGCATAGCGAGCTCTCCCATAGGATAATCGCTGACGATCTTTCGCCGCTCGCATTCGAGAAATTCTTTTTGCGTAAATGATGCTTCATTACTCGATTATTAATGTAATGCTATACGGTAGCACTTGCTGCTTGCTGCTTTCACTGGCACACGGAGTCGTCTTCAATGCCCTAGCATCCGGTCGGGTGCAAATACTGGCATCAGGAAATCGAATCCCATGACCCCAGCATTGTCCTAAGGGATGCATCATCACTCTCGGCTGTTAGGGGGTGCCTGCTGTAATTACGGGACTGGTGAGGGCCCCGCGCGATTAACACAGCACCCACAGTCGGGCTGCTGTGCAAATTGCACCGGCTGATCCAGATTTTCTAGCATTCGTGGAGCTGGGGCAGAGTGCAGAACAGGAAGATTTTAACGAGTGCTGTGCACGTGCCAGTGCAACAGGAGTTACATGGGTTTATTACTGGGTAATTTTACTTAAATGTATTAATTTTAGATTGGGGAGAACAAAACAAACCGACGGTGAAATAGCCTTCTCAAAACAGTCTAAGACTTTTGACTTTTATTATTCATTCAAGCAAGCAGTTAACCTGGTGGTAATTGGAACTCTGCACTATAAGTTGAATTACGAACAATTTTTTTTTTCTTATCAAGATGTTATTAATTATTATAAAGATCTACTAAATATTAAAAACTCAACTCTTTCTTTCCTCTTTAGTAATTTTTCTTTATCAAATTTTTTAGATGGAAAATCACCCGGCGCTAATGGAAAATTTTACTCCACTTTAAGCATTTAAACTTTCGCATTTTTTTCTATGTACTATAATGACAGCACGATCGATCCACGCATCGCTATAGACGCGTTATTTATCACAGATTACTTATGAAAAATTCAAGAAGCTTGAGCTATTATTTACAAATAAAATACGGTTTAATTTGTCCGTGTTGAGTTGGCTACAACAGTTGCCAAAACGTTTCTTGACAAAATCGAAAAAATTGGTCACTATTAAAGCCAAGACATTTGAGCGGATAGTAAAAATCCTGTTTTATAAAGTGTTATACCTTACTGTTAATAAATAATATGTATAATTAAATAATATAATAAATGTATAATTGAATAGCACAATAATTATTCCTTGCTTAGAAATTATGCAATACAATCGGAGAAAAATTGCTATCAACACTACTTTGCATGCATTAATTTAATTGATAAACAAATACACTGTGTGCGAGTTATACTTGCTCTTGGATTCACCCGTGTGCGAATGTTATCAAAAACCAAATGGAAAACAGACGCTAGTCTTCATTGATTACCTAATTGTTTGTTTTTAAAGATAAAGTTGTTGTAAATATGTCATTCCAACGTTAAAACATCCTCAGTATTGTCCGAGAGCCCGACGAAAGACGCGAGTCTATTCTATTAGCACATTAAATAACTTAGGTCAGGTTGAAAAAGCCGAAGAAAGTGCAATTTTATTACTTGAATTAAATAATAATTCTAGTTTTTACGTTTTCTGTCGTCGAAAGATGGTTTTAGAGCTTTATCCGACGGATGCGGCACGTTGGTATTTTGATGAAATTACTGCGCGTGTAGTGGCAAAGTCTGGTAACGCGGCTGACCGATTCCATCTCGGAAAAATAGTTCTGCAGTCGCTAAAAGATGCACCAGACTTCGTTTTGCAGGTGATTATTAAACACCACATATACATATAATCTTAAAACACATAATAATATGTTTTTTTATAATTTTTTTGATTATTGTATAGGATCTTTAGTTAAATACTATATGTATTAATGTTAATTTATTGTTTTATCAAGTTTTCTTTTTCTATATCACTATAAATTTAATATATATTTGTCTATTACTACAGTCGTCTGTAACGTTTGCTTTGATGTCTTAATTATTATCATGTATCATTTACATTACCTGCAAATTCATTACTTCGTTGATAGAGGTTGGTTAGGAACATTACTAGGTTGGTACATACATTGTTAGGTGTTGCAAATGTCCTTGGGCAGCTGTTATCATTTAACAACAGGTGAACCGCCAGCTCGTGTGCCACCTTCTCACATAAAAATTCGCTTAATTAATATTAATATAAACATATTTTATATTATTGTACTACAAAATTTAATATTCAGTCCTGGGTTTCAATGTAGGTCTAAAATGGCAAAAACTTATGATGTCCCGTTAATGTGTAAATATGAAATTATGAAATAAAGGAACAATTTTATTCACAGTTGCAATCTTTTATGATGTAGTGTGCCTATCTTTTGAAAACAGTTGCTTAGTAACTAACGGACTAGTAGTTTTTAATATGAGCGGTCAGCAGATACTGCAGTGTCCCGAAGTACACTTAGAACACCACCAATAGTGGTATTTTAAGTATACGTTGAAATAATTATATTATAAATGAAACTAATTTTACGGATTTATCGCGTTTATTTTTAATTTTAGTTCCCGACGTTTCGAACCCTTTACAGCGTTCATGGTCACGGGACAGACTGAGGTGTTAGACGTCTGATTGTCAAAGTTAACCCGGGCTACCGTCAGTTTAAAAATAAACGCGATAAATCCGTAAAATTAGTTTCATTTATAATGTGTAATCGCGTAAATACAAGAAATTATTAAATAATTATATTTCTTAATAATTATGTATAGGCGATGCAAATATTTATCCTGGACAGGACGCGTACTTGCACACTGCAGCTGTGAAGATTCCGCTTGAACAATGGTGCTTGTAAATTATAATAATCGAAGTTAGGTTTATTCGAGAGATTTTTATAATGCTTATCGAAGATTAATTTTGAAATTTCGTTTAAACTTTATAGAACTCAAGAACAGTAATGGCTTATTAATAACCTTATCATGACAGCTTTTTGTTCTCAATTCGAGGCTAAACCATATCCGCCATTTTGAATTTACTTGTAAAATAAGCCAAAATGATACTACTAAAATTTTCAGTTTGAGTAAGGACATTCGCAAAATAAACTGTAATTTTATGTTAAATTCTAAGAATTTGCTAGATACAATGTAAAACTTTATCATTGAAACGTTAAAAATTTATCAAACGAATGTCACAATATGTATAATGAAACAGATTTGAAATTCATTTAATTTGCATATATAATTTCTTCCCAGATCGATGGATCAACTGGAGAAAGTGAAACCTGCGGATCTGTTCTGAACCGATCAGTCTGTTGTGCTCTTTCCCTAAGGAAGTTGGGAATAGACCATGGCGTTAACATTGTAATCATGGCTCCAAATCATTTGGACCTAACTATACCGTTCTACGCAGCGATGTATCTAGGTTTAGGCCTTGGCTGTGTTGATATGACTTTGAGTATCAGTAAGTAATGTTTATATACATATAGCTGTCGCCGCTGGTTCAAGAGTACAGAAAAATAAAACATCAATTTAATTAATAGCATTAAAAAAGTGTAGTTTATTAAAAAATATATAACCATTGTTTCAGATGAACTTCGTGATCATTTTGAAAGCGAGTTGCCGAAAGCCGTATTCTGTCAAAGTGATAAAGCAGCAGACGTAGAAGCTGCGATAAAAAATGCTAATTTGGATTGTCATATCATAACCTTTGACGATGGTTGTCAATACAAAAGCCTATCTCAACTACTAGAAGGAGTTGACGAGAACACTATCAGAAACTTTGAGTACGCACATGAAATATTTGTTGTTTTTCCTAATGAGCTTGAGGAATATTCAGGATGCTTTAGAAAGTTGACAATAAAGAATATAATACGTTATGAGACTGATTGCCTGTTTCCAACTTTTAATCGACTGAAATAGGATCCAACACGCTATTAGTAAAAACAAGTTTAGGGTTAATCTTAGAGTTAAGTTAGTTGACCAAAGTACTGCGAATAGTTGCCAAATTTTTTTATTCTTTCTTTATAACACGTGAATTAGTATTGAATACGTTGCAAGGGACCTGTCTCTTTTTCAGGCCAAGTACTTTCAACACGGAAGAGACTGTGGCTTTTCTCGTGGCTACCAGTGGCACAACAGGTTTGTCCAAAGCTGCCGAGATTACTCATAAGAACATCGCCCTGGTTTCTCCACATTTTTGGTAAATATTAATAAAATATAACTAAAACTATAAAAACCAGTTTCCCAGAGTCATTTTCTTAAATCAGTAAAAAACTAGTGGTCTACACAAATAAGTTTACCTTTTATTGGACGAACTAAACCACTGTCTCATATCGTGTCTGGGTTTCCTCGCTTTTAATATTTTACGTCTAGCAATAAAAGATGCACGAATGGTGTACAGTGCCTAAGTTTATTATTTGTAGATGGCTCATACAAGATCTTGCTTCATAGTCTACTATCCCGCTCATGAATATCTAAATAAAATCTTATAAAATCATTGGAATGTTTTATTCTATAGGCTCACTTTTAGAAACTTCCCAACGCCAACTCGCCTTTGGTTCCTACCATCACCTATACAATGGTTATCAGCAGTACTCGTTTACCTTCAATCGCCTATTATGAGAATCACCAGGCTGCAATCCCCGTTGCCAATGACAGTGGAACACACATACAATCTTATTAATAAATACAAGGTAAGGATGAAGTGGATCTTGTCAGACCTGTTGGACATACTATACTCGTATAACAAGGTTATATAACATTAATTTGTCCTTAATTTTTATAAAGCAATCAAATAGCAAGTATATAAGAATCAAATAGCAAGTATATAAACAAAAGTACGATACGCAATCGCAATTTGGTATTGTTTTGCTATCACTTCTTTGGAATGAAATTGCAAAATAGCTGTGTCTGGGCGGCCGTTTTTAATTCAATGGTCTCGACCTGAGTTTATTAAATCCCGGCGTACATTAAGAAACTGGCCAAGTGCGACCTAGACTCACGCACGAAAGGTTCTGTACTGTTATCTATATATCCGGAAAAAAAAGAACCTTTTCCCTTGCATGGGAACCCCCTTAAATATTTTTTTATTTTGTTTTTTAATATTTGTTGTTATAGCGACAACAGCAATATATCATATATGAATTTCAACTGTCTAACTATCACGGTTCATGAGATACAGCCTGGTGACAGACGGACAGACAGACAGACGGCGGAGTCTTAGTAATAAGAGTCCCGTTTTACCCTTTGGGTATGGAACCCTAATTGTTAATTGCACGTGCTCAGCGGTGAATGCAAATAACTTGAACAAACCTGCATAATTTAGAAATGTAGTCTTACAATCTGCGATGGGGTTGCGTGGTAGTCTATGTCCTAAATACCCTCTGTACAGGCGAGGACTTTGCCCAGCAGTGGGACAACCTAAATATGGTTGCTACTTTTATTAGGTTGTTTTCTATAAGAGAAAAAAGATGATGTTTTACTTTATTTTATTGCGTAATCGTATATTAATGTGTAATTTTTTTACAGCCTACGGTGACTATAATGAATCCGAATATGCTTATATCTTTGTTAAAACCAAATACTCGCCACCTATGTGACTTCTCTAGCTTTGAAGTCATATTTGCAGGAGGTAGTGCAGTACCACCATCCCTAGTTGATACAATAAAGGTAATTTAATTAAATACGTTTTTAATTGATTAGAAATTTAATACGTTTAATTTAATTTTATTATTATTTTTATTTTTCGTACTCTACACTCTGTCAAAAAAATAAAAAAGACAACAGTCAAAAAAATGTTTTTGGCTGCAAGGATTCAAACTTGCTTCCTCTGAATAACGGACCTAATTACTTACCTAAGCTTAATCTGCGCTGATAAAAAAAATAACAAGAAAAATTAAAAATAAATCAATACAATTTTTTTCTTAGTATACTTAGTATACGTCATACATATACAGCGTGTCGTTACAACCGCGACAATAAATGAACACACGTCTAACGCTACTTGCCAATAATTATAATAAATTTGAACGTTAAAAGAAATACATAATTAAAAAAAAAATTTTCAAACAAACTAATAAAGTAAAAAATAAACAAAATTTGTAACAGCCTATACAACTACAACTGACTGATTCATACATTCGGAGACTTTTTCATTCGTTGCCACAGCGTCGCATTACACGCCTCTCCTTCTAACAGTATGTTTTGTCTCTTTTAAATTCATTCAACCCATTCATATGCTTTGTGACCTTTACAAATAAACTTTACGTTACAGTTTTATACGTTAGGGTGTTCTAAAATTGTTTGTTTTAGAGAATTTAATAACTCGGTAAATATTGATGTTTAAAGAATGTACATTTTTAATACAATTTTAAAAAGTTATCCTCTATATGTATGTTCATTTATTGTCGCGATTGTATATATTATAGTAAAAATAAGTGCCGTGATAGCTCAGTGTCCGGGTGCTCGTCTTTAATTCAATATACTTGAGCAATCTGAGTTCGATCCCCGGTGCCGGTCCCAATGAAGTTTTTAACTTTAAGTGCTGACTTATCACGTGCTCAGCGGTGAAGGAAAACATCGAGAGGAAACCTGCATGTTTTCGAAATAATAACAGAAAAAAAAATATTTTCAAGATATGTGAAGTCCGCCAATCCGCAGTGGGGCCGCGTGGTTAGTCCACCATCATGCCTCTGTATAGAGGAGGCCTTTGCCCAGCAGTGGGACATGTATAGGCTGCTACTTTACTTTTTTTATAGTATATAATAAATTGTTATGTATAATATAATATATACATGCAAGTATTTGTAGCATTAAGTTCGCAATTGTACAAACTTCTAGTACAGTAAAGAATTTTTCAATTCAATTTCAATTTAATTCAAAGTATGCGGTTATTATAAAGTTTAAAAAATGAATGCATTATTTTTTTTAGACCGTCATACCAAAAACTCGTTTGTATATTGCCTACGGAATGAGTGAAGTATCGGGCTTGTGTCTCATAAACACGTATATGGTGCCAAACTCATGTGGTCAGATCGTAGGATGTACCTTGATACGGGTATGTACAATTATATATGATGTTTTAAAATAATTATTATTACTTAAAATATATTTCCATTGGCTTGCAAAAAATAAAAATCTTTGATAAAGACGAAATCAATTTAACTTTTTAATGCAATGAAATTACATAAAATTGCATTAAAGTGTCGTTAATTTTTTTTAAACTTATATACATTAACATACATAACATTTTTTTCTTTTGACAACTCTAACGCTAAAATATCTAAAGATATCACCGAGACCTGATATTCATCCACCGATGGTAGTTATAAATATCTACTTTCTCAAAAAAACTACACAGGAACGGAAGTAGAAGACGAGCCGAACTGGACATTATTTTTTTTGTACTTATTTTTTTAAATGACGCAATTTTTGGTATATATTGGTTTAGAATTACGATAATTATTTTCGTTTTAGTTAGTCGATCCACACACAGGAAAAGATGTGTTAGAGATGGTCAATGCTCCTGGTGAGGTATGGTTACAAGGACCTTCGGTATTTAAAGTAAGTAAAACATATTTAGTTAATGCCGATTAATTTATCAATAATACAATGTCTGTTATCAAAAAATTAATAGTTTTATTTCAGCCGTAAAATGTCAAGGACAACATTGATAAAATAACGTGGACTTTGTTGTCTGTAAATTTTGCTTTGTTGTCTGTAAAAAATATTAAGCTAAAATTTTCGATTTCTTATTAAAATATTATTACAGGGATACAGCAATAACCCTACACTGACAAAAGAGTCGTTTTCTGAAGACGGGTGGCTCAAGTCCGGTGACATATTTTACAGAGATGCAAATTGGAACTTCTTCTTCGTTGATCGGATTAAAATGCTATTGAAATATAGGAATCATCAGGTAATTAAACTTCACATTTCATAAATATGAATAACGGATAGTGCTATCATAAATATAATTTTAAATAGTACTACTATCCTTATTGGCGCACGGTCACGGTCAGTCAGGGTAAGACTTTGACCGGTCAATGAAAATCGAGAATCTAACCAGCGTCCCAGTAGTAGAACCAGCCTAAGTTCTAAGCACGGAGTATATTGTTCCTGAAAACATTGACAACAATATAACTTTCATCATCATCATTTCAGCCTATTTGAGTCCTCTGCTGAATATAGGGCTCCCCCACACACTACCACACAGCACGATCCTGACTTCCCGCAAACTTGCACAGATACTCACTCCATCTAGTGGGGAGTCTTCCTGGGTGTCCAGTATGAGGCTGCCATCTCGAGGAACCTTTCTTTCGGTTATCGGTTCTACGAGTCCTTTGACAATAATATAACTCTCATAACTTTACATAAGACTAAAATAAGGCCTCATCTCATGCACCACTTGCACTTGAGTATTAGGATTAAATTGATGGTCGAAAAGTGATGCAATAAATGCCAATATGTAAGTTAAGAGAGTTTGTTTAAAATGTATACTATTTATCGATTCAATAAAATGAATCTAATCCATTAATACATGGACTGTAAAATACCTTTTCAAAAGAGTCCAAAATTTAATATAAAATCCCACTCGCCCACCCTTCTACTAGTTTTCGATCCGTTGTGTCAAATCATAGCATTGAAATAATTTTCAAATAATCACCAGATATCCCCTGTGGAAATAGAAGAGGTAATTCGCCGACACCCGGGCGTATATGAAGTTGGCGTGACGGGCGTACCACACCCGGACGACGGAGAGTTACCCGTCGCTTGTATAGTGAAACAAACTGATTGCGACGTGAAAGCAAAAGAAATTGAAGATCTCGTTTCAGGTAAAACGCAAAACCGTCAAGTGCCGGTTCTAAATAAACGAACTTACCTCACTCACCAGACGCGAAAGTATAATACTTCAACTTCACGCCGGTACAGACGGAGAGACAAACAGACAGACAGAAAAGTCTTAGCAATAATATTTTCGTTTTATCCTTTGGGTACGGAATCCTAAAAATATGTACTCAACTGTTTTCTTTTCATTTATACAAATTCATTACAGATAAACGTATAGTACCTGGAGGCCGCGTAATAATAGTACGTCGCGTAATAATAGTACGCAGAGGTTCAGGCTACGCGCCTCGTGCGCCTGGCCACCTCAAGTCCGTCGGATCTGTAAAGGCCCCTAAGGCCAACAGTGGCTCATCCAGCCCAAAAAAAAAATAATAACCTGGAGGACCGGTTTTTTTTACGGTAAATCATGTAAAATACATATAGAAATAAAAAAATAAAAAATAAAAAATAAAGAAAGCAATGATCCGGTACGATCGTGATACGAACCGCGGCCGTCTGTTTTGGGGCCGCCCGATTACCGACCGAGCTATTATAACATTTTATTTTGAGGCGAAATTTACCGTCATACTCGAATGATCATGTATTCCATAAAGATATCGGAGTCAATAACCCTAATGATTGTTATAGATCAATGGTTGATTTTCTCATAACTTCCTATAATCATATTTTTAAACCCCGCACAATTGTTAAAAATCAAAATTAAAATTTAGTGATTGGGCAACAGTGGGTATATATAAAAGTAGGGATTCACTGTATGAATTATATAACATGAGGCAGTGGAATCACGACCCTAATTTCCATAAACGGGTACAAAATTTTTCAAAAATATTTAAAAAAGTCTGTATACATGCAAAATCTATCTACATAAGAAATAGGATTTTAAATTCTAGTAATAAAATAAAAGCTACATGGGACATCATTACCTGTATATCTGGAAGACCCAAGATATTCAGGGAACCTATAAAGCTAGTGATAGGCAATACACCCATAACTTCAGATAACGAAATTGCAAGTAGTTTTGAAAGTTATTTTCAGAAATTGCAATTAATGTTACATGCACGTTAAAATCCTCTCCCATTGATGCAATTAATGTATTAAAAAATAATGTTACCTATTGTCGACAAACGTTTAAATTTAATCACATAGATACTAATGATATTATAAAAGTTTTGAATTCTATTAATCTTAAAAATACAGGAGATTTGTGGGGCATGTCCATAAAATTAATGAGTACAATAATGCCGTATATTGCACCATATTTGGCAAATATTTTTAACAAATGTATAGATTCTGGAATATTTCCAGATCTTATGAAATTCAGTAAGATAATCCCCGTTTTCAAAAGTGGGGATAAAAATGATCCAGGAAATTACAGACCTATCTCCATATTGCCATCTCTGAGTAAAATTTTTGAAAAACTAATTTTAAATCAACTCTTAGTACATTTTAATATGAACAAAATTTTCCACAATGAGCAATATGGATTCACTAAAGGCAGATCGACAACGGATGCGGGTGTCGCACTTGTCAAGCATATTTATAACGCCTGGGAAAGGTCACAAGATGCAATAGGTGTCTTTTGCGACCTTTCAAAGGCTTTCGACTGTGTAGACCACGAAACCCTCCTTCAAAAGTTAGATTATTATGGCATTCGTGACATCGCCCTCAATCTCATTGCCTCTTACCTTAATAATAGAATTCAAAAAGTATCTATAAATGATGTAAATTCCACAGGGTCCCCCATGAAAATGGGTGTCCCACAAGGATCAATCTTGGGTCCATTATTATTCTTAGTGTATATAAATGATCTCCCCTTTTATGCCAGTGAGTTATGTGATATTGTACTGTTTGCTGACGACACATCGCTCATTTTTAAGGTTGACCGAAACGTGTCGGATTATGACGACGTGAATAGTGCACTTTCGCGTATCCTCCACTGGTTTACCGTTAATAATATGGTGTTAAATGCTAAAAAAACTAAATGCCTTCTTTTTACCCTTCCCAGCGTAAGAAGGCGAAGTTTTAGCTTAACATTAAATAGCGTAACCCTTAATCCTGTTGAGTCCGCTGTATTCTTGGGAATTACAGTGGATTCAAAGCTCCAATGGAGTCCCCATCTATCATCTCTTGCGAACAGGTTAAGCTCCGCTGTTTTTGCAGTTAGGAAGGTTAGGCAGCTATCAGACATCGACACTGCCAGACTTGTTTATTTCAGTTATTTCCACAGCATCTTGTCTTACGGCATTTTGTTGTGGGGTAGTGCATCTGATATAAATTCTATATTTATTCTTCAAAAAAGAGCTGTCCGAGCAATATATAACATCGGAGCCCGGAATACACTCAGAGACCTTTTTAAAGAGATTAATATACTCACTGTTGCGTCTCAATATATTTATTGTAACATTTTGTATGTTAAAAATAATATTAATAGTTATCTAAAGAATAGTGACAGACATAAACTAAATACTAGAAATAAGGACAAACTAACTACGCCATTGTTTCGTTTACAAAAAGTAAACAGGTCGTTCATGGGGCAAGGTGTGCGCATGTATAATAAAATCCCACAGTCGATATTAAGTCTGCCACTTGATGAATTTAAACGAAAAATTAAAAGTAAACTTATGGCTAAAGCCTATTATTCTATTGCTGAATATCTTGACGACGCCAATGTGTGGGGTTAATACTGTTGATACTCACGTAGGCTAAAACAAGACTATTGTACATGTACTATTATATTGTAAACTGATTTTTTTTTAAAAGAGCAACTGTTGAGTTTCTTGCCGGTTTCTTCTCAACAGAAACTGCTTTCCGAACCGGTGGTAACTTACGAACGTGTTCATTTCTTGTAAAATTTTGACGTTTCATAAGAACGCGCAAGCGTCTATGTGAATAAAGATATTTTTATTTATTTATTTATATATATACATATACAAGAATTGCTCGTTTAAAGGATAAGATTAATAGTAACAGAAAACTTATTTACAGGGTCCTTGACAGATTCCAAGCGACTGCGTGGTGGTGTAATTTTTATGAACGAACTTCCATACACAGCAACATCCAAAATTAATAGAACCAAATTGAAGAAAATTGCATGTGAGCATATATTAAACAACAAGCCCCATACTACTTTCTAGTATATAATTGTCACCCGTCTCATACACAGTTCAAAATAAAATATGTCAAAAATAATTTGATTTTATTTTATTGATATTTATTTCACTCTTTATTTTCATTTTCCTCATTCCTTTTTATATAGACATATCGTAGTGTCACTGGCGTTCAAATATGTACCATCATCCTCCTGCCCTTATCTTACCTAGGTGGGGTCGGCACAACATGTAAATCACGTTGTTGTCCGGATATATTTCTTCACCGGTCCAATTAAGACGTTATGTGGGCAACGTTACTTTGATTGCTAAATTGTAGGCCAGCCCGAAACGAACGAGACTCTCCTATGTTATATATGTGCGGCAACTCTGGCAACACCCCCTCCCCCTTATGATTGAAGTCCAAGATATGCGGCCCCGGGACTCCGGCAGCCCTGATATTCCCATTCCGGTATCCAATCATGGTAAAGGAGGGCAAGGGGTGCTAAGAACCTTTTTTCTTATTCGTGGGAAAAATCCTTTATGAATCCCCTGCCACTTCCTCCATCCAGTGGGATTTGGGAGTGTGGGTATGTGGGAGTACCCGTAAAAAACGAGTACCCACTAAAAAACCCACGTTGCACCTGTCACTGTCGTGTCAGGGACATGGGAAAACGTGGACGAAATCTTCCGCAACCCTGGCGCGACTATGACCTTTTAGGCCTTCTCTACATGGTGATGTGCCGGTGCAATTGGCACAGCACACGTCACGAGCCCCATATTGAGCGACAGACACCCCCATGCCTCTATTCATTGAAGTTTCACTATCCCATTCCAAAATTCTTCTTGGCGTCTGTTATAGCCCAAATTGACTATTTCACTTCCTTTGAAGGTTTATTAGAAAACTTTACTCCGTTATATAGTCTCACCATTATCATGAGTGACTTTAACACCTGTCTACTCAAAGGGGACAATCGGTCTAAGAAGTTACAATCGGTTATTGACGCGTGTAATCTACACTTATTACCTCTCTCGGCAACGCATCATCTACGCGATTGTACCCCTTCATTACTTGATATTGTTATTGTATCAGCAACTGACTTTGTCCACAACCATGGCCAACTTGCGGCGGATATTTTCTCTCATCACGACCTCTTATTCCTTTCATACAAAGTTCGTCCCCCCAAAGCAAAATCGAGATATCTTCTGCAACGTAATTTTGGTGGAATGGACAAAGAACGCCTCATTGAAGATGCTCGTCTTGTGGAGTGGTCTGCGATTGCAAAATCTACATGGAAGTAGAATTACTTAACTCCTTTCTTGTACAACTTTACGATATTCATGCTCCGGTTAAACCTGTAAAAATGAAACACCTACCTGCGCCTTGGTTAACCGATGATCTTAAAAAACTTATCAGGAAAAAAGGTTACGCAAAAAGTAAGCTTAAGGCGGATAAATCTGATAAAAATCTACAAAACTATAATAAAGTACAGAATCGCTGCAATACATTGTGTAGAGATGCACAACGACGCCACATTCACAAATCTGTCGAAAACGGCGACACTGTCAAAGTTTCGAAATTTCTTAAATCTCTGGGAGTTGGTAAATTACACTCTAGCTCTCTTCATAATAATATTGATATTGAAACTCCTTAACCAACATTTTACCTCTTCCAGTACAATTGATAGATCAGATAAAGATATCACGTTGAGCATTCTTTCTAAAATGCCAACTCCTGATTTCCCACCGTTTAATTTCACTCCTTTCACTGAGTGTGATGTTAGAAGGAACATATTGTCGGTCTCGTCGAATGCCGTGGGGAATGACAGCGTTAGTCGTAACATGATCCTACCTATCCTTGACCTAGTTACTCCTGTTATCACCCATATCCTTAATGAATCTATCACCACAGCTAAATTTCCTGAAGCATGGAAAAGTGCATTAGTAACTCCTCTTCCTAAAAAGGTCATGCCGTGCACTTTACCGATTTCCGCCCTATCTCCATTCTCCCTTTTCTATCTAAAGTCCTAGAGAAACTCATTTTCCACCAATTAAATCTCCATCTGAATAGAAACTGCCTTCTAAATCCATTTCAATCCGGTTTCCGGTCAGGACATAATACAACTACAGCGCTAGTTAAAATTACTGACGATATTCGACGAGGTATGGACAATAAACAGCTCACAGTATTGGTACTATTGGATTTTAGTAATGCATTTAATTCTGTTGATCATGACATTCTGCTGAGTCTGTTACGTTCTGCTAACATATCTCCACCAGTGGCCGGCTGGTTTCAGAGTGATGACAGTTAGTGGCCGACAGCAGCGTATTCGCATTGATGGTATGTTTTCATCCTGGCGTGAATTACGAGCTGGAGTGCCTCATGGTGGTGTGTTGTCTCCATTACTCTTTGCTATCTTTATTAATTCAATCTCTCACAAAATTACTTCTCTCTACCATATGTATGCAGACGATTTTCAACTGTACACACATTCAAGTCTTGAAAACTTGCCCACTGCTGTTACTGCCATTAATGGTGACCTGGCGGCTATTAGCGAGTGGAGTAAGAGCTATGGTCTTAAGATTAATCCTTGCAAGTCCCAGGCCATCATTGTTGGCGGAGCTGGCATGATTTCAAGGGTAGATTGAGATAAGCTTCCCTCGATAACATTAAATGGTGTTGTGGTGCCATACAGCAAAACTGTTAAAAACCTTGGTGTTCACTTCGACTCTACTTTCTCGTGGTCTCACCAGTTAAAGGAAGTTAGCAGGAAAACATTTGCAGCCATGGGTTCTCTGCGGCGTTTACGTTCTTTTCTCCTCATTCCTACTAAGATTATGTTAGCACAAATCCTTACTTCTTTCCATTCTCGATTATGCGGACGCAAGCTATCTTGATTTAACCGAAGACCAACTTAATAAGCTTGAGCAAATTCAAAACTTAGCTATCAGATTTATTTTCGGTCTACGCAAGTATGACCATGTCTCCGAATATCGTACAAAGCTCAAGTGGTTACCCATCCGCCTTCGCCGGAATCTAATCATATTGTTTCTCTTCTGTACTGTGTTTTGTTCAATCCTATGACTCCGAGTTATTTGAAGGAGCAGTTTAAATTTCTTGGTCATGACAGACCAGAAAGAGTTCTGCGATCAGCCAGAGAACTTATTATCACCCCGCATACTTTCCGGACCAACTATTTTAAGAACTCTTTAAGGTCAAAGCCATTTTGCCTATGGAACACGCTTCCTCCACAAATCCAGCGCTCAAAAACGTTACGTTAGTTTAAAACTGACGTTAAAAATTATTATCTGTCACTGTGCTCAAGCTAATTATCACCGACGACATTTGTATATTTATTTATTTATTTATTCCTTCCTGTATATATTTTTGAAAGTTATTGTATAGTATATGTTTAGATTTATGTATGTCTATTGTATCTTATTTAGTATATTATTATTATACAAAAATACAATTTATTATTACAATTTATTATTATACAGTTATTTAAATGTTACTATGTAAGTTTATCATTTACACCACCTACCGCTGTCCAAACTAAAATATTTTTAACCACAAGGTTGTCTGGAAGAGATCGCTCCTTAGCGATAAGACCGCCTTATTGTTTATAACTCTTAAGTTTATAGTTCTGTAACATCTCCTTTTATGTTTTTTGGTGTTCAATAAAGTATATATATTAATGTTCCTACGAGCAATATGGCCGGCTCATTTTCACTTCAGCCGACTAATCTTCTGAGCTATGTCGATTTTCTTTGTTCTACTGCGTGTCAGTGTAACATTTTACATTTTATGAAAAAACTACTTTAACATTTTATGAAAAAACTACTTTAACATTTTATGAAAAAAAAGCCAATGTCGCATACATTGGCTTTTTTAGATAAACATAGTCACGGAGAAAATTTATACTAAACAATACACATGCATAGTGTGTAACAGACGCTGGAGTTTTTATCAATTAAGCCAGTGAATAAATTTATGTTATTTTAGATAAAGTTTCCGGAATTAGAGGTCTATCGTTGAAAACATCGTCAGATTTGCGCGACTGCCTGACGAAGGTGCCGGATTAATACCTTATTTTATATTTAATATGAAATTATTTTATTAGTCTATTACAATTACGAACAAGTTTAGAAAGTAGAAAGTGTAATTCTGTCACTTAAATTACGTAAACACGCTGTATTTTTTACGTTTTCTATCGCTGAAAAATGGTTTTAAATCTTTATCCGACTGATGTGGCCCGTTGGTACTTTGATGAAATTACAGCGCGTGTAGTGGCAAAATCTGGAAATGCAGCTGATCGGTTCCATCTCGGAAAATTAATTCTGCAGGCACTAAAAGATACACCAGACTTCGTTTTGCAGGTGATCATTTAAAAAGCAAATGTGCAATTATAATCTTGTATTAACGCGATTACACATTACTAAATTAAACATTTTTATCGGGTTTTTTTTTCTTATTAATTAATTATAAAAACTGGCGGTAGACCGGGCTAACAATTCTGTTAAGTCTGCCTGCCTCGTGACCATGAACGTTGTACAGATTTCGAAACATCGCTGATTAAAATTAAAAACATACGCGATAAATCCGTAAAACAGTTTCATTCAGTACCCAAATATGTATTTTATCTTAACAAAAATTATTACCTTCTTGATATTTTTCGTTAAGAACGATTGTTTGTTAAATACTCGTAGAACATGCATTAATCTTTATATTTATAATTTAAAACATTAATATTTATAATTTCTTATAGCATTTCGTTAAAAATCATACACCGCGCCATGGATTCATGAAAGTTATCTTTTATTGTCAAACAATCGCTTTAATCGCGTTTCAAGCAAATCTTATAAATACAAATTATATTTAGATTCGTAAATTGTAATCGCTCTTACGGCAAATATCTATGCTTAATACTTACTTTACTCGGTCCTACGTCTCGGTAGCTACAAGATAATCTTATTTTCTATATTTTTTCCCTAAAACTAAATTTAATTTAAAATTAATAAACAAAGTTCATTTTAAGAGTTTTATACGAAAAACTAAAATATTTTGCTCGTGTTGATCCGGCAAAAAAAATAACGAATGGCACTAAAAATTAAAAAAAATCAATAGCAAAGGTGACCTCTCTAGTTGTCAAATATGATTGTAAAAATGTCATTTGAGAAAGTGTGTTTGCGAAAAAAAGGGAAACGCCATCTAAGTTTGTTTTTATTGCATTATAGCATATGTCGATTAGACATCGAAATTTTCCCCGCTTTTCGACCGCTTAGCTTAGTAAGTAAAGCGTTCAGGCGCTTAGGCGTAGGTTCGAATCCTGATTTTTTATTTTTTTAAGGCATAAAAACAAATGTACATAAATTGATAATAAACGTTAACATATTATACATCAACGCATTTAAGTATATGTACATTCAACACCGTATACCCAAAGTTATGTTTAGCTATAGTAATGGTAGCGAGATAAATTTATACTTGTTATTTTAATATTTATTGTATATTTAAGTAATTAGTAAATTTTTTTTACACTTTATCATTCAAACGTCGATATTTTATCAGAAGAATATCACATATATAATGAAAAGATTGCTCGTTATGGTACTTCATAAAAATTTCTTCCCAGATCGATGGATCAACTGGGGAAAGTGAAACCTGTGGATCTGTCCTGCACAGATCAGTTTTTTGTGCCATTGCCCTAAGAAAGTTGGGAATAGACCATGGCGTTAACATTGTAATCATGGCCCCAAACCATTTGGATCTAACTATACCGTTTTATGCAGCCATGTATCTAGGTTTGGGCCTTGGCTGTGTCGATATGACTTTGAGTATCAGTAAGTAAAGTATATCTCATACATATAGCTATCACCATAGGTTCAAGACTAAAGAAGCATAAAAATTCATTATTGTCATTAAATAAAACGTAGTTTATTAAAAAATAAATATACATCTATTGTTTTAGATGAACTTCGTGATCATTTTGAAAGCGAGTTGCCGAAAGTCGTATTCTGCCAAAGTGATAAAGCACCAGACGTAGAAGCTGCGATAAAAAATGCTAATTTGGATTGTCATATTATAACCTTTGACGATGGTTGTCAATACAAAAGCCTATCTCAACTGCTACAAGGAGTTGACGAGAACTCTATCAGAAGTTTTGAGTACGCATATGAACTATTTGACGTTTTTCCAAATAAGCTTGAACAATATTCAGGATGCTTTATGCGCAGAAAGTTGACAATAAAGAATATAACACGTTTGGAGATTGATTGCCTGTTTCCAACTTTTAATCGACTGAAATCGACCCGATACGCTATTAGTAAAAACAAGTTTAGGGTTAATCTTGGAGTTAAGTTAGTTGTGCCTTTGGTCACCTAACTGTATTTTACTCCCAATATTTTCTGCTAAATATTACTTCCCCTTTCTTTATAACACGTGAATTTATGTTGAATACGTTGCCAAGCGCCCGTCTCTTTTTCAGGCCAAGTGCTTTCAACACGGAAGAGACAGTGGCTTTTCTCGTGGCGACCAGTGGCACCACAGGTTTGTCCAAAGCTGCCGAGATTACTCATAAGAACATCGCTCTGGTTTCTCCACATTTGTGGTAAATATTAATAAAATATAACTAAAACCAGTTTCCCCCGAGTTATTTTCAGTCAGTAAAGAAGTGGTCTACATAAATAAGTTTACCTTTTATTGAATAAACTAAAAACCTATATATTTATGTATGGGTTTTTCCTAACATTCTACCTTTGACGTCTAGCAACAAAAGTTGCAGGAATCGCCAGGATGCAGTTTATTATTTATACATGGCTCATACAAGAACTTACTTCATAATCTACTATTCTGCTTATGAATATTTTAGGCTCACTTTTGGGAATTTCCCAACGCCAACTCGCCTTTGGTTCCTACCATCACCTATACAATGGTTATCAGCAGTACTTGTTTACCTTCAATCGCCTATTATGAGAATCACCAGGCTGCAATCCCCGTTGCCTATGACGGTGGAACACACATACAATCTTATTAATAAGTACAAGGTAAGGATATAGAGGGTTTTATTAGAGCTGTTACACATAATGTATAACAAGATTACTATACAATTTCAATTTGTACTTAATTTTAATAACAAACAAATAGCAAGTAATGTATATCCAAAATAGCGTGCTTGTGATAAAGTACGATACGTAATCGCAATTTGGTATTATTTGCTAACTCTTTTTTAAATGACATTGCAAAAATAGTCCGGGCTCTCGCTTTGAATTCAATGTCGAGTGCATTTAATACTGACACAACAACCTGAGTTAAAATTCCAGCTCGAACATTCATAACATTGTTAATTGCACGTGCTTAGGATGAAAGAAAACATGGCGAAGAAACCTGCATATTTTCGAAATAGATAGTAATAAAAAGATTCGATCGTGTGAGTAGTCTCCCAATCCGCGGTGGGGTTGCGTGGTAGACTATGTCCTAATACCCTCTGTACAGGGGGAGGTCTTAGTCCCACTGCTGCATATTCAGGTTATTACTTTTATTTATATTTTACGTTTATTTTTTTTACTTTTTTATATTTATTTATATTTATTTAAGAGAACGAAGAAGATTGTTACTTTATTCTATTTTATTGCAGCCTACCTTGACTATAATGAATCCGAATATGCTTATATCTTTGTTAAAACCAAACACTCGCCATCTATGTGACTTCTCTAGCTTTGAAGTCATATTTGCTGGAGGCAGTGCAGTACCACCATCACTAGTTGATACAATAAAGGTAGTTAAACAAGTCAAAATTAAAAACGTTTCATTTCTCAGTACTTTCTCTTCATGAAACTTAAAATGTGAGTTATTTGTAGATAAACAGTCAAAGAAATGTTCTACGCTGCAAGCTTTCAAACCTGCTTTTTCTGAATAACCTACCTACAATAAATGCTTTAGTGGATTGATCTAAATCTAAGGTCATACAAACAAAAAAAATAACAAATTCAACTTAATATTTTCTTAGCAAACATCAAGAATGCATTATATTTTCCAGACCGTCACACCAAACACTCGTTTGTATATTGCATACGGAATGAGCGAAGTATCGGGTGTATGTCTCATGAACACGAATATGGTACCGAACTCATGTGGTCAGATCGTAGGATGTACCTTAATACGGGTAAGTAAAATTGATAATAATCCGTTATTGTTTAGATAGATATTTCCATTGTCTTGCAAAAAGTCAAAATCTTTGATAAAGACAATTATACTTTTTGCATTTAAGTATAAAAAATATTGCCGGAACCGCTTATAACATGGTTCACATGTTCTGGGGACTTCACCAAGTGAGTTAAGGGCAGGAAGAGGATTATGATGATGATTATTTATATACATTTATTAACATACAATAAGATTTTTTTTCTCCTTGTGACTAACGCTAAAATAGCTAAACACCAAGACCCGATGTTCGTCCGCCGATAGTAGTTATAAATGTTACTTTATTAATGACGCAATCATCATCATCATCATCATTTCAGCCTGTTTGAGTCCACTGCTGAACATAGGCCTCCCCCATAGACTGCCACGAAGTACGATCCTGAGCCACCTGCATCGCAATATTTTGTATTTATTTCCTATATTATAACTTCTTATAGGTTTACAATTAAACGATACTTATTTGCGTTTCAGTTAGTCGATCCACAAACAGGAAAAGATGTGCTAGAGATTGCCAATGCGCCTGGTGAGGTGTGGTTAAAAGGACCTTCGGTATTTAAAGTAAGCATATTTAGCTAATGCCGATTAATCTATCAATAACACCATGTCTATTATCAAAAAAATATATAAAACATACGATAATATGTTTTATATAAGCCGTAAAATCTCAAAGATAACATTGATAAATAACGTGGACTTTGATGTCGGTAAATTTTCCATTGTAAAAACATGAAGCTAAAATGTTCGATTCGTTATTAAAATTTATTACAGGGATACAGCAATAACCCTGAACTGACAAAAGAGTCGTTTTCTGAAGACGGCTGGCTTAAGTCCGGTGACATATTTTACAGAGATGCAAATTGGAACTTCTTCTTCGTTGATCGGATGAAAATGCTACTGAAATATAGGAATCATCAGGTAATTAAGATTTACATTCCATATTTAAATTGTTCTATTACGAATATAATTTTAAACAGTACTACTCTACTTATTGGTCAGGTTAAGACTGACCGGAGGAATGAAAGTCGAAGTTCTAAATAGCGTACCAGTAATAGAACCAGCCTAAGTTCTAAGCACAGAGGATACTGAAAAAGAATGATTTGACAACAATATATCTGTATAAAATTAAATATATATAAAATAACCAATATAAAATAAAACCTCACCTCGTACACCACTTGCTACTTAAGGGTTAAATTGATGATTTGAAATTAATGTAGTAAATACTAGTATCTAAGTTAAGAGAATTTGTTAAAAATTAATACTGTTGAGCCATTCAATAAAATTAATAGGATATAAAATAAACCGATCCAATAAAGGAATCAAATCTATTAAAAAATACTAAATTCAAGATAAATAAAATTCACTCGCCAAAAAGTCTAAGCTTTCGTTTTCGATAGAGAATTTCAAGTAAGCCAGTTTTTAGATATGCTATCTATCACTATCCTGGACATCATGCGGCCTATCTGGCTGGCGGTAGAGGTTGCGTTCATCATTGCGCATCGTACATTGTACTCTTCCAACATGCCCAATCACTTTTCACTTGATTGGATCGGTGTGGCTGAAGGTTGAACCATTGAATTATTGTTTGGCAAATTAATTTTGGGTTTTTAGATTTTTTTTTTAGTTTTTAAATCTCAGCGGTACTAAAATAAACTGTTTTTCTCTAATTCATAATTAGCGTTTGGCGCAGTTTAAACAATAATAAAATATCTGACAATAATATATTCATGTTGCAAAGAGTTAAATTAAACTAGTGAAAATGAATAAACTTTAAAATTATTTGATAAATTGATATTTTACCTGTTCAGGTACGATGCGTCTATTCCTTTTGAATCTGTCGTGCTAAAACTTAGCAATGAAATAATTTCTAATATAATATCACCAGATATCTCCTTTGGAAATAGAAGAGGTAATTCGCCGGCACCCGGGCGTTTTTGAAGTTGGCGTTACGGGCGTACCACACCCGGATGACGGAGAGTTACCCATCGCTTGTATAGTGAAACAAACGGATTGCGAAGTGACAGCAAAAGAAATTCAAGATCTCGTTTCAGGTAAAACGCTGCACCGTCAAATGTCGGTTCTAAATAAAGTAAATTAGAAAAATCCCTTAAAAATTAGCCCGTACCCCGTTTACCTCACTCACCAGAAGGAACGCGAAAGTATAATACTTCCACTTCACACCAGTTCTACCGCTAACAAGCCATAGTTAAACATTGTAGGTACATCTATTTTTTTCTTAAAAAAACTGTGCCCTCACTTTAGGATAACATTATCCTGTGTCGTAAGGACGTTTTATAAACATAAATTGCACGAGGAAAAACACCCATATGCGAAACAACTATATGTGGGTCGCACAAACTGAGTACCGTGTGGGAATCGAACCCACGACCCTCGACACCGAAGCCAATACCTTAGCAACTGCGCCACGGAGTCATCGAAATCAATCGATCTGAGACCTTACATATACTAATATTGATTATCAATACGTATATTAACCGTCATATAGAGTATCACTAGAGTATACCTTTTTCGTTTGTTCAGTAGTTCAGTTCGATAGTTTTTTTTTGTTTTATCGGGAAATGTTGATGAGCTTATAAAAATTAGATTACGTTCTATTTTTACTTACTTTTAATGTAGCCCTGAACTGTATCTGATTATTAATACGTATGACAGTTAATATACTACTAAAAAGATATACTCTAGATAAAGAAAAAATATATACTAAACAGTTTTCTCTTCATTTACATAATTAGATTACACGTGAAATAAATGTATAAATTAATAGTAACAGAAAATTTATTTGTAGGGTCCTTGACAGATTCCAAGCAGCTTCGCGGTGGTGTGATTTTTATGAACGAACTTCCGTACACAGCTACATCCAAAATTAACAGAGCCAAATTGAAGAAAATTGCTTGTGAACATGTTAAACAGCAAGCCCGATAATACTCTCGCATATATAATTATTATCACCCATCTCTCCTCTTACAAAGTTTAAAATAAAATATGCCAATAATAACTTCGGTAATTGTTATTTATTTCGGACTTTAATAACATTTTCCTCATTCATGTTTATTTATAGACATATCGTAGTGTCACTACTACTCCGTGTTCAAATATTTATGTCAGCGATGCGCCATAGCGACGCTCAGAGTCCATCACAATGAAATAGCGACTAACTGAATATAAAGTACATTATTTTCGCACAAATGTTAGTATATATTTAGCGCTTTTATAGTTCCCTTACAATACATAAAGCAGAAAATACAACTTCTTTTAAAACAAACAAATAAAATTAGCTAGTTACTACAAATACAGCTTAATAATAAATATTAGGTTTGAGTTGATATTAGGTTTAGAAATGAGCGTTTTGTCGTACTGAACACTTTGATAACACTTTTCTAAAATCTCGCCAAACGATTACGGCAGATATCTATTGTTAGCAACTGCAAAGCATAAAGGAAGAACTAGCTGCTAAACAACCGAGATTGGTCTATCGCTCTAGGCCAGTGCTACTTCACGACAACGCTAACGCAAGACCACATGCTAAACAACAAACAACCACTAAGTTAGATGAGCTACAATTGGGATGTCTGCGAAATCCACCGTACTCCCCGGACCTTGCCCCAACAGCCAAGATGGAAGCAACTTCCTTGCTTACATCCATAGCGTATATAATTTATCCCTAATCACGATTCAGAACTTTCCTATTCAGAGGAGGCAAGTATATCTTGGCTGTCTATCTGCTCCAACAAAAATATCCCACTGGAAGTAAACCTACAAAAACATTGGGATGTTCCTTTGGTGCGGAGAGAACAGAGAGATATGTTTCAATCTTTAAAAAGTTATTAAGAGCGTGCCCGTTTCCTAGGCGTCTCATCAAGTAACTAGGGCACTTTACTTGACGATGAAAGCTTATGCATTGCTGTAGGAATCCGTCTGGGGAGCAGTGATTTTTCAACCACATCAATGCCCTTGTGGTGTCAGTGTAGATAAATTTGGTCTCCACGGGCTTTCTTGTCAAAAAAGTGCTGGCCGTTTTTCCCGTCACGTTTCCCTGAACGACATCATCCATAGGGCTCTTATTTCCAACAATGTTCCATCTATTTTAGAGCCCTGTGGCATTTTTCGCGACGGTGGTAAGATAATCGACGGTTTAACATTGATCCCTTGGGAAAGAGCCAAAGCCCTTGTTTGGGACGCCACTGGTGTAGACACTTTGGCTGCCTCTCATCTAAGGGGCACTTCGGTCAGGGCCGAGGCGGCATCGGAGGCAGCTGAAGTAAGTAAATGGCGCAAATATGAGTATTTATGTTTAGATTATGTATTTGTGCCATTTGCTGTTGAAACTTTAGGTCCGTGGGGTCCCCGCACATCAAGTTTTTTTAAATATTTATGTCCTAGGCTTAACGCCGCGGCTGGTGACAACAGAGCTGGGTCTTTTCTTGCTCAAAGGTTAGGCATAACTATTCAGCGAGGAAATGCAGCTAGCGTTCTTGGCACCATGCCACGTGGATTAGGTTTATTAGATAATATGTTATTTTAGATTTAATCTTGTAAACATTAGATCAATAAAGTTTGTATAAGGAATTATATTATGCTTTATAATACTTACGTCAAAACTCTATCTCCAGTAACCAAATCTATCTTTAGGTATGTTACACGAAATCAAATTCAATTCTAATTCAAATATCTTTATTCAATATAGAAGCATTGCACTTACTGATTGTCAAAACGCTACCACCTGGTTCGGAAAAGAAAAACCACTGACCTCAGTGAAAGAAACTCAGCGAGTTTTAGGACTTTAGAGATTGATACATTGTGAACGTTTTTTGGAATTTTGTTGTAAAAACGTATAAATTGTCCGATAAAAGAATGACTTATTCCACGCAGTCTAGATGTGGGTTGAGTTAATTTGTGTTTGCTCCTGGTATTTATATCATGCACATACGCGTATGTATTCTCCGTATTACTTAGACTGCCAGGAGAACCAACGAATCGATATTAAAAGAGCTCGACATCACGAAGCGGTTCTCCTCGATTTTCCTTGAACGGGCCTTCTGCTTTTTGGACACATTAAGCGATCGTCATGGCACAGTCTCGAGAAGCGGATTATTATAGGCCAGATGAACGACAACCGTGCTCAAGATAGGGCATCGACAAGATGGGCAGACACAGTGAAGAACGCGGTTTGTGGTAGCACACAACAAAGAGCACACAACGTGCAGCTCACACCACCTGCGACCATAGGCAGCGAAGAATAACGACATGTGGCCACGATACTCAGAATTGAGGGACCAAACAAGAAGAAGGGTCAGCGAGTTCGAATTAAAAAGGGAAGACTAGTTTAAACATTCATTGTTTAAAAAAAACTCGTGATAAATAATTTATACATATAAAAATAATATATATATTGTCCTCGCTAAGGGTAAGAGTAACGCCGGGTATTTTTAAGAAGATTAAAACCAATTACATGTCCAATTTTGTTTCATTACTATCAATTATCAACTTCATATTACCATATCATAAATTTTATTACATCTGTACTTTACAACTATACCTGAAACGCCTTGTTTTGAGATAATAATTGTATGACCCTCAATGAACTTCAAAAAATTTTGTTACCAATGATTGTTGCTATTAACGCAATAAAACTTATTTTAGAGTGTTGAGTTTAAACTTATTTAACGTGAGACACGTTAATACCATAAGTAAAAAGGTAAACTATTCTTTTCAATCCTTCAAACGTTTTCAGTTCTTTTTGCCCTTGAAAACAAAGATAACATTAGCTCATACACTTCTCCTTCCTATAATTGACTATGCTGATGTTTGTTTCCTTGACGCTACGGAGATACTATTGAACAAGCTGGAACGCCTTCAGAACTTGTGCATGCGATTCATCTTTGGACTTCGTAAATATGATCATGTTTCTGAGTTCAGGGTGCAATTAAAATGGCTCTCTATCTGTAAACGTCAAGATCTACATATCTTTTCTTTCCTTTACTTTCTGCTGTTTAATCCTCTTGCTCCTCCATATCTTCGGGAACGCTTCGAGTTTCTCGTTCCATGCGGTACTCAATGCCGACGTAATAAATCTCTTCTTCTGAAAATTCCTTGCCACTCATCTTGTCGGTATAGCGAATCTTTCACTGTGAAGATGGAATGGAACTCGCTACCCCATTGCATACGGGCCAGTTTACCGCTTGAAATTTTCCGTAATAGAGTGAAAGTACATTTTTTATCTCCATAACGGCACAGTAAATCATCGGCACGTATACAATAAAATTTTTAATATTACTACATTTATTTGTTACTATGTTTATTTTTATATTTATATATTTTATAGTATTATTTATTACATATTATTTTATAGTATTATACGTTTTATGATTTTGTTTACTCCTATTTTGCTTTTCTCTTCTTTGTATATTTTGAGTTTAGAGTATAAGTATATCTAGTTTTACACACCTACCTATCATAATATAATGATTTGTTTCTCATCAATCTTATGTCAGGGTTTGCTGGAAGAAAACTCTTTTTAGGGTTAAGCTCGCCTTTGTACATTTTTTTTTGTAACTTTGTTTTCACTTATACTCTGTGTAGAATAAATAATAAAACTGATGTAAATTAATAACACTGTTGACATTAATGCAATAAAACTGCTTTGGATTGATTTAACCGTGTCCATATAATACTTTAAAATTTTGTCAAAATTATTCCAATGTGAGCGAGATAAACATAATCACGGAGAAAATTTATTCGAAACATTATCTGTATGGTTTTTTTATCAAATTACACCATTGAATAACTATTTATTGTACTGTAGATAAAGTTTCCCAAACAAGAGCCTAACAGGGAAAACAACGTCAGTTTTACGCGAGTGCCCGACGAAGGTGCCGCATAAATATCTTGTATTGCATTTAATAATAATGAAAGCTATTTACTTAGCCTATTAAACAATTACGAACAAGTGTAAAAAGTAGAAGGTGTAAATAATTCTATCTGTTGAATTACATAAACGCGCTCTATTCTTTACGTTTTCTATCGCTGAAAGATGGTTTTAAGCCTTTATCCGACCGATGCGGCCCGTTGGTACTTTGATGAAATTGCTGCGCGTGTAGTGGCAAAATCTGGCAATGCATCTGACCGGTTCCATCTTGGAAAGTTAATTCTACAGGCACTAAAAGATGCACCAGACTTCGTTTTGCAGGTAATTATTAAAACACCAAATACGCAATAATAATCTCTTGTGTTTACGCGACTATATATTACCTACCAAATGAAACAATTTTTGGGTTTATTTTTAATTTTATTTACCGAAGTTTCGAACTTTACAGCGTTCATGACAGACCGAGGCATTGGACGACTGAATGTCATTGTCATTCTATAAAAAAAAGGATCTTTAGGGTTAGCTTGGCATTCTACCTATAATAAAGCTGTATCTAGGCCCAAACAAACTGCAAGACAAGTTTCAATTAAAGTTTTTCCTTTTGCACAGACCGAACACTAAATTAATAATTTGAAACCTTGCGGTTGCCAAGGCTAACAATGACATTGAGACATCCAACGACGTCCGTAGTCCTTAGTCTGCCTCGTGACCATGAACGTTGTACACAGTTCGCAACATCGGTGATAAAAATTAAAACGCGTAAATCTAACGGATACTCGTAGTTAGTACCAAATATGCATTCAATATAAACAAAAATTAACCTTCGTGATATTTTTCATTAATCACGTTTGTATTTTTATACCCGTACAACATGAATACGGCTTTAATATATGAGTATATATATACATTTTTTAGATTAGTAAAATAACTGCTGCAGTAGTAAATGTTTTCTAATCTAGTAACGTCGCAAAAAAGCCGTTCACTTCAATTTTTTGCTTTAATTTCTATACCCTAAAATAAAGGTAACCGCTTGCCTTGCTTACCAGTTTTTCACATAAGAAAGCTCTGAATTTCTCATCGCATGCTTTCATGTCAGTCAAGTTGATATAAAAAATTAAAGTAAAAATCATACACCATACACCACATAAAAGGTATTTTTTATTGTTTACCAATCGCTGCTTTAAGCGTATCTAGGAAATATAAATTATATTGCGAAACCGAACTCTATTACATATCTATTACTCTTACGGCAAATCTCCATGCCTTAAAAAATTACACACTGAACTAGGTCTTAAGAGTAGATTCTTTTATTTTTGTAAGCTATCATACAATCTTATTTTCTAAAACTATATTTAATTTAAAATTAATAAAAAATGTTATGTTTAAGTTTTATACGACATACGAAAATTAATGGTCCAGCCAGCAACCGCAGGTTCGACTCATATCAGCGCAAAAAAAATGTAGACCGCTTAACTTAGTACCAAACAATGATATTATATACAAATATAGATTACGACACTAGCGCACCGAAACTGAGGCGTTCAAATTATGCCAATTGGTGTAATTCTATCGACTGCTATCTCTTTACGTATCAAACGTTCTATGTGATCAGTCACATTTACTTATATATGTCATATAATATAAAGCGGAAAAATTTTTAAATACCGCGCAGTATGCGCATGCGTCATCTACAGGGTGATTTTTTAGACGAAGTAAATACTTTGACATAACGTTAATTGAGCATTCCATAAATCAAAAAAAAATATTAATATTTTATTTTGACAAGGAATAACCAGAAAATATCAATTCTTCAAAAAAGAGCTATCCGAGCAATCTATAACATCGGAGCCCGGGCTACATTCAAAGATATTTTTAAAGAGATTAATATACTCACTGTTGCATTCCAATATATTTATTGTAATATCTTGTACGTTAGACATAATCTTAATTGTTATCTAAAGAATAGTGACAGACATAAATTAAATACTAGAAATAAGGACAAATTAATAACACCATTGTTTCGTCTAAAAAAAGTAGATAGATCGTTCATGGGGCAAAGTGTGCGCATTTATAATAAAATCCCACAATCGGTATTAAGTCTGCCACTAGATGAATTTAAACGCAAAATTAAAAGCGAACTTATGGCTAAGGCATATTATACCATTGCAGAATATCTTGACGACACCAATGTGTGGGGTTAATGCTGTTGATACTCACGTAGGCTAAAATGACATACTTGTTCTGTTGTAACCTAATCGTTTTAAAAAAGAGCAACTGTTGAGTTAACTTACGAACGTATTAATTTTTATGTAAAATTTTTGACATTTCATAAGAACGCGCAAGCGTCTATGTGAATAAATATATTTTTGATTTTGATTTTGAATTCAAACATTGTTTGTTTATCCCGTTAAGAGTGCTCACCCTATTGATAAGCGGTTGAGTAATTATGCGTTCAGGGAACAGTTTTAGTGCTCGTGACCAGCTTATTGTATTGAGACGGTAAAGCAGGAATTTCTAATAGAATGTGCATAATGTTTGAAAAAAATTAGATAATGTTTGAAAAATAATGAGGCCACAAGTACGTACCAGAATCAGATTTAGAATGAAATTTTGCATATGTTGTGTTGATATGTCCGTCGTTTATACCTAGTACAGCCATAAGTTCTGTTACAAATGAAAATAATTTTTTTTTAAACTATGTAATGTAATGTTATTAAAATTTATACCTACATATTTATATAACGTCTCAGGAAAAAATAAAAAAATATTCTATTCGAATTAGCCACCGTTAGCTTTTATACAGGCCTTTTCTGTTTTGCTACGAATCTATGGATTTACGCACTGTTTCCAAGGGAAATTTCACCACTGCTTGCTTCAAATATTTTTTAAGACACACAACGTCGCCGTGTCGTTTAGAGCAGGCCATGTCCTCTAAAACTATACTATAATTTGAAGTCTAAAGGGTTGAGGTCTGGGCTAGATGAGGGCCAGTCTTCAACTTTTATAAAGTACCGGAACGTTGGTTTCAAGCCAGGCTTGGGTAATTCGTGCCAAGTGTGAGCAGGTGCAGAGTCCTGCTGGAAAGTCCACGGTATATTTTTAAAAAGTGTATTGCTGTGAGGTTTCACAACATGATCCAAGACTGTATCTTGATACACTTTGGCTGAAGTTTTCACTCCTTTTTCACAAAAATGTAGTTTTGTGACAATGTAGTTTTGTGACTCCTTCATAAGACGATTTGAGACACGCTCCACCAAACCATCACTGACGCAAGATGATGACCACGTTGTACCTTTCTGACAACTTGAGCAGCTTCTTTAGAACTGTGGGCGTACATTTTATCAATTTTGTTATTGTAGTGTTCTTCAGTCGTGAAAATGTTTCCATCGGTAAAGAGGATATTTCTGTGCCTTTCACCTGCGTATCGCGACCGAAGGCGTTTTGATCGATCCACTCTCTTTAATTGTAATGTTTGATTTAGAGCATGTCCTATACATCGGCCATAAGCATCGAGTTTCAGGTCTTGTTTTATAATACGCGACAGAGTCCTAGCGGGAATATTCATTTCTCGCGATAAGATTTTTTGCTTCCTAATCGGGTTTCGAGGAATTCTGGCTTTAACAGCATTAACAGCCTATGTAGTTCTAACAACACGCGGCCGCCCCGAACTTTTCTGGTCTTTTTTTTTTTTTTTTTTATGTGAAAAGTTGCCAAACGAGCAGACGGTTCACCTGATGGTAAGTGAATACCGCCGCCCATGGACATCTGCTACACCCGAGGGTTACAGATGTGTTGACAACCTTTTGAAAATTGGGCTCCGGCTACCTCACTCACCAGACGAAACGCGAAAGTATTTGTCATACTTCCACTTTACGCTGGTCTTCTGTGAGGTCGTGGTACTTACCCGGATGGGCCTGCCCATTCGTGCAACAGCCGAGGCTGCTGCGTGGCCCTACCACCGTAAAACCACCGGCCCTACCACCGTCTTCGACAGACGAAGTGTTGCTGTATCTGTTGAAAGTACGATATACGAACATACGGCTGATACCAAGCTTTTGTAGTGTATGGAATATGATCGACGGCTCCATACCCACTTTGTACAAGGCGATCACTGCAATCCTATATTCTTTAACAACCCATTCCGTGTTGTAACTTGATAATGAACACGAAATAATATGCGAAATGACGCAAAATCGAAATAAGTTTTAAAAATAATATTCGTATTCCAATTTCAAAATAATTAAAAAATTAAAAAAAAAGAAGTTTTTATGTAACAGTATTTATGGCCAGACTAGTTAAAATCACCCAATCTTAACCTTTAAACGAGCAATTCTTGTATATATATATATATACAAGAATTGATATATATATATATATATCGTAATCTCGGAAACGGCTCCAGCGATTTTAATGAAATTTAGTATGTGCGTAGATTCGGGGGCGAAAAATCGATCTAGCTAGGTTTCATTTTTAGAAAATGTCTTTTTATCCCTGTTTTCAGGGAATGAAAAATATAATTCGAATATGACGGTAAATTTCGCCGCAAGAGAAAATGTCATAATAGCTCGGTCGGTAATCGGGCGGCCCCAAAACAGACGGCCGTGGTTCGCGTCACGATCATTTACACATTTATTTTTTTACTTTTTTTTCGATTCCAGATCATTGCTTTCTTTATTTTTAATTTTTTGTCGATTTATTATTTTGTTATTTTTTCCCCCTTTTTTTTAAAGTTCTTTCTTAAAGTTCGTTAATTAAAAGTAATACTATAAAAGTTAACATGAGTGAAATATTATTAGATACAATTTAAGACTATCATTCGAACGTTGAAATGTTATCCAACGGATGACACAGTATTTATTATAAAATGAATGCTCATTACGGTAATTGTTTAAGATTTGAGATTGACTTAATTCGTTTATAAAATTTCTTCCCAGATCGATGGATCAACTGGAGAGAGTGAGACCTGCGGATCTGTTCTGCGCCGATCAGTTTGTTGTGCTCTTGCCCTAAAGAAGTTGGGAATAGAGCAAGGCGTTAACATTATCATCATGGCCCCAAACCATTTGGACCTAGCTATACCTTTTTATGCGGCTATGTATCTAGGTTCGGGCCTTGGCTGTGTTGATATGACTTTGAGCATCAGTAAGTAATTTATAGCTTATATAGCCGTCACAGCTGGTTCTAAACTCCAAAAAAATATAAATTTGATTTAACTACTGGTATTAAAATATAGAAAATATAAACATGCAGTTCTAAAAATGTGAAAGTTGTTAATAGAAAAATGTAAACAGTTAACTTTTTAATGTGAAAAGTTGCCAAGCGAGCAGACGGTTCACCTGATGTTAAGTGAATACCGCTGCCCATGGACATCTGCTACACCTGAGAGTTACAGATGCGTTGACAACCTTTTAAAAATTGGGCCCCGGCTACCTCACTCACCAGACGAAACGCAAAAGTATTTGTTATAGTTCCACTTTACACCGATCTTGTCGTGTGAGGTCGTGGTAATTACCCGGACAAGCCTGTTCATTCGTGCAACAACCGATGCCATACCATAGTTAAATTGCTTTTGACTATTGCTTTAGATGAACTTCGTGATCATTTTGAATGCGAGTCACCAAAAGCGATATTCTGTCAGAGTGATAAGGCAGCAGACGTAAAAGCTGCATTAAAAAATGCTAATTTGGATAGTCATATCATAACCTTTGACGATGGTGGTCAATACAAAAGTCTATCTCAACTACTACACGGGATTGACGAAAGCTCTATCAAAAACTTTGAGTACGTATATTAACCATATGTCCTTTACAAACAAAAATCTTATTTAACATAACTCGATGTAATGTGTAATAAGCTCTTAGAATATTCTGGATTATTTATCTAGTTGGAAGCAGAAAGTTTTGGGTTAATCTTAGAGGTTAAATTAACCAATTAGGTTCAATTATTGGCTAAGACAAGGTTACCTTGTATAACATTTAAAGAAGTTTTATTATCTTTAAATTTTCCTTTTTTTATGAAGAAAATTGCATTAAAACGTTATAACGGCCCTGTGTCTTTTACAGACCAAGTGATTTCAATACGGAAGAGACTGTGGCTTTTCTCTTGCCGACCAGTGGTACCACTGGTTTGTCCAAAGCTGCTGAGAATACGCATAAGAACTTCGCCATAATTTCTCCCCATTTATGGTAAATATTAATCGAATTCATCTAAAATTTGTATACTGCAAACAGGTCCCCAAAGTTAGGTAAGAACTGGTGATGAATAAATGAGTTTACTGTCTGTCAGATTAAAAAGAAGAGAAAACAAAGGACTCATATTATTAGTGTTAATTTTTTTTCTTAATTCTCAGCCAGTGGCGGATTTGTAGTCTTGGCCGCCCTAGTCCCCAGCCCATGTAGTAAGTTCCAGGCGCTCCTTTCTCAGAGCCCATCATATACCTTGTTATCATCAGTGAATTTTTCATCAAGATTGGCCGCCTCTAATATGTAGCCGCCCTAGGCCCGGGCCTATTAGGCCTTAGGGCAAATCCGCCACTGGTGGTAGCCATGTCTTTCTTATCCGTGTTAAAGATGGTGAGAGCTAGCCATTTATTATTTCAAGGTGACTGGTACAAGGACTTGTTTGTCTTAGCCTATTATTCTGTTTATTAATGTATAAAATTTGTTATCATAAACTTTTTCTTATAGGTACTCTTTTGGGAATTTCCCTACACCAACTCGCCTTTGGTTTCTACCTTCCCCTATACAATGGTTATCGGCAGTTATCGCTTACCTTCAATCGCCTATTATGAAGATCACTAGACTACAATCTTCTTTACCTATGACAGTGGAGCACGCATACAATCTAATAAATAAATACAAGGTAAGGTAAATGAGAATTTCTGCAAGGCCTACTACACATAAAACATATTAACATGGAAGTGTGTGTAAATTTAACAAAAAAGAACGCTCTATCTTTTAGATCTTGTGCTTGCTTCTCTAATAAAAAATGTAGGAGAGATACTGAAAAATAACAAGCTATATCTCTCTCACTGCTGGGCAAAAGCCTCCTCTGTAGAGAAGGTTGAAAGTCATAGTCCACCTCACAACCTCACTGTGGATTGGCTACTTCACATACCTATCTTCAAAAATATTTTTTATTATTACATCACGATATTTTCCTTCACCGCTGAGCCCCAAGATAAGTTAGCACTTTATTTTGTTACACCAAAAAAGCATAAATTCTTATGTACGTAAATTAGTACACACATACTTTTTTGTTCAAAAATATCTATAACATTAACTTCAATGTGTAACCTAATTACAGCCTACAGTAACAATAATGAATCCAAATATGCTCATCTCGTTGTTAAAACCGAATACTCGCCATCTATGTGACTTCTCCAGCTTTGAAGTGATGTTTGTTGGAGGCAGTGCAGTACCGCAATCACTAGTTGATACGTTAAAGGTAAATAGTATGTGTAGGGATTTAAATACGTTTCTTTTATCATTTCATATACTTTTAGAAAGGTTTCTGTCATTATTATTACACATATCAATGACTATATATATTTATACAAATAGCGAATAAAGATAAAATCTCTGATTGCCAATTAAAAACAAACATATTTTTCCAGGTTTACTGCATTAGGTGTGTGTTTTTATAAAATGCCCTAATAGTGCGCATAACTTTTTCAGACCGTCAGCCCAAGCACTCGTATATATAATTCATACGGCATGAGTGAAATATCGGGTTTATGTCTCATAAACACGCATATGGTACCAAAATCATGTGGTCAGATCACAGGATGTGCCTTAATAAGGGTAGGTACAATTGAATATGATGATACTTTAAAATAAGAAACTGAGAAACACTCAAATTATACCAATTGGTGTACTTTGATCGTAATTCGTATCTCTTTCTACATCCAAAGCTAAGAGGGACCCACATTGGGCCGGCCCGTGGCGTAAGGCCAGCCCGAGAGGGCCGCTCCGAGTGGGCTCATTGAGCTCACTCTGGATGCATGCTGGAGAGTGCAGGGGACAGACAGGTCGAGGTTGGTAAAGGTGGAGCCACTCTCCCTGTCTTCTGCTACCCAGGAGGAGTCGCGGGGGAAGCTTAGCTACTGTACTCACTGTTGCTTTTCAATACATTTATTGTAATATTTTTTATATACATCATAACCTTAATTATTACCTAAAGAATAGTGATAGCATAAAATGAACACTAGAAATAAGGATAAGCTTACTACGCACTTAAGTCTGCCGCTTGATCAATTTAAATGAAAAATTAAAAGTCAACTTATGGTTAAAGCATATATACCATTGCAGAATATCTCGACGACACCAATATAAATACTGTATATACTCACGTAGGCTCAAATAGAACTATAATACCTATGTTATATTGTAAACTAGTCTTTTAAAAAAAAGCAAATGTTGAGTTTCTTGCCGCTCTTCTCAACAAACCAAAGGAATAAAGTAATAATACGGTATCATTAATTTTCAGTCGTTGTCGACAGTACATACAGTATGTACCTGAACACCGAATATTTAAATGTCTACTTCCCTAATAATACTACGCAGAAACTCAAGTGATAGACTGGCCAAACAGAATTTAGTAGTTAGAATTTTAATTTATTTTTCATGTTAACTGTTTTAGTTGGTCGACCCATATACAGAAAAGGATGTGACTGATACTGCAAATGTGCCTGGTGAGTTGTGGTTAAAAGGACCGTCGGTATTTAAAGTAAGTAAAAGGTATTTACTTCATGATCAATAATTGATCAATGTTATAGATATAATCTTTTATTTTAAGATCCTTAGCTCAAACTAAATGACTCAGTGGACTGTAAAATATGCAAATATCGCGACAAGCTTTTATGTCATTTAATGAATTATGTAATACTTTTATAGTAAATTAATTGGTTTGCCTAAATTTCAGAAAAGTTTATTTTCTTCTTCTTAGGGCAATTAAATAAAAGCTTGTTTTTAAAGTTTTAAAAATAACCAAATAATGACACCATGTTCAACAGCAATCTCGTCTACGTAAATTTTTTGCTTTTGGGCAATTTGAATAAATTCGAGTATTGATATTTATTTGTTTATTTATTTTTAAACTTCATGTTCTAAACACTGAACTGCGCTGTATTTTGATATCGGCAGAAAATTTCCTAACTAATTTCGCATTTTCAAATAACATTTTACAATGAACGAGTTGTTTGTATTTTTATGTAAGAAAGTGGCAAACGAGCTGGCGGTTCACCTGATGTTAAATGATAACTGACGCCCACGGACAATTACAGCACTGATTGCAAATGTGTTGCAATCTTTTAATAATGTGGGCCCCGGCTACCTCACTCACCAGACGAAAGGTAGAAGTGTAACCCTTTACTTTACGCCGGTCTTCTGTGAGGTCGTGGTACTAACCCGGACGGACCTACCTATTCGTGCAACAGTGAATACAGTTGCGTGGTCCTACCACAGCTAAAAAAACTTCAAAGGAACAATATTTTATGATATTAAAGTTATTGGTTCTGTTTTGTATGCACCATATGAATTATTTATTGATTATGATTTCGTTAAAGTTTCAGTATTCGTTTAAAAATAAAAAATAAATATTTAATCTAAAATATTTAAGAAATATTGTTACAGGGATATAGCAATAACCCAACACTGACGAAAGAATCATTTTCTAAAGACGGATGGTTCAAGTCCGGTGACATTTTGTACAGAGACGCAAATTGGAACTTCTTTTTCGTTGATCGGATTAAAATGCTGTTGAAATATAAGAACCATCAGGTAATTATCATTTACCTTAAAAAAATATATGAACTATATAAGTAATATAACTAACGTGACTATAGGAATTGTAGGCTCAATCAGGGTAAAATCTCAACAGCCGAGGCCTTAAATCAGCGTCCCAGTAGAATCAGCAACTCTTAAACATCTGTCCAGCACTCCCAAGTCCCAATGCTCCTCTTTCATCTTCGATGAAGTATCTGAATGTATCCCACAAAAATAGATCGACTTTTCCATTTTTGGAATTCAGCGGCGCACTAAACATCTGTCAATTACGACGTACTTCGTAGAAACTTACATCTTTGAATCTGCGATCGCCTGGTTTGATTTCTTAGGGGATACTCACCATATGTAATCCGTGAGGAATTCTCTAAGTGGTGAGATCTAACTCTAAGGTTTCCTCAAGGAAGCACTCTTTCTCCTCTTCTGTTCTCTTTTTTCATCAATGCTCTTATTACCCCGCCTTGTGTATGTACGGCTTACAAAATGCTCAAAACTCACTCGCGCACCTGTTTTCATTGCATTGTGTCAAAATATGCAGCGTTGTAATATTTAAAAAAAAACAGATATCGCCTGTGGAAATAGAAGAGGTAATTCGACGGCACCCAGCTGTATTTGAAGTAGCTCTGACGGGCTTACCTCACCCGGATGACGGAGAGTTACCTATCGCTTGTATAGTGAAACAAACAGACTGCGAAGTCACAGAGAAGGAAATTGAAGATCTTGTTTCAGGTAAAGTGCTGAATTTAGAAAAGGCGAATGATGATTTTATTCTTGTTCATTATTATTATAATTCATAATTTCTTAATTTATTTTATATTAATTCATTCATTACTCCCGACGCTGAATGACACGCAGTATTATGAAAATTGCTAAGAACTTTTGTAAATAATGTATAAATGTTTATCATGTTATCAATGATTATCAAATATAATTCAATGTTAATTTAACGAATAGACAGAGAACGAGGGCAAACAATGTCACGGAGATCAATCAGCCCCAAAACCGTTACTTATATGTAATATATAAACTATATAAAAAATGGTGGTCCATCTGATGTCAGTTGATAACCGCCGCCCACTGACATTTAGACACTGACACTGATATTAGGGTTGCAGATCCATTGCCACCTTTAAATAGGTCCCGGCTACCTCACTCATCAGACGAAACACTACTTCCACTTCACGTCCATTTCCTGTGAGTTCATTCTACTTACCCGGACGGACCTGCCCATTCGTGCAACAACTGAGACGTGTTGCGTGGCCCTACCACAGTAAACAGTACACAATGTGCACTAAAAGGATAGATAAAAAAGCAATTGCTCTAAGATCAACATTGCGCTGAGCTTAATTCATTATACATTTATGTCTTCGCCAAGTGGTCGAGATTCAACTATAATGATTATGGAATTTTGGATTAAAGATGATAATTTTTATTTTACATGCTCTTGTAATAATGACCAATAGTGCACTTGCACAATAAAGGTAGAGGTAAAAAAATTCACTGCGTATAGTATTTTTTATGCTCGTTAATAAATAAAAATAGTTTAGAAAGACAGGAGAGCGAGATTCTGACATCTGTTACATCATACTGTTAACTTGTAAACTTCTTTGCAGATTCCTTGACAGATTCCAAGCGGCTTCGCGGTGGTGTGATTTTTATGAAAGAACTTCCATACACAGCAACATCCAAAATCAATAGAGCTAAATTGAAGAAAATTGTTTGTGAACATTTTAAACAGGAAACCTAATAATATTTTCAAGTATTCAATAATAATTATCCATCTCTTTCAACATTTAAAATAAATTAATGTCAAAAATATTTCGATGACTGAATTTTACTTCACACTATTATCATTTCTTTCATTGATCATGTAAAAATGTAGATAAATCCAAGGATATTTCTACTTATAGACATAAAACAATGTCGTAGGGTCATTAACGCTGTAATGTTTGTGGTGAACATAAAAGGAGAATTTTTGATAATAACTACAATACAACAGATTTTTTAGTGTGTGGCGGAACAAAATCATAACGGAAAATAAACATAAACGTATAGAATTTTTGCGTGTAATTAAATAGATACTGTCATCAATTGGAAACATTTTAATATATTCGTTTAAAGTATTAAAGGTTGGTTTATTTATGTATGGTTAGAGTTGTATAAGAAATAGTATGTATTGAAATTTTTAAAATTGTAATAAATAAAGAAAATATTCATATTATCGCTAATATACGATAAATTCAATAGAATGTAAATTATTACGTTATTGAAATTGCTGTGGTTATAACTGCTAAATAGCCAAACCAGCCACTTAAAAATACTTATGCGAAAACTATCTTTATTATGGTCTTAAAATGGTCATTTAGCACAGTTAAATAAGAATAAGTAAAGTTTAGGATTACCACAGATATGGGTTTGTGATTGCAATATTCTTGTGAGTAACTGCAGCTGCTTTTGGTAAGCCTGTTGTCCCACTGGTAGCAATAAGAAAAGCTATAGTACTTTCTGGATCAAAGTCAGATGGCCTGCAATAGCGTTAATACAATTGTAAATTAGTTATTTAGAATAATATATGAACGTGCATAGATTTAATGTAAGTAGTTACTTATAAACAATATTTGCGCTTGAAAAATGATTATAAATTAAGTTGAAATCATTGAGATTGAATCTGTAAAAATTATATAACCACAGCACGTATACTTTTTTGTTTACACCACGGATATATTGCATTAACCTGTATGTCATGACCAATATACAAAATACTATCTTATTAAAAAAGTAACCGAAGATGTGGGTTCGATTCCCACAGAGGCGACAATCTTTTCGTATTTTTTCTACAAATTTTAAAGTTAAATCTTAAGTTTAAATTTTTATAGTGCTTATCTCTGCAGATTAGCACTAAAAAAAGTTTAAATTTGTAAAATGTAAAATTCTAATTTTAATTTTTCTTGGTTGTGAACATCGTGGAAGAAATAAATAAGACACCTTAATCACCGGCACCGGCTGTAATATGTCTTTCACCACTTTCGTCTGAGAAATATTGATAAGATATTGGACATCTATAGTACCTATATAATTTTATATATTGCTTTTGAATATTTATTATTTATTAACCTATGACTCGGTGGCGCCGTTGTTAAGCTATTGTCTTCGCCGTCGGGGGTCGTGAGTTCGATTTCCACACGAGCAAATTATTTTTGTGACCCACAGATAATTGCCGGTCGTAAAAAACATAGCCAAACCGCTTACAACATATTCACATGTTCTGCTAACCCCACCTAGGTGGGATAAAGGCAAGAGGATGATTTATTTATTAACCTTTGATGACTGATTGAATTATGATATTAAAAAAAAAACGTACTTGAAGTCGTAAGCCGCGGACGTGTCACCGTATTTGTCTAGAAAATCTGCGTAGTTAAAAAGGTAATCGCCTTTGTCAAATGTTACGATGTGGGTTCTCAAGTCCAGTTTGTTTAATGCCAATTGGACGTCAGTTGCTTTGTCGCTTTGGCAAAACACTATTTTTGGTTTACTGATACCGAATGACCCCTGAAGTTCATCTGTAAAATGTGAGAGAAGCACACATTCTTCTAAATAGACGGTGGTAGGGCCACGCAGTAGCCTCGGCTGTTGCACGAATGGGCAGGCCCGTCCGGGTAAGTACCACTACCTCACAGAAAACCAGCGTAAAGTGGAAGTATGACAAATACTTTCGCGTTTCGTCTGGTGAGTGAGGTAGCCGGAACCCAATTATCAAAAGGTTGTCAACGCATCTGTAACCTTTGGGTGAGGCAGATGTCCATGGTTGGCGGTATTCACTTAACATCAGGTGAACCGTCTGCTCGTTTGACAACTTTTCGCATAAAATAAAAAATAAAAGTAAATAAATAAATTGTTAATTATTATAAAAATATTAAATATTCTGATAAATATTTTGTGTGCGTAGAACTGTATAAATACCTACGTATAGAATAATTATAAAACAGGTAGTGTATGTTATATTATAAATAACATTTTAATATGCGGACAAAACTGTGGATTGTCCCATAACAGATACGGTGAATACTGTTATGAACACACAAAGGAGCTAACGCCATCTAGCGTCAACTATTAAAACCACTAAAGAACAAAGGCGACATAAAACCCCCTATTCAACACTAGATGGCGTTAGAGGAACTGCTGTGGAACTATAGTCTCGAAAACCGGGTACACTCGCGAACTTTCCGGAATCACGAACATGTTCGTGCGTGTCGGGTACGTTCCAGGAATGATCTTTCTGGATTAGTCCGGAACCGGTCTCGGCCCATATAAAAAGCCGCAGGGAGGCGAGCGATGACAGTTCAGTTTGAGCTACCTTCGAGGCGACTTCGGAGCGAAAACTAGTGATCAAGAGCGATACCAGTGAAACCTACGACTTGGCTACAAAATAGGACAACGTTAGTGCTTAGTGTTTGGACCTAGTGCGCGTAAATAAAGTCTTCAAAAGAGTCAACAGGTCTTTCTCTCCAAATCCTTCGAACCCCTAACACGTAACAATACGATAATATAGAAAAGAAGATAATTGATTTTGGTCAAAGCAGTAATGCTCTTAAATTGAAACTATTTTTGGAGTAATAAACGACATATACAATAAATTTCGAAAACTAATACATAAAAGCCAGGTTAGCATTCGAATTTGGTCGAATTAGAACCAGCACTGGAGCTCTGTGGTAAGTGACCGTTCTTAGATTCAGATTGGTTACATCAAGTCCAACAGAAGTATAGAAGTTGAAGCATGTTTGATTAGAAAAACAGCATCCTACTGCCTAATAAGGATTATAGACCTTAGCATGTAGTTTAAATTTCAACTTTCTGGGTCCATCAGTTCCTGAGATAATCGGTGGTGATTATTTACCAATTTCATTATGGATATTATGTGCGGAACTCTCTGCGTACGATTTCAACTCACACTTAACCGGATTTTTTTTATTTTTAGTGATTTAATTTGAATACTTAGGTATTATAAAATATGGATAGACCTAGCAAGTAAAATGTGTAAACATGATAGCAAGCTGGGCTCCGACGTCGAGGACCGAGGGTTCGATTGGGCCCCACACGGGACAAGAATATGTGTGACCCATAAATAATTGTCCCGGATGTGGCTGTTTGTTTCCCAAGGTGGGTTGATGTCAAGCAGGTGGCCGGTCGAAAAAAAAATGCCAAAACCGCTTACCATATTATTCACATGTTGTGCCGACCTCACCTACCTAGGTGGCATAACAGCCGTTTCAACTGTAAAAACGTTCACACTTTTTAATATACCGAATACATCTTGTTAACCTATTAAGAGTTTGCAAACATAATTTTATGTTGTGTGATTGCGCAAAACAATGCATATTTATACGATAGCAGAAATCGCGCTTGCTTTGCTGTCATTTTATGAAAAGTTCCGTTGTCTATCTCCGAAATTCATCATTACATATATGGGAAATTTAAATGGCGTAATAAAACCCTTTCTAGCAAAAAAAGAGTTTTGCAAATCCGTCTATATATGACGGAATTATGCCCGAATATACATAAGGCGCAATTTACTTTATGCAATATACTTTGATGCAAAATATCACGACTCTTATTTTTTAGATATTTTAAAATTAGCTTGTCAGGTATTCTATTTTGAAACATTCAAATTTAAATCTCTTTCCAAAAAACAAAATGTTGAATTAGTAAACGATATTGTATTGGAGGAAACGAAAGCGCCTGTCGCAACTCTCACCGCAATCGTCTGTAAAAGGCACGCAGTTTTATCTTAGCCAAATATACTTTTTATGAAATATTTTAGTAAATGTTTTAAGCAAAAACACTAATAACACATCTTTGTCAGTTTTTATAAGAAGTATTTTTAATGATTGTTTTCGATATGCAACCACCTGACACTCTCTATTAGCCACAGGGCGTTTGTTTATGTTTTATTTCCCAGCTTGCCCCTCCTTACAAATTATATATTTGCCTTCAGATTGCACAGAGCCTCAGATCACAAATAGAAGGTCAACGATATGTAGATAATACTATAACATACTTGTAACTTGTGTTATCGCCCTTGCCCTAAATAGAATAATCCATAATTTTATAATTATACGCCGATTAACATGACTTGAAGAGCCGTGATAGCTCAGTGTCCGGGCGCTCGCCTTTAATTTAATACACTCGAGCACCAATGAAGTTTTTAACTTTAAGTGCTGACTTATCACGTGCTCCGCGGTGAAGGAAAACATCGTGAGGAAATCTGTATATTTTCGAAATAATAATAAAAAAAATATTTCGAAGATATGTGAAGTCCGCCAATCCGCAGTGGGGCCGCGTGGTGGACTATGCCCTGATACCCTCTGTATAGAGGAGGCCTTTGCCCAGCAGTGGGACATGTATAGACTGTTACTTTACTTTTTTCTTTACTTTAACATGACTTTAACATTTCATCTTGCCTTTGTTTTATTACTTTTAAAATTTAAAACATGCATTTTTATGATATTAAAAAATTATGTGATACCTACTGTTATTCCGGTCTTTACCGAAGTAATGGTGATTTTTGATTATTTTGTACAGAGGAAATAACGAATAACTAACTGGTATATGCCATTTCAAATTAAACCCGACATCTCATTACCCTGCAAATGACACTTCGAGTAACTAAACCAAAGGCAGCCGCTTTGCGCAACATTAAAAAATACAAATTTGTTTGCATTAAGTATACGGTAAATATTGATCTAAGTATCTTATCTTTTAATTTCTTAATGCAGTAAATTTGTCGCAACGAAAAAATTGTCAGTTAATTTGTAGCTCCAATGAGAATTGCTTAATTTTCTTGTGTACGAAAGCGATTTTCAATATAAATAAAATTGTATCAAACTTATTATGAATAATACCTGATGTAGCGCAACCACAAGTAAGTAAAGCGATAGTTTAGTGTTATTTAGATAATTTTTGTTATACCTATAAACAAGTAGTGTATATTATGATCACCTCTTATACTTAAATAACATCAATACAAATGTACAGTATGTTTATGCATATAAAAACTTTTTTTATGTTTATCCAGAAACGAATTAAGTTACTAATAACCCTAACAAACCCCGAATACTTATAAGAAAATGGATACTGAAACAACAAAAAAAGTTGCCATTTCAAAGCAAAAAAAGCTGCAACGGTTATGTAATATCTGATTGTAACTCTCCTCTATATGTAAACAAATTATCTTATTAATGCTCAAATGTCAAACACAATCTTATTTAAAATTTCTTCCGACATCTGGGCGGGAATCATGGAGACATACATGGGTTCGATTGGCGCAGCGTCAAAAGACTCTTCATCCCTTTTTTGTACAAATTTAATGTATCATCCTAAGTGCAGAGATTAGCAGTTTAGCACTATAATAATTTTAAATCGTCTTTATTTGTGTGTATTAGGCAAGAACACAGAACTTGGATTTTAACAACTTTAACTCATTCTTTGACCAATTGTAACTAAAGAACGTCATTTCTTTTTTCACTCTTTATTAATTCAGAAACATGCCGGCACATCAGAATCCTTTCGACGCTGCTCGTTGGTACATTCAGAAGCAGATGGCTCGCGTTGTCGCGGCATCAGGCATACCAAGTGATCAGTTTCACCTCGGCAAACTGATTCTTCATTGCCTAAAAGAAGATCCCAGCTTTGTGCTGCAGGTTGGTTATTATATTAACAGGTTCATGTGCTCGTCGCAAATTAAACCATGCCACTTAAACAAAACTCATTATATTTAACCGACTTCAAAAAGGAGGTGGTTCTCAATTCGACTGTATTTTTTTTGTTTTTCTACATCAGAACTTTCGCCTGAGTGAACCTATTTCTTAACTTCAGGTGAACTGCTTGCTCGTTTGCCAATTTTTTTACATAAAAAAGTTCGAAAATATAACCGAAGCTGTTTTTTTAATTCAATCAATTTCCAAAGATCGCGTACACGTGATCCCATGTCCCCGGCCGATGTGATAGAGACAGGTGCAACATGTGTTTTTTATTGGGTACCAGTTTCTTACTGGGACTTCCACATACCCCTACCACTCCTCCGATCCAGTGGCAGGGATAAAGGATTTTTCTCATGAAAAAAATAGGGGCTGCAGATGCGTTCCCACCTTTTAATAAAGTAGGCCCCGGCTACACCAGGTGAAACGCAGAAATTTAGCATTTCTACTTCACGCCGGTCTTCTGGTCATGATACCTACTTGAGTAGGTCATGGTACGGTGGTAGGGCCACGCAGCAGCCTCGGCTGTTGCACGAATGTTCAGGCTCGTCCGGGTAAGTACCACGACCTCATAGAAGACCGGCGCAAAAGTGGAAGTATATAATTTCGCGTTTCGTCTGGTGGGTGAGGTAGCCGGAGCCCAATTTTCAAAATGTTGTCAACGCATCTGCAACCCTCGGGTGTAGCGGATGTCCATGGGCGGCGGTAGTCACTTAACATCAGATGAACCGTCTGCTCGCTTGGCAACTTTTCACATAGAAAAAAAAATAACACTAACCTAACAAACCTGCCCATTTGTGCAACAGAGAAGACTGTTGCGAGGTCATTTTCATTCTCTCCATTTATACTATCAATGATGGATACACAACAGTATATCGACAAACAGTTGCACTGAGTGAGTAAGTATTGCCAACGAAGTTTAAAATATTATAGTTTGAATTTTTCGTAATTATGCTCAAATTGTAACCTATTGGCGGAACAGCCCACCTGTAAGTACTTGTGTAGTTTCAAATAGTCTACACACTTGTTCAGTAAAAGGCTATTTCTCTTGCATTGAAGAGAGTGACATAGTAAAGTGCATTTTAAAAATGCGTGAATTATTTTTTTTTTTTCAATCTACTTAAGTTTACTTCAGGATTAGCTAACATTCGTTTATGCTCCGTTCCGCATTACAGATTGACGGAGCAACGGGCGAATCTGAAAATTGTGGATCCGTATTAAAACGAACAGTGACTTGCGCTATATGTCTTAAAAACTTGGGACTAACTCTTGGTGACCATATTATAATTGCAGCACCTAATCATTTAGATCTTGCAATACCTTTATATGCCAGTTTGTACCTAGGAATTGGGGTTGGCTGCGTGGACGGGACACTGAACCTTGGTGAGAGACAAACTATATCCGTCTGTTATAACTTAGGTACTGATATAATTTCAAGCGGGAACATTATTTATGTAAGATTTTCGAAGTATGCATCTTTTACCGAATTTAAATTAGACTACTAACATTTACTGCCAGTGCAAGAAGGTAAAATGCTAACAATTTTTTATTTATATTGACTATCTAGTGCTTGACTACTGTCTAATTTGATGATAAACAACGATGCAGCCGTAGTTCATAAATTCACTAACGCAATAGAAGCCATTAATTCCATTAAGCTATTAATTCCCTTGAAAACATCGTACACCTACGTAACATCGAGTTGGAAATACACACGCTGGCAAATTTTTCCATTTATGTTTATTTCAGCCGAGCTAGAAGATATTATAAAATGCGAGAAACCAAAAATTATATTTTGTCAAAATGAAAAAGCAGCGGATATTGCAAACGTATTAAGTAACCTAAAATATAATGGGACTATAATTACTTTCGACCCAAGTGACAATTTCTGCAGTCTCTCGGAATTTCTAAAGAATAATGTCGGACGATCTATTGATGATTTTCGGTATGATTTTAAATAGTGTATATTGTTTTTTTTTGTTATATACTCATATTCTTTTGTTAATGAACTACTTTCTTCAGTCCATTTATATGGAATATTAGCTGTGCCCGCGACTTCGTCCGCATGGTAACATTTTTACAAACTTTTACTGCCATATTTATTTGTATCTAATCAACAGCCTAAAATATAAGTTTTATGCTTCTTGATCTGAAAATGACAATACATTCATATAACTTTTCAACCCTTTACAACACTTTTTTCCAATTAAAAAATAGCCTCTATGTCCTTTTTCAGGCTCTAGACTATCTGTGTACCAAATTTCAATCAAATCGGTTCAGTAGTTTTGGCATGAAAGCGAGACAGACAGACAGAGTTACTTTCGCATTTATTTATAATATTAGTATGGATTGTTACTAATCATAGTGCACCTAAAACGCAGATCATTTGGGCTGTTTTCCTAAGCCAATCTCCCCGCCTACACTCAAAATATCATACGAATGATATCGTCTAGGATCGAAACATCGAGCACATTCTAAGGTCTTTAAAAATGGCGAAAGCATTACATCACAGGTGCTTTTTCTACGTCACAAAGGCATTCGACAATTTCACAACGGTTCGCTCTACGAACTGTTTGTATACAAAAAACAGACATGCTCGGGAACACCATCCAAGCATTTTTGTCGAATTGCTCTTTTCAATATCGAGTAGAAGGCACTCTCCCCACCTTCCTCAAGGCTCCTCTCTCCCTTTCTTTTTTCTTTCTACACAAGTAACACCTCTAAAGACTCACAAGTCAATCGCCTTCGTCCTATCGCTTCTCCTAGTCGCATTTTTACTGACTATATAAGTTCATTAAGTGAATGTCCGGAAACATATCTTGGACATATAACTACACACTTACAGAGCATAAGCACATGTGTAACCAGTTGACCACCCTCAAAAAGACCGTACTAAAATTGCATACGAGAAAACAATACAAAAGAAATGTGATCAAAAAAGGAAACAGAGGCACTGGGCAAATGAAATCAATTCCTAAATCGTACCTAGTCAAAATAATGTACTAAATTATTTGTATGATACAAACTAGCTTTTTCAAGTCCAAGGCCTTCGAGGTATAAATATTTAAAATGCTTGATCTGAATCCACCATGTTCAAAACATAATTTTTGTATTTTCTACAATATACGACAATATAAAATACAGAAAAAGTCGTGCTCAAAAACCTGAAGAGCAAACTTGTTAGAACAGTTCACGATATTTTAAATATAAAACACCGAGTTTTTTTTGCATAAGCTTACATATTCCAAACTAACAATCTTAATAAATAATCTAAATAAAGTCTTATAAAAATTTTCTAAACTATCTTTGTTACGATAACTAATAATTTAGTTGTCCTCTAATTCAGTGATTTAGCTTATTGTTTAGAAGCCTTGTAATAAGGTTCATTTAATTTCAATTCAATTAGATATTTTAATTACCTTCCAGGCCAACCGATTTTGATCCAGAAGAAACTACAGCATTCCTTATCGCAACCAGTGGGACAACTGGTCTGTCCAAAGCAGCGGTAATCACTCACGCCAGCATGGCCATTTCGAGTCCATATTGGTGGTCAGTATACAAACTGTAATCCTACTCCCTCTTCTTTTATCCTCTCTCAAATATATCAAATGCTATCCGCATTTCATAATAAATATTAATGATAAGGATTCTTCGAAATTGTTTTAGGTTGATTGGCTTTCTACACGGAGTATTTCACTATTATACATCCCTCATTACTGTATTTAGAAATCAAAGACTTCAATGTTACTTATTTGCAAAAAAATCTAACATAGATTAAAAATTAATAAAAAGTATCATCATACCAAACAAGAGATAGTAAAGGACTTAATTTTATAAGCATTCTTCTTTAAGGTTAAAGTATCACAAATTTCCGGAACCTACTAGATTAACAATGTTGACATCGCCTATCCAGTGGATCACTGCTACCTTTACGATGCTTTTGACACCAATTTTAAAAGTAACCAGACTACAAACATCGCTGTCTTTGACAGTGGAACATGCATATGAACTCATTAACACATATAAGGTACGTAACCGTAATGAAATAACCAAGGTAATTTTAGCACTACTCCATCATCTGCACGCTGTAAAGCACTGAAAAAAAGATGGCGTCAACTTCCCAAGTTGGGAAGAAGAAATCATTACGTCCGTCGACGCAAACTGCAGCCAAATAGCCCGAGATCGAAACAAATGGACGTCTTAAGACTTTAGAGTGGGCCCACACCCAAATTGGGGTTCTTGCTGAAGAATAATAGAAATAAGTAAATTGATAAAAAGCCCAGAAATATTGCAATAATTATTTTAACGTTTACTCGGGCAAAGTTTACTTTCTCAATATTAAGGGCGTGTGATATGAATTAATTTTGTTAGTTTGCTGTATTTAAAATGTACCCCGTATTTTCACAGCCAACGGATTTAAAAATAAATCCGAACATGTTGGCTGCTCTGGTGAATCCGCAAACACGATCCAATTGTGACTTCACGTGCTTCGAGTTAATTATGATTGGGGGGAGCGCAGTACCACAATCAATGATCGATGAGATCAAAGTAAGAAAATGTAAATTACTGAAATTTATACAATAAATAACTACGTAACAGTTATTTCTGTAGCAGTACATACACATTCACATAAATTTTTGAGCCCCGCATAACATACATTTTAAATTCAAATCTTTGTTCGAACAATAAAGGGAGTAATTTAAAACAATTTTTCAGATTCACTCAAATTCTTTAAGCAATATAAAAATTATATCCACTACCCATAAGAAGTTGCATCATTTCTTATGGTTAACAGATGGCTACAATTCACTACAGCCCATATACCTGCATCTTCCACACCAGAAGAGGTGTAAGCGTCGCTAGTTTGTAATGGCTTTTTGTAAATCCTTATATTACGTGCTATCGTTCTGGAAATCCGTTAATAAATTAAGAGAACATCCATTCACATAAGATATTGAGGATTGAAGGATTGAAATATTTAACAACTTTCATTTTGCTTTAAAAGTAACTTTCAATTTCACCACGGAATTGAATGTTTCTACTAATAAAGATTTTAAAAGTGATAATAGGTCAACATTTAAAAGACGTAATAACTACAAATACTTTAAATGTTTTTAAACGGTTTAATTTAGCTCGTCCCGTACGGAATTTATTTGTTTATTTGAAATTTGGTACACACATTTAATTTAGATGACAATACAATATTGTACTTTTCAGTGCACATAAAATAAAACCGTTTAACTTTAAAGTTTTTAAACGGTTTTATTAACCATTACATTTTAATTTATAATCGGAATCTCGGTAACGGCTCCAGCGATATTCATGAAATTTAGTATGTGCATAGATTCGGGGGCGAAAAATCGATCTAGCTAGGTTTCATTTTTAGAAAATGTCCTTTTATCCCTGTTTTCAGGGAATGAAAAATATAATTCGAATATAACGGTAAATTTCGCCGCAAGATAAAATGTCATAATAGCTCGGTCGGTAATCGGGCGGCCCCGAAACAGATGGCCGTGGTTCGCGTCACGATCATTTACACATTTATTTTTTTACTTTTTTTCGATTCCAGATCATTGCTTTCTTTATTTTGAATTTTTTGTCGATTTGTTATTTTGTTATTTTTTCCCTTTTTTTTAAAGTTCTTTCTTTTGTGAAAAAACATCAGTTCATATTTTCTTATTATTACGTAGGTAAGATCGAAAAATATTATGCATATTTCATTACTCAGTAATTTGTATCTAAATGTAATTTCCAAAATACACGATTTACCAAAAAAAAAAAACCGAGCAAAGCTCGGTCCTCCGGGTACTTTTATTAATAAGTGTAATTTGCTAATATTTTCAGAGCATTCATCCAAAAGTGGAACTGTGTGTTGCTTACGGTATGAGTGAGATATCGGGTTTATGTTTCATTAATTACAACTCTGTCCCCGGGGCTTGTGGTCAACTTGCTAATTGCATCCTAGTAAGAGTAAGTTGCAATTTTAGAAATGGTTACAATAGTTTACCGCTATTAGTTTGAAATAATTTTCAACTGTGGCACGGAACAGCTTCGGCTGTTGCACGAATGTGCAAATACCACGACCTCACAGACAATCGGCGTGAACTGTTATACTTCTGCGTCTCGTCAGGTGAGTGAGGTAGACGGGGTCCACTTTATTAGGGTGGCAACACATCTGCAACGTCAACGGGCGGTGGTTGTCACTTAACATCAGATGAAGCGTCAGCTCGTTTGCCACCTTCTTACATAAAAAAGATTAAATATGACGCGACATTTGTGCTATTATTATCTTAATTTAACACTTTTACACATTATTATAAATAACAATATCATATGAATATTGTACACATTACTATTAAAAACTGACACTTATTAAATTATTTTGCAAAAATTTTACAGAATCATCGGTTGTATTTGTTGAAACTAATACATTTTGCCTATAAAGAAAGCCAGAGAAAAATAGCAATCCCGCGAACCTTGAAATTTTCCGACAGTTACATATAGGTATATAAAATCATATAGGTTGCTAATTTCGTACTAACTTATATTTATTTATAGATTATGAAAGCAGACACATGCGAAGATGTGACTGATCCAAACATTCCCGGAGAATTGTGGGTGAATGGACCAACTCTATTTAAAGTAAGATGTTTTAAAAATAGGCAATGATTTTTTATATAGGTACAAGAATACAAACCCTTAAAATAGTAATTTTACAAATCACAGTTAAATACTGTTGTTTTTTGTAATGAGACATGGTGAAAGAATATCTAGAATATTAAATGAACCAATGATCTTTTCGAATATATGAATTCGAGAATAGAAGAGTTCTACCACAGCAGTTCGAAATATGTTTAGTTGGATGTTGGCTCAGTATTCTGGTACTCGTTTATATATCAACTCCGAGCAACCTGAATTCAAATCATTAATTGAAAATGAAAAACGATTTACGATACAATTACTTTTTACTTTATTTTTAATTTCAGGGATATTGCAATAACGAAGAATTGACGCAAGAATCGCTTTCAGAAGACGGTTGGCTAAAGACAGGTGACATTTTTTATAGGGACGAAAATTGGAATTTCTTCTTTGTCGACCGAATGAAAATACTTTTAAAGTATAAAAATCACCAGGTAAAGTACCAAATTTCTTACCAGGTTAACTTACTTTTTATTTAAGATATTAATTATGAATGGATATTTCGCCATGACAGACAAATCGAGCTAATCATAAAATGTGGATGGCTTAATTTTTTTTAAATAACAGTTTTGCTCTTAAAGATATCTCCACTCGAAATAGAGTCCGTTATACGAAAGCACCCGGAAGTACTTCAAGTAGCGGTCACGGGTGTACCTCACCCCACAGACGGTGAGTTACCGGTAGCTTGCGTGGTATTAAGAAAAGGTTCTAGTGCCACAGATCAAGAAATACAAAATATGGTTAAAGGTAAGACATGGAGCGGTTTATTTTTTTCGAATTAATAAATTATCATCGTCTAGTTATGACCATGGATCTCTTATCCAGGTCAGCATGGTCCAAGCGATGTCGACTTTCAATACAAATGAAAATACCCACTTTACAGTCTAAAAAAAAATTTTATTCGGTTCAGTGGAATGTAAAATGATAAACCTTATAAAATGGTTTTCATATAGAGAAGCATAACTTTAATATACTATTATTATAATAAAATAAATAAACAGGTAATGATATAAATTAAACGTGTTTATAAAGCGTCCTAAAATAAAATGAAAATGATATATCATTATAATATATGTCACCGTTTCGGTATTGCATTGTTATGTTATGCGTAAAGGCATTGTTTTATTACACTCGCATGCACTGTATCATGTATCGGGATACCTAATTGTAAGACTTTGCAATTAAATTGGGGAAACTTTTGTAAACATTAATCATTTTTGCAAGATTTCAATGCAAGGAATATTATTTTTCTTATTTCTGTGATAAAGATAAGTGTTTTATGTCTATGGTGCTTGTTAACACCGTACGTTTTCCGTACGGCTTTAACAAGTATATGCATTTTCCTCATTCCTGCATCTGAAACGTTCACGCGACGACGTGTCGGACTAGGAATCTAGACGTATACAGCGTATCCTTACAACCGCGACAATAAATAAACACACGTCTAACGCTACTTGCCAATAATCATAAAAAAAATATAAACGGAAAAAAATACATAATTAAAAAAAAATTTCAAGCAAACGATTAAAATAAAAAAGAAATAAAATTTGCAACATCCTATACAACTACAACTGACTGATTCATACATTCAGAAACTTTTTAATTCGTTGTCACATCGTCGCATTACAAATCTCTCCTTCTAACAGTATGTTTTATCTCTTTTAAATTCATTCAACCCATGCATATGCTTTGTGACCTTTACAATTATGAACTATTTTATGAACTCTACGTTTCAGTTTTATACATAAGAATGTTCTAAAATTGTTTGTTTTGGAAAATTTAATAAATCGGTAAATATTTATATTTAAATAATGTAAATTTTCATACAATTTTAAAAAGTTATCCTTTATATGTGTGTTCATTTATTGTCGCGCTTGTAACGACACGCTGTATAACCATGCTATTATAGTATACATGATTATCATACATTTGTTTTACAAATATTTTTAAAACTTAGTCTATCTCTGCCTACCTTAATTAGTTTATAATTTTGTATAAAATGATTTCGTTTTTCCAGATACGCTGGCTGACTCTAAGCAATTGCGTGGCGGGGTATTATTTATGGCCGAATTACCGTTAACAGTATCATCGAAGATTAATAGGGCCAAACTAAAAATGATTGTTTTGGAGCTTATAAATAAGGAGAATAATTCTAACATGTAGCAGACATTAATAATTATATACTTAATTTTGATATTTTAAACTTCACAAATATTTTTTAGAAAGAAAGAAAGAAAAAGAAATTTATTTAACATCATCGAAAGTAAAAAATAAGACATCCAGGAAGAAAATTAAGTACATTGAAATTATAAATAATAGGCTATCATTATTATACATTTCGACAGGCAGTGTGATGTTAAATGGGTGTTCACTCAGCTCCTGCTGCGGTGTTAACCAGCGCCGGTTTTCAGTGAACCCTATTAGACGAGTTGGGGAAAAATATATATATATATAAAATAATTTATATTACAATAAATAGTAATAGTAAAACATTGTTTTGTTAAAAAAAAATTCTGTTACTATTTGTATACTTATATTATAAGTCCTTTGGATAGGTGTTACGTATAATGCTTTCGGTATTTTACATGAAATGTAATCATTTTATACATGAAATAATAATTTTATTTTAGTATTATAAAAGAAAAACATGGAAACGATAAATTTCCTAAAAAGTAAATTGAAGGAAGAGGTGAAGAAGAAAAACGCAAGGCAATATCTTTAAATTTGATTTATCAATATTTCAATTGAAACATACAAAAATACATATAAGACACTTTTATATAATAAGTAGATCTAGTAAGTCGAGTTTACGGGTCACATAAAACATTCTTTTTACAATGAACTTGACTATACCTATTATAGGTATAAAAATATATACCTATTATATTGGTATAATAACACATAATAAGATATCGCACGCTAGTGGCATACTTATCGTGCCGTGTAGTACACAAAAAATAGATAATGCAATGACTCGCAAGGATTTGTTTGTGGGTGTAATTTTCTTAACTATTTAATGAGTGTTTTAATGATTGTTCGTTTACAAAACAATGAAAAGTGGACAAAAGAACGTGTATGCTAAGAATAAGAATGATTGTAAAAAAAAATATTTTATTGTGAACTATATTATACATTGATTATTGCAGCAGATTTTTAAAGCAATTTCCTTATGACGAGTGAACGAATGTCACAATAACCTAACTTTATTAAAAATCACAAATCTAAAGTTAATTCTTCTCTTTTTTTTGTGAATAGTTGCCAAACGAGCAGACGGTTCACCTGATGGTAAGTGAATGACATCTGCTACACCCGAGGGTTACAGATGCTTTGACAACCTTTTTAAAATTGGGCTCCGGCTACCTCACTCACCAGACGAAACGCGAAAGTATTTGTCATACTTCCACTTTACGCTGGTCTTCTGTGAGGTCGTGGTACTTACCCGGACGAGCCTGCCCATTCGTGCAACAGCCGAGGCTGCTGCATGGCCCTACCACCGTTAAACCTACCTATTTCTATCCTAACTCACTGACTGATTAGACAAACTTCTTTCTTAACACAACCTGAAATCATAGAGCTAATGATATACTCACGCCCCCTTCTTGTGATCTTGCTTCCAATCTTGCTATTTCGCCATTAAATACAGATAAACTTGCTCGTTAAGAGCTGTGATAACTCAGTGTCCGGGCGCTCGCCTTTAATTCAATATACTCGACCAACCTGAGATCGATCCCCGGTGCCTGCACCAATGAAATTGTTTAAGTGCCGAATTGTCACGTGCTCAGCGGTGAAGGAAAACATCGTGAGGAAACCAGCATGTTATCGAAATAATAATAAAAAAAAATATTTCGAAGATATTTGAAGTCGGCCAATCCGCAGTGGGGCCGCGTGGTGGACAGTTATAGGTAGCGATCAGTTATCTAGTACCCATAGTACAAGCGGTCCTTAGTTTGGGACTAAAGATCGTTGTATAAAAAAATGTGTCGTAAAATATTTATTTTTAAAAATACTTGTCCAATGTAGGAATCGAACACATTACTCCGATGCCGGAGCCGATAGCTTAAAAACTGCGTCGACTGTCATCGTGAAAATAAAGTTAGATATTTCATGGGAAAAAAACGGAAATGCCCTGTTGCTGATTATGTACTAACCTTCAACACGTAATTGAATATTCTATTTGTGGAACCCCAACGAGTTGTTCTTATGAATATATGATTAACTCGAGGTCTCTGAAACGAGCCTATAATTTGGTTAAATTGTTGTTACGTAGAAGGGCACTTACTCATTTAGTATTAAATAAAGTATGAGTTTGACGGAAAGCGGGCAGTTGGCAGTGCCGTGGATTTTTAATAAGGTGCTATTTTTATTCTACCGTATATGTGTACTCGTACTTGCATGAATCCTTACTTCCTTACTAATATTATAAATGCGAAACTTTGTATGTATGGATGGATGTTTGTTACTCTTTCACGCAAATACTACTGAATGGATTTTGATGAAACTTTACAATAAAATAGCTTATACATCAGAATAAGACATAGGCTATAATTTATATAGAAACAAAGCTATGATTAGATTGGACTGGAGAGATTTGCTTGACCAGGCTAAGGCCCACACGCGGCTGTAATGCCTCAGATGATGATGATGATGATATCATCGTCATCATCATCTGAGGCCTAATTTATACACTTATTTTTATGTATATCCGTCTTTCTGTCTGAATGTTACGCCTTCGATCTATTCTACGCAGACGTAGTCGCGGGCAGCTGCTAGTCGAACATAAAATAAAAGTCGATAACTTAAAAAACACCTTCGGTTATTACTTGTATTTATTTTGAAGCGCATAACGCAGTCATATTTATCCTCAACATAAAAATAAGATTTTAATAATATATCTGGTCGTCTGATAATCCTGAAATTTATTAAGAAGATTCTAAACTCATTCTACACTAAATCATTCTAAACTAAATCGAAACATACTGTTTTTTCTTCTACAACAATATTAGCGATTTCAAAATATAGCTTCTGAAATTTGAACAGCAAATCCCGATTAATTTACTTGATGGTAAAACGTGAAGCCAGTAACTCAACTATTTAGATGAGACACCTAGAAAAGGCGTACACCTTTCTTTACTCTCTGTACTAGAGGAATATCCCACTGTCAGATTTAATAATGTTAAGTTGTTTAGTCAAGTATAAGATAATTTGTATGTGTGGTTACCCAGCTGAACTTCAAATTTCCACGTAGTAAGTCATCTGTATGTGGGCTAGGATTTTGTGTCAGTCAGTGATATAAATGCCAATTACTAGACGTTAATATCTGAATAGCCGCAAGCTTTGACCTGTGTTTATAAAATTAAGGGTTCTAGTTAATCTAAAGGAATAGATGAAAATAGGTGAATAGGTTTCAAATTATTGGGGAGCAAAAGTGGATCTAAATGACTTGAGTAATATAACATACTACTGTAACATCGCTAGTCCTATTGACTTGAACTGGACATGACAAAAGGCAATATCTATTAACAGATTTAAGAAATTTATTAAAGAAAAACTTTTTAAAAGGGTTATTATAATATAAATGAATACGTTATAACCTCTGGGAATGAGATGATCGCTCCTAAGCTGTTTCTAAAAAAAATTGTACTGTATAATAATGTATTTGTTGAGAGAAAAAAAAATGACAAAAAAGAGGATACCTACGGAGTTTCTTTCGCCTGTTTCTCATTACGAAACGGTGGTAGATTTAAAAAAAGTATCGATAAATAAAATGTATATTTCTTATTTCGATGAATAAATGATTTGAATTTGAATTTGCACTAAGGCACATCAAAATATTCCTTGTAATTATTTTTAATCTTTTGGTAACAGACTGTATATAAGCACTCAACTCTTGAAGGCTTGTCAGGTTGTAGGAAATATATAGATGGTGTTAGTCATCGGTTTGATCGCTTCCTTGTCCCGAAACTTATCAGGTCTACAAACATTACAGCAATTATTTGACCAATGAAATCAAAACAAAGCATCTTATTGACGCACCCCAAGAGAATTCAGGAATATCCGTGGGACAGTGTTAAATAAGCCGTTTGACATAAAAATTATTTTATATAATGAAACGATGTTTTCGCGAACAAAAATGAAATAAGCGACTAATAAGCGAGCTTCCGTTTTATGTACCTGATGTTAAGCGATAACTGGGACAGACATTTGCAATACCCGTAAGGTTACAGATGCGTTGCCGCCTTTTTTTTTTTTTAATTAAACACTGGCCAGCACTTGACTGCCAAATCACCTGGTGGTAAGTGGCGAAGCAGCCGTTGATGCTGAGTGCGCTAGCTTAGTAAAAAAACTATTCTCTCTTGCCTTGAAAACGCCTACGTTGTAATCGAACGGTAAAACAGACGCCGGCATAGAGTTCCATTCCATAGCCTTTACAGATGATAACTGACGAAACGAATCGCTTTGTTCTTGTGCGTGGAACGTCGACAGCATAAGGGTAGAGCCCCACCGAACGCCTAACTCTCCGATGATGGAAGGGGCGGGAGGAATCAGATTTTTAACAAAGTTACGGTCACCAATGAGCCTTTCCGCACGCCTCTCAATTGAGTCCAAGGCAGCCAGATGGCATTTTGCAGGCGCAGCCCAGTATATTATATATGGCCCGTGAGGAGTTGCCAGATCTCCCATCGGGCGCGTCCCCAGGTGGCGGATAGGGGAATATCATCCAAATTTGGGTGATACCGGGAAACCGGCGCGGACCAAAACTGGCAGGGGGGGGCGTTCTGTAAGTCCTTTTCAGGATTCATGGACGTCCAAGGACTCGATGTCCTAGGAGGCAAGCCTGCAAGGCGGGCCTTCGCTGCTCCCAGTATCCCTCTCTAGTGAGAGGGGACAGGGGATGCAACAAGGGGGGGAATGTGCGAGATGTATGGAAGATGTGTGTTTTGGGGGGGGGTAAGGGGAATCAGGTTGAGTGTTTGCGTGATGTATGAAAGGAAGTTCCCGAAAGGGGACAGTGTGACTCATGCGGTGTGTTTGCCAAGTGCACTCGGCTTTTGCTGACACCGGGTGATCTCGGTACTCTGCTGCAGGTGTCGTGGATCATGTCTCGCGGCCTGCAATAGAACTGAGGGTCTTGCCTTAACCAGCCGGACCGCGAGGAGTAAACCTCAATAAAAAATCCGGAGATTTCAGCGTTGTGGTGCGCGGCGCTGAATGCTCGAAAGAGCGGCTGGACCGACAAACCAGTCATAGCGGCCAACCCTGGGTACCTCCCGACCCCCAGGTGTATGTAGGGTTACCGGGCTACAAGGTCACTGGCCCGGCGGACTTTTTATTTACCTAATACACGTGGGAATCAAATGGAACATTTATTGAAAACTAATAACGATAACGGCAAGGAAATAGACAATGTTGTGCTTAGTGAATTGGCTGACGAAAGGTGCGTGGACCGGAGGAGGTCTGCGTCTGCTGGAGAGACGAGTCGGATGGCGGAAGAACAACCATCAAAATTTTTTAAGGACGCTCGAAAGCGCCCGAGAGGAGGCGATGACCAGAACCTCAGTGGATTGTCGAGTGACGATGAGCAACCGGCACAAAAGGTGTTAGCTGGGCAGTTGGGGCGCACTTCGTCCCCCGTACTGGTGAGGGACAAGCGGGGTCGGTTCCTTAAGAGAACGGATACTCAGGTAGGAAACCGAAGGAAAAAGGGTAACCAATCAGGGTCAGACAACGAGAGTTGCAAGGTATCCGCTTCCCAGAACAGCGATGAGAATATTACTGACGGAAATCATACGACTGGTATTGACCTAATCAAGAAAAAAGGCAAAGGTGCCAAAGTCAATCCGAAGCGTACGGCTAGAGAGCTCCAGGTCGAACAAGAGGCAGCGGAAGCTGTGCGTAAAGCACGTGATCTGAAACAGGCCTCTGCAGACACGGGTGGACAATCTTTGGTGGACGACCTGCGGGAGCAAGTGCTCCAGCAGGTAACTGTTATCACACACGTGGCCTCCAAGTCCTCCCACCTTAAGGGCACCTTTGTTAAGGCCCTTAGGGATGCAGCCAGAACAATCAGCGACGCCGTGGAGGTACTCAGTAAAGCCACGGTCTCGGAAGAGACCAAAAAGCTGGCTGCAGACAATAAACGCCTTAAAGCAGAGGTGGCAGAGCTCCGCAGCGAGCTATCCGCTATACGTGCTGACCTCCGCCACAACCAAGGCCTGGACGAAATAGCAGTTCCATCCACCTCAAGCGCTTCTCAAGACCCAGAGCTCATGCGACGGTCGATAATTGAGGCCGTCGGAACCATGATCAATGCTCGGTTTGCGGGCTTGGAGGACAGGTTACTGCCTGAGAAGCGCCTTCGCCCCGCTCTGGCGGCAGACAGTCGCATAAATGTGTCGTACGCGGCCAAAGTGAATCCTCGGGCAACGGTAAGCGCCACCAAACCGGCGAGTGAATCAGTCTCGAAGTCCGGGTCTTTCCCTCCCTACGTACAGCAAGAGGTGCAAATACAGCAGGAAAGTAGAGAGAAACGGAATACTCTGGCCAGCAATGATCAGAGAGCACCCACTAACGAGTGGACTGTGGTGACTCATCGTAGCAAACCTCGCACTAACTCTACAGTAGCAGGACAGGCCGAAAAACCGAAACAACGCCAAAGAATGCCGAAGCTGCGGCCCCCTCGCTCGTCCGCTGTAGTGATAAAGCTACAGCCGGATGCAGCGGAAAAAGGAGTCACCTATGCCGGCATCCTTAAAGAGGCCAAAAAAAAAACCATGGATCTGGAAGCTCTTGGGATTCAGGCCATCCGGTTTAGAAAGGCCGCAACAGGAGCCCGAATTTTGGAGGTGCCGGGAGTCACAAGTGGCGATAAGGCTAACTTGTTAGCTGAAAAGCTTCGTCAGGTGGTCAGTCAAGAGATCGCCACAGTTTCCAGGCCAGAAAAATGCGCAGATTTACGCATCTCAGGCCTGGATGACTCCGTGGAAAAAGTTGAGGTTGCTGAAGCTATAGCACGGGCTGGCGAGTGCCAAGCAGCCTCCATCAAGGTCAGCGAAATTCGCCGGGACCGATCTGGACTGGGCACGGTATTGGTTGGTTGCCCTGTTGGTGCTGCCGGAAAGATTGCAGAAACCGGCCGTCTCTTAATCGGCTGGTCCTCGGTGCGGGTCAAGCTGCTGCCGCGAAGACCTCTGCGGTGCTACCGGTGCCTGGAAACGGGACACGTTCGGGAACAGTGCACTGCGACGGTCGATCGCAGCAGCACGTGCTTTCGTTGCGGACAGCTGGGTCACATTTCTAGTCAGTGCTCCGCGGCCCCCTATTGTCTAGTGTGTGCCGCTTCGAATAAGCCCGCTGGCCACACAGTAGGAGGTAAGGCATGCATGGCGAACAAGCTTGAAAAGAGGAGGCGACGGGGAAGTGTTACTAGAGCACCAGTCCAGTCGCAAACATCCCACCAGCATGTTGACGATGCCAGGGAGGAGGGGACTCCAATGACTATTCAGTAGTTTATGGCCACCCTAAATTTCTTGCAGGCGAACCTCAATCACTGTGCCAGAGCCCAGGACCTTCTACTGCAAAGCATGGCACAGTGGATGATTCAGGTTGCCCTGGTGTCGGAGCCGTACTTCATCCCCCCTAGCGAAAACTGGGCTGGGGATCACTCCGGCACTGTGGCGATGGTTTGCAGTACTGCTGCGGGTTCTCCTCCTCTCGATAACGTGAGAAAAGGACAGGGCTTCGTGGCCGCTCTGTTGGGAGAAATTTTCATCGTTTCGGTGTACTTTTCTCCAAATAGGACGCTGGCCGAATTTGAGAGCTACCTTGACCGACTGGGATCAATGCTCCGGCAACTGAATCCCTACCCCGTGCTAGTCGCTGGGGATCTCAATGCAAAATCTGCGGCGTGGGGATCACCCATAACTGACGCGCGGGGTAGGGTGCTGGAGGAATGGCTCGTGGAGGTCGGGCTATCTATCCTTAATCGGGGCTCGGTGAACACGTGCGTGCGGTCGCGGGGTGGATCTGTTGTGGACGTCTCATTCGCAAGCCCCGCCTTAGCACGCCGTGTCCGTGGCTGGAAGGTGGTTGTTGGCGTAGAGACTCTATCGGATCACCGCTATATCCGATTCGACGTCTCCGCCCTACCAGATCCCTTGACCGGCCTAAGCCGACCCGCCAGGGAAGACGGCCCAAGGTGGCAGCTCAGAAGTCTAGACCGAGAAGTTCTGAAGGAGGCCGCAATCGTCCAGTCCTGGGTGTCTGCGCCTAGTCATTTGGACGTCGAGGAGGAGGCGGAATGGTTTCGGGAAGTAATGACGCAGGTGTGCGATGTGTCCATGTCCCGGTCCAGAAAGCTTCCTCCCAAGCGCCAGGTGTACTGGTGGTCTACGGAAATCGCGCAAATGCGCAGAGCGTGTCTAGTGGCTAGACGCCGGTACACCCGATGCCGAAGGCGGCGGCGCGCAGGGATTTGGACCTGGAAACCGAGTTGTACACCTCCTTCAGACAGGCCAAGATGACTTTACAAGCGGCTATAGCTTCAGCGATTGCTGTTGCCAGGGAGGAGTTTTTGGCTGCACTTAACCGTGATCCGTGGGGGAGGCAGTACAGGATGGTGATGAACAAGCTTCGCCCTTGGGCCCCCCCACTGACACAGAGTCTGCGGCCTCAACTGGTAGCGGCGATCGCCGCAGCTTTATTTCCGCAGCGGGAGGAGCACTCGCCACCTTCGATGGCACGACCCAGCACGGAGATGACCGACCCAAGCTTGGATATACCGGAGGTGACTCTCCGGGAGAGTTCGGCGCTGCCGTCCTTAGGATGAAACTCAAAAGCGCCGCCCCGGGTCCCGACGGCATCCCGGGACGAGCCTGGGCACTGGCCCTGGGGGATGCCCTGGAGCCTAGGTTGAGGGAGATGTTTACTGCCTGTCTGGCCCAAGCCATAATTCCACAGAGGTGGAAGACAGGCAGACTCGTCCTCATCCGGAAGCAGGGGCGTCCCATGGACTCGCCCTCCGCCTATCGACCGATAGTGTTACTCGACGATGTGGGGAAGCTCTTTGAAAGAGTTGTTGCTGGCCGCATCGTCGAGCACCTTGAAAACGTTGGTCCGAATCTGGCGGAGAGGCAATTCGGGTTCCGCAAGGGTCGGTCAACCATCCACGCGGTGTTGCAAGTTAGGTCTCTCGCGCAGGAAGCAGTGTCCCAGGGCGGAGTCGTCCTGGCGGTGTCTCTTGACATCGCCAACGCCTTTAACACTCTGCCCTGGGCTTGCATTAGGGAGGCGCTCCGGTTCCATGGAGTGCCCCTCTACCTGCGCCGTACCATCGAGGCTTACTTGTCGCATCGCCGTGTAGAGTTTCCGTGCCAAGACGGGCATCGAACCATCGAGGTGACGTGCGGTGTTCCACAGGGGTCGGTGTTAGGGCCACTCCTGTGGAACTTAGGCTATGACTGGGTGCTACGTGGCGCCTATCTCAGGGGTGTCGAGGTGTTTTGTTACGCTGATGACACCCTTGTGACCGCTCGTGGCACAAACTTTCACCGGGCCGCTATTCTCGCCACTGCGGGAGTGGCTCAGGTAGTGGGACGCATTCGGCGACTAGGGCTAGAGGTGGCGCTGAATAAATCCGAGGCTCTATGTTTTTATGGAGCCCGGAATGCGCCACCTGCGGACGCTCACATTATTGTGTGTGGGGTCCGTGTCGACGTAGCACCTACGATAAGGTATCTAGGCCTAGTTTTAGATCGCCGATGGGATTTCCGGGCCCACTTCGAGCGACTGGCTCCCAAAGTGGCGAAAGCAGCGGCAGCTCTCGGTAGGCTGCTCCCGAACGTTGGCGGCCCCAACGACTCCTGTCGTCGCTTATACGCCGGAGTCGTGCGATCCATGGCCCTGTACGGAGCTCCCGTTTGGGCTGACACCCTGAAGCGCCGGACCCAAGCGCTTCTGCGCAAACCGCAGAGGGTGTTGGCTATCCGGGCCATACGGGGCTACCGGACGATCTCCGGTGAGGCGGCTTGCCTGTTGGCCGGCTTCCTGCCTTGGGATTTAGAAGCTAAGATCCTCGCGTCATTGCACTCCTGGCGCGAGGCTGCAAAATCCCAGGGCCACATGCCGGCCCCGGAGGAGTTGGAGGAGCGCAGGCGTCGCCTGCGCTCAAACGCCATCGATGAGTGGGAGCAGAGGCTGGAGCACCCCAGTGCCGGCCTAAGAACCGTAGAGGCCATACGTCCTGTCCTCAGGAGGTGGCTGGATAGGCGACACGGCACCCTTACCTACCGTGCAACGCAGGTCCTCTCGGGACATGGTTGTTTCGGGAGGTACCTGTTTTGCGTGGCGAGGAGGGAGCCCACAGCGGAATGCCACCACTGTGACGTATGTGCCGAGGAGACGGCCCAACACGCACTGGAGGAGTGCTCAGCCTGGACGGAGCAGCGCCGAGAGCTGTACGCTATCGTGGGGCACGACCTCTCGCTACCAGCCGTGGTTCGCGCTATGGTTGACAGCGAGAGGGCGTGGGGTGCTGTCCTCGCATACTGCGAGGACGTTATCACCCGGAAGGAGGCCGCGGAGAGGGAAAGGGAGGCAACTGCCACCCTGGAAATTCGCCGCCGGAGACCAGGGCGCAGGAGGCTGGCCTACGCGCGCAACCTTCCCCCCTGATGGTGAGACCCTGAGCGGCAGACATGGGAGTGTCTGTCGCTCAATATGGGGCTCGTGATGTGTGCTGTGCCAATTGCACGGGCACAGCACTATGTAGTAGAGGAGGCGTAAAGGGGCCATAGTCGCGCCGGGGTCGCGGAAGATTGCGTTCACGTGTTCCCGTGTCCCCGGCTGATGCGACAGAGACAGGTGCAACGTGGGTTTTTTAGTGGGTAACCGTTTTTAACGGGACTCCCACATACCCCTGCCACTTCTCCCATCCAGTGGCAGGGGATCCATAAAGGATTTTTCCCACGAAAAAAAAAAAAAAAAAAAAAAAAAAAAAAAGTATATTATATATGGCAACAGTACTCCATACACGATCGGACTTGAGCTTTGTATAGAGTAAGAAGCCGTCCCTATGTGAAGTACCCTCGCATCTTTGCAAGGACGCTTAACTTTCTTGCAGCTGCCCTAGCTTTAGTCTCAATGAACCGCCCCAAGTTGAGGTTTGACGATATTTCGACTCCCAACAACTAAAGGCGATCGGTATACTCCAAGGACACTTTCACACACATTTTTAATAAGTTGGGTCCGGTAATCCCACCCACCAGACACTTCCGTTTCACGCCGATCTTCTGTGAGATCGTAATACCTCCTGGATGAGCCAGCCATTTTGCGCAACCGCAAATACTCCTGCGTGGCCCAACGAACCATAAAAAGCCACTGCTGTTTACAATGCAAAATTAAATGGTTTATACATATATTAGAATCGTATTGGCCTACGTTTCTTATTTGTCCAGACGGAAATGACATTCTTAGGTAATAGGCGCTATCCGGTGTAGGTAAGTATTTACATAGAATAGCATACAGTAACGCTTCGTTTGACTATAATGTCAATGAATATTACAGAAAGGGGGAGAATCAGAATGCAGCCTTTGGTATCTCGAATAAAACGCTACTAAAAGGAAATGTCAGTGTGTATGCGGCTTTAGCTAATATTTCCGCAAATATTACATAAGGAACCGTCATTGACAAGTCGCGCATAAGTTAATGGAACTTCTTGGTATCAACCACTAGTGGAGGTTACAAGTGCTATCTAGTGCGTCCTTTATTCGAGTAGCAAAATCTGTAGATGTAAGTAGAATAAAAAACATCAGTGCCCTATTTTAAATATATGGCTACTTTTATATAATGAAAATACTAAAATCACTCTAATAATTAAATAAAAATTTTATAATGATTTTTGAATATTTTTTAATTTTCTAATTACACTACTTTGATAAAATAAAACAATATAGGTAAATGAAATATACATAGTAAAGTATTCGAAATTATTTTTACTTCTGTCTCTTTTACTTACTTCTGTTTTATTTGATGATAACGTTACATAGCTGGATTATAAGAAAATAAAAAAAAATTATCTTACGTAATAAAAAACTAAAGCAGTGATTGTATTCAGCAAGGCGAAGTACTAGAAAATAATAAATTGCGATGCACTTGACAATGACCTTTAATAGCAAACAATCGACCAGTAAAGTAGCTGTATGGTATAATGGTACTCATATGAGGCGCTTTTAGGCCAAAGAGGGAATAAGAGCACGAAATTATTCCAAAACTTTGTGTTTTTCTAGTGTCTGGGTGTTTCTATATGTATAATATGTATTTATTTACAAAAGAAAAGTATGTTTAAGTATGTTTATCAGTTTTCTAGTACCCATTGTACAAGCTTTGCTTAGTTTGGGACTAGAAAATGTTGTGTACAAATGTGTCCTAAATATTTATTTATTTATTATTTATTTACTTATCATGACACCTGTTCCAATTCATAATATCTAGCAAGCATAGACTATTTTAACCAAAGTGTAACTGGTAACTTTATTTCTGGATTAACACTAGAAATAAAGTCACGGAAGTAAAAAACATACATTATGGGTCTTAAGGCCTTTAATAAATGTTATGGTAGAGATGCATTTATGTACACTTAAAACAAATGACCAATTTAAATGAAGCTCGTTTTAGCTCTTGAAATGTACCGCGTTAATGATGCAGTCCATTGGTTTATGAACGATCTCTCGTCACGAGTCATAGCCCAATCCGGAATCCCGAGTGACAGATATCATCTTGGGAAACTCATATTACAGAGCTTCAAGGATGCCCCAGACTTTATTACACAGGTTTGTCACATTTAAATATTCATGCTATTCCATTAAAAATATTTTGTCAATTTATAAAAGCTAGTGGTCGCCCAGTGAAGAAGTTAATTATACATAGGAGCGTGTGTAATATTTTTTTATTGATTTATTGACATAAATAATATAAATGGCACAAATATATAATCTGCACAAAGATACTCATATTCAACACCGTCATCTACTTACTTCAGCTCCTTCTGATGCCGCTTCGGCCGGCCAAAATATCTACGCAAAAAGAGTGCGTTCCTTCTGTACCAAGGAATTAAAGTCAAGCATCGGGTCTATTTCCGTCGTGATGGAAAATGCCACAAAGTCTAAAATTGCTGGAACATTGGCGGACTTACTTTTTAGTTCAGCGTGTAACAAGAATGATTTAATATATTAGAGTTATACACAAGTCCAAAATATTTTTAGCTTAAGAAAAAGAATCATCAATATAGCCGTCTATTAAATATACTTTTCGTAACAACCCTTAGATCGATGGAGGGACTGGTGAAAGTGAAACCAACGTGTCAGTCATGAAAAGATCTATTCAGTGCGCCGCCGCATTAAGAAACATTGGTCTGGAGCATGGGGACGTCATGGTGGTGATGGCCCCAAATCACATTGATGTCGCTATACCGTTCTACGCTGCTCTTTACCTCGGAGTCATTATATCTGCGGTAGACAGAACTCTGGGTATTAGTACGTATCAATGTGTAAAATAATACACAATGGAATTCAATACACAATGGAATACACAATGGAATACACAATGGAATACACAATGGAATACACAATGGAATTCAACAATAAAACAAGAAATCGAGTTAATCAAAACATGTAGATAATAAATACAAATACAACAGTGGAATCACACACTTCAACTAGCAGAATCTCGCTATGCAATCCAATGCTATTTTATCATAATTATCTAGCGTAATTGATTCATTATTGAGATCGGTTTCGCAATTTGAGATAGCTTCTCTTTATTTTATTTCACATAATTATGTCTGTGTAGGTTAATGACTGAAGATCCCGCAAGTAATAAGTAGCAATAAATCGCACGTGATAACTGTCACACGAAGCACACATCCTTGCCTTTATATTTATTAATTTTAGTTAATTTTTTTTACGTGAAAAGTTGCCAAACGAGCAGACGGTTCATCTGATGTTAAGTGAATACCACCGCCCATGGACATCTGCTACACGCGAGGGTTTGCAGATACCTTTTTGGAAATTGGACTCCGCCTAACTCGCTGACCAGACGAAACGCGAAAGTATTTTTCATACTTCCACTTCACGCCGGTCCTCTGTGAAGTCGTGGTACTTACCCGGACGAGCCTGCCCATTCGTGCAACAGCACCAGGCTGCTGCGTGGCTCTACCACCGTCTATTTAGAAGAATGTGTGCTTCTCTCACATTTTACAGATGAACTTCAGGGGTCATTCGGTATCAGTAAACCAAAAATAGTGTTTTGCCAAAGCGACAAAGCAACTGACGTCCAATTGGCATTAAACAAACTGGACTTGAGAACCCACATCGTAACATTTGACAAAGGCGATTACCTTTTTAACTACGCAGATTTTCTAGACAAATACGGTGACACGTCCGCGGCTTACGACTTCAAGTACGTTTTTTTTTTAAATATCATAATTCAATCAGTCATCAAAGGTTAATAAATAAATCATCCTCTTGCCTTTATCCCACCTAGGTGGGGTTGGCAGAACATGTGAATATGTTGTAAGCGGTTTGGCTATGTTTTTTACGACCGGCAATTATCTGTGGGTCACAAAAATAATTTGCTCGTGTGGAAATCGAACTCACGACCCCCGACGCCGAAGACAATAGCTTAACAACGGCGCCACCGAGTCATAGGTTAATAAATAATAAATATTCAAAAGCAATATATAAAATTATATAGGTACTATAGATGTCCAATATCTTATCAATATTTCTCTGACGAAAGTGGTGAAAGAAATATTACAGCCGGTGCCGGTGATTAAGGTGTCTTATTTATTTCTTCCACGATGTTCACAACCAAGAAAAATTAAAATTAGAATTTTACATTTTACAAATTTAAACTTTTTTTAGTGTTAATCTGCAGAGATAAGCACTATAAAAATTTAAACATAAGATTTAACTTTAAAATTTGTAGAAAAAATACGAAAAGATTGTCGCCTTTTAATAAGATAGTACCTTACTTTTTTAATAAGATAGTATTTTGTATATTGGTCATGACATACAGGTTAATGCAATATATCCGTGGTGTAAACAAAAAAGTATACGTGCTGTGGTTATATAATTTTTACAGATTCAATCTCAATGATTTCAACTTAATTTATAATCATTTTTCAAGCGCAAATATTGTTTATAAGTAACTACTTACATTAAATCTATGCACGTTCATATATTATTCTAAATAACTAATTTACAATTGTATTAACGCTATTGCAGGCCATCTGACTTTGATCCAGAAAGTACTATAGCTTTTCTTATTGCTACCAGTGGGACAACAGGCTTACCAAAAGCAGCTGCAGTTACTCACAAGAATATTGTAATCACAAACCCATATCTGTGGTAATCCTAAACTTTCATTATTCTTATTTAACTGTGCTAAATGACCATTTTAAGACCATAATAAAGATAGTTTTCGCATAAGTATTTTTAAGTGGCTGGTTTGGCTATTTAGCAGTTATAACCACAGCAATTTCAATAACGTAATAATTTACATTCTATTTATTAACACGATACCGTGCCATACGCCAAAACATATTTGAATACTAACATTTGAACTGTTTACTTAGGGTAAGACAGTTCAATTTCCCAACACCGACGCGCTTGGCGTTAATCGGATCGCCTCTTCAATGGCTGACAGCGATAGTCAACTTTGTTTTGTCACCGATTTTGAGATACACTAGACTGCAGACGTCGTTAACTCTTACGCCGGATCACGCGTACTATCTTATTAATAAATACAGAGTAAGTTAATGTATTTATCGCAATAATATGTAATACACGAGTAGGTAGGTAACGTCGGTAGGACATTACTTTTTCATCTATTTCTAGTGTCTAATGCCGGGAATTGAAAACAAAAAAACTCGATAAATCCGTAAAAAATAGTTACATCCAGTACTTACTCGCGTAAATGTGGAAAATTGTCATGTGTTATTTTTTTTGCCGCTGCCAGTATTCGAACCTGCGCTTTCTGGGTAACGCGCTCAAAAGCTCTAGCCTCTATACTAAGCGATCGATATCCATTTAGATAATGACATTTCAAAACAGAACATTAGAAAACTAGAGAGATGCCGCTTTTGCTATTGAATATGTGAAATACCTATAATATTTTTTCAGTATCGAAGACATTGAAATATAATAAACTAGAGACCCACCCCTGTTACGCACGAGTTCAATGTAGATATTGAATTTCTCAGCTTTTCTGTACATTAATATGCATATATACACGTATAAACCTCCCGCTTGAATCACTGTATCTATTGCTGAAAACCACATTAAAATCCGTTGCGTAGTTTAAAAGATCACAAACATCGGTGGCGACATTGTTTTATACTATTAAAAGATTATATTATATTGATTATAAATTAAATAGAAATTTACATATAGTGTCTAAGTATATCTTGTATTCTTTATTATTCTTTATTACTTTGTTTAACATATTTTTCAGCCATCATTTACGCTACTTAGTCCGACAATGATGACTACGCTAATGAAGCCCGGTGTTCGAGAACAATGTGACTTCTCGTGTTTAGACCTTCTTTATCTTGGTGGCAGCCCTGTGCCGCGGGAACTCATGAACGAAATACAGGTTAGTATAGTTAATATAAAATAAATTAATGTTCATTTAGCAAACACATAAGAGACATTTTCAAAGACTACAGGAAGAAGAAAATGTTTAGGATAATAAAATTGAAGCTAGTAGAAACAATATAATGCATTTTTGTTGTTTGAATTATAATGCATTAAGAAACAACATAACAATGTCGTTTCCTAACGGTGGTAGGGCGACGCAACAGTGTTGCACGAATGGGCAGGTCCGTCCGGGTTAGAACTACGACCTCACAGAAGACCGGCGTAAAGTATAAGTGTTGCACTTCTGCGTTTCGTCTGGTGAGTGAGGTAGCCGGGGCCCATATTATTAATAGATGGCAACGCATCTGCAACCCTACGGGTTTTGCAAATGTCCATGGGCAACCGGTTATCACTTAAGATCAGATGATCCGCCAGCTCGTTTGCCACTTCCTCACAAAAAAAAATGCATTATAATTCACTCAATGCATCTGCAGCAATACAGTTACAGTTACGCATTTCGGTCACTTGCTTTATTGGTCATTAACGACTTCAAGTCGGTCTACATTGACAGGGGATTATCAAAGGTGTATTATAGACAAAGAAGATCACGTTTGTAACATATATTTAATTGTAATATCGACTGATTTACATATAAACATATATTACATACATCGCATTCATAATCACAAATAAATAAAATATCATAAGTAGCAGTAGAACTCCGCGTTAATGAATAAAGGAAAACATCACGAAAAACCTGCATACCGTAATAATAAAATTAAAACGATATATTTTATCAACACATATCTTATTTTTTATTACAATTTGGAAATATGCGGGTTTCCTCACGATATTTTCCTTCTTCGCTGAGCACGTGAGAAGTCAGCACTTAACAATTACAATTAACAATTTTATTGATGGAGACAACGAAATTTGATCTCAGGACGCTCGTGTATAATAAACTAAAAGCAAGCGCCCGGACTCTGAAATATATCACGAATATATTTCCATAATCTTATTATTTAATACTATATTGAATTGAAACTTGGTATATTTTAACACACAAATAAATCCAGCAAAGCTCTTTTAACATAACAGTTCATGAATCAATGTCATTTTTTAAATAAATGGCACTTTTCTGATTCAGCGGGTGACGCCACATACCGAGGTTCTTAACATTTACGGAATGAGTGAACTCACAAGTGTGGGCTTTATTTCTGACTTCTCGCCGCCAGAATCTTGCGGTAAGCCGTTAGGCTGCTTCCGATACCGGGTAAGGAAATAATTTACACTCTATCTCTACAATTGTGAACCAAAAATTTTACAGATTAATTTTTAGTTTATGGTTGTTTCTTACGCTTGTCCGAAACTATCGCCTCTTTTGAGCGTTGAATGGATGATGATTTTGTGTATATATTTCGAATCACACCTGTGACTTTAATGCTTGTACGATACATGTAAATGTATAAAAATAGTCTAAATACCATTTATATTCTCTATAATCAACGAGATAAATATCGCAAACAATAAAAAAAAAGCACAATGAAATGCTATTTACCTATTCATTTAATTTTTAGTTAGTGGATCCAGATACACACCAAGATATTTCGAAGCCTAATACACCAGGGGAGTTATGGGTGAAGGGACCTGGCATTTTTAAGGTAAGTCTTTTTTATTAATAAATATAACTTTTTTCGGTTTAAGCTCATATCTCAAGAATTGCAATCGTGACAATCTACATAACCATGTAACATTGTAAAGTATTTTTTTAATAATTTTTTAAATGATTTTATCCTTACCAATATTATAAAGGCGAAAGTTTGTATATATGGATGGATGTTTCACGCAAATACTACTGAATGGATTTTAATGAAACTTTACAATAATATAGCTTATACATCAGAATAAGACATAGGCTATAATTTATATACATGTTTTATGTATATGTGTTTCTGTATTAATGATACACCTTCAGCCTATTCTACGCAGAGCGGGCAGTCGCGGGCAGCACCTAGTACATATACACAAGATTTTTCAATTTTGTTCAGTCTGACCTACGAACTAGGATCTCGGCATGACCTTTTAGCGACTAAGTACTATTATTGTGAAAAAGGTGTAGATTTTTTAATACCTACTTCAACTTGAAATATCATTTTCGAAAGATGTGCACCGCCGGTAAAATTAAAATTCATGTGCTAGATTTTAGACTGCCTGACTTTTAGACGCCCTATTTTTGTAAAACGTAAATTAAGATGATTAAATAAGTATGTCGCTTATAGGCGACATACTAACTAATTACCACCGCCAACGGACATCTACAATACTCGTGATATTGTAGTTGCGTTGCCACGCTATGGGATGTGGGTCCCGTTTAACTAGGCCACGAGACAAAATGCATAAAGACTATTATAAGTCTATAATATCGTACACCTATAACGATGGTAGGACCACTCAACAGTCTGGATGGAGCAGCGCCGAGAGCACTTTGAGTGTGGTTCGTGCTATGGTTAACAGCGAGAGGGCGTGGGGTGCTGTCCTCGAATACTGCGAGGACGTTATCACCCGGAAGGAGGCCGCGGAGAGATAAAGGGAGGCAACTGCCACCCTGGAAATCCACCGTCGGAAGACCAGGGCGAAAGAGGCTGGCCTACGCGCGCAACCTTCCCCCCTGATAGTGAGGCCCTGAGCGGCAGACATGGGGGTGTCTGCTGCTGCACATAGGGCTAGTGCCGGGTGCTGTGCTAGCACCGGCAAAGCACCATTTAGCCGGACTGGGTGACGTAGCACCCGTGAAGAGGAGGCCTAAGATCATATTCGTGCCGGGGTTGCGGAAGATTGCGTCTACTCGTTCCTGAGTCCCCGGCCGATGCGACAGAGGCAGACGTAACGTGGGTTTTTTAATGGGTACCCGTCTCCGGGACTTGCACCTGCCACTCCCCCAATCCAGTGACAGGGGATTCATAAAGGATTTTTCCCTCGGGAAAAAAAGGACCACAATATAATTATATTTGCACACACAATATAAAATATACATTTTGTAAGAAATGACAAAAACATGTACAAAGGCGAGCTCAACCCTAAAGAGTTCTCTTCCAGCAGAACCTTGAAAACAGGAAACTATAGTAATGTTAGGTAACTAGGTGAAGGCGTGCACATTTCGTCTGTTGAGCGGGGTAGCCGGAGCACACTTTATGAACAGGTGGCAACGCATCTGGACCCTATGTGTGCACATGGGCAGGCGGATATCACTTAACATCAGGTGAACCGCCAGCTCGTTTGCGACTTTCTCACATAAAGAAATACATATCAAGGATTCTTAACATTTTGACATTAGGAGTATTATAACAACCCTCAAGCGACTGAAGAAACGTTCGCAGAAGACCGTTGGTTCAAGACCGGCGATATGTTCTACAGGGACGAGAACGGGAATTACTTTTATGTTGAACGGATAAAACTATTGCTGAAATATAAAAGTTTTCAGGTAAGAAAACATTCTGTCTTTCATCCCTCGATAAGACTGAACACAATATTAAATGAGATTTGTAACTATGTACTGAGTAAATAAAGAAGTTTGCTATTTTAGATCTCACCGGTCGAAATCGAGGCCGTTATAAGAAAACATCCAAGTGTATTAGATGTTGCTGTGACGGGCATACCGGATCAAGAGTGTGGGGACTTACCGGTGGCTTGTGTTGTGACCCGGTCGGGATGTGATGTCACATCCCAAGACATAAAAGATTGGGTTAAGAGTAAGCATCACATCTCCATACAACGATTACTATAGCTGAATTACTATTGATGGACAAAGGCTTTTGGGGCACTTTACGCTGTACATTGGCACAGTACGGATTCAGTACTTAATATGGCAACCAACAAATGTGCTGTTGCATTAATGGGCAAACTCTCGGTTGGCAGGCTCGCAATATAAATCCAGTTTGTTGGAGCATGCCAAATTGAAGATTCCCGGACGCTGAGCCACCACTACTCAATAATTTAATCCCAGTTTTTATTCCAATAAAATTTATCTATTTCTATCTATTAATGAAACAATAGAAGTAACATTTTGTCTCAAAGCTAATTTCACAGTACACAAGTGTACTTTCAATTGATTATTCCAATTCGAAAACATATACGGTCAAGTCGGATAACACTACACCCACGGCTAGTGTAACAACAAACGCAATAGTGCGCCCTCGCCTCCGAGCACGGCGAGACCAACACAACGCGTACACAAGGTTTAGCTAAAAACACAGTCGACGGCCATCGGTAGTTAAGCGCACGCATGGGCACATGCGTGGCCCCACAGCGGAGAGCCCAAACCCGTGGGTTCTGGCTAGGCCACCGGTTCTGCGTCAGATGAAGCTTTAATAGTCTCGGGACTGAAAGCACAAACATCAGTTAATACAAGATACAAGTATACTAATTTAAGTAGTAATCAGTTCTAAATTCGTTAAAAGCAACATAAATTAGTACAACTACAAAATTATTAAATCTTATTACTACTGCGGCTGTTTTTATTTTTTTTGTACATGCTTTATAGACTAGTTTTATCACTCATGAAACATTAAGTTAATATATCGTTTACACGGTGAATGCAAAGTAAAAGAATTACATAATAAACCTTTTCAGATGCCCTCTCAGACTCGAAACAGTTACGCGGTGGGGTGATCTTCGTCAGTGAAATACCGATGACTGCATCTACAAAAGTCCATAGAAGGAAACTCAAGGAAATGGCACTGGTGATGGAAAGGCAATGAAAACGCTAAAATCCATCAGAGTTGAAGGACCAAAAAACAAATGAAAGTTTAAAACTGCAGTAAGATATAACTAATGCTATGTGCTTAATTTATTATAATCTTACTGCACAGTAGAATTTATCGATCTCACCATAGTTTTAGCACAAACAATCACATAAAAACATTATTAAATGAACATGATATAAAAGAATACATTTTATTGCCATCTGTCAATAGAACATCATTTGTCAATAGTACAACACATCAACAACAAAGTAACGAACAAACTGTATAACAATAAATCAATTAACACATTTTCCATACTGTTTTATTTTAATTATAGTATTACTCCTATGTCAAATCTTTAGAACGGTGCTGTAATTTGACAGGTTGACAGATCCGCAAAGAGTCTTCTTCTGGAGATTCTGGAATATAATTTTAAGGCATATAATAAAATCAAATTGAAATGTGTCTTTTATATTACAATAATTAAATTCTAAAGTGTACAAACGTAGAGGCTACATAGTAAACGAAATGTTGGCACGTGATAACACCGTTGTAACCAAATCTTACTATGCAGCAACTTAAAAAATAGTACGGTAAGACACCTGCCATCGGCTAAGTTATAAATAAACCAGGGATATTACGAAGCTCCGTAACCGTAACCGAAACTATCTGATATCCGAAACAAGCATCTGCCCAAAACCGTAATCGAATCTTATGTAAAAATTTCGATTAATTTCCCATAGGGGCGGGGTCTAAATTAGTCTAAATGAGACACGTTATGACAGGTTACAGACACACACACTACTGTGACAGCCGTTACACTACTGTTCTTACCTACTCACTGTTCTTGTCTACTATTACTAGAACATTGTAAATCGGGCTTTTCACGATGGTGTTGTTCACTTATCTCTCATGATATTAATAATTTGTAATGATTTAAAAAATGTTAAATAACTAAACTGCACTTCGGAAACCTAAACCATAGTAGACATGTATAAAACAAAAGATGATATACCTTTTTAAATATATTAGCCATCAACAAATTTGTCTTTTTCGCGTTTTCTTTTTTCAATTCCTCTTTCTTTTTCACTACTTCCGGCAAAGACTTGTAGATTTTTTCAGAATGTTTCTTCATTTCGTGTTCACTTATAAATTTTGATCCAACTGAAATAAAGTTTTGTAAGATTAATGTTCCACGTATCGCAGTATTTATTCCAAAAGAAACTTAGATATGCAGACTATTTATCCACATTACTTTAGTAATTTTTGTTGTAATCAAGTTACAGAACTATCCGTACGAATCTTTTACTCGTAATTCAATAAATCACTGGTGAAAAAACTGACAAAAGATATGTTACAAAATAAAACACCATAATCCGACACCAATACTAATGAGCTACCCGGTATAAACAAAATATTTTCGCGAATATGACATCAATAAAGGATCCACTAACAAGTATAATTTATAAAGTATAAGAGATATAATGGAAAAAAACTTTTTCTATGAAAGAATACGATAAAACAAGAGCTGTCCGGCGGTACCAACTATATAAATACGCTAAAAAGTGGGACTATCGTACCCATTCAGATAATACAACCCTCGAGTCGCGATGCTAAACGTTCACTGAGTAACAGCCCAAGCCGAGGTCCCCTCTCGATGGCCGTTGCCCATGGAGCGTCCACCAAAACGACCTAAGAGCTTGGCGGCCTACCAAACTGATACTAATAGTACTATAGTGACGGCCCGAGCCGATGCTCCCTCGGGAGCTCTCGAGCTTAGTGACTCCGAAATGAGGTTCAGGCTAGGCGCCCACAGCGCCCAGCAACTTCCAAACCGGTGGATATGTAAAGACCTCCTAAAGCCCAATAGTGAACGATCCTCAATAAAAAGAAGACTATCGTACCATTCTTGCGTCTAAGCTGCCCAGCGAGTTCCCTCGCGAGCTGCTGCACCTCCGCACTGCTTAGAGCGTTTAACGCCTGCTGCCGTCCCATTTGCTGTGACAGCAACTTGCGTTTGGTTGCCCGTTCGATTGTCCTGATAAAGTTTGAAAATTACGTAAAATCCTACTGGATAACAACTGTTTGATCAAAGGCGACTAACAAACCGCCATGTTTTCAGAATCCATAAAATCTTTTAGGCTATAGAGCACGCCAAACAAATAGAGATACGATATAAGAATATTTCTCTACTTATGAGAATTAGGTAGCTCAGTGTCCGGGTGCTCGCCTTTAATTCAATATACTCGAGTAACCTGAGCTCGATCGCCGGTGTCAGCACCAATGAAATTGTTAATTTTAAGTGCTGGCTTATCACATACTCAGCGGTGTAGGAAAACATCGTAGGAAACCTTAGTATTTAGCTTAGTGGTTAAAGCGTCAGGCCGCGAATGCCGAAGACGTGGGTTCAATTCCCACAGCGGCGACAATCTTCGTACTTTTTCTACAAATTTTAAAAATCAAACTAAGCTAAATTATACGAGATGTTAAAATAAAATCGAAATTGGACTATCGGAACTATCTATAATAGTAAATATTTCGTCCGCGTAATAATTTAACTCACCAATTCCTGTTACTTCACCGCAAAATGATTGCATGAACGCATTGACACATGGATTGCAATTGATCGGTGTATCTAGAATAATTGCCGCTCGAGTTTATAACTACGGAAAACACTTTATAGACCACATAATAATATATGTAAAACAATATAATATCGGTTACCTGTACAATGCGTGTTGCAAGGATCTATAAATGTGCTCCCGCTACAATTGCGAGGGTGGAAAATGATCATTTTATATCCAGAATTAGCACACTTCTCATCGGGTCTGAAGTAAGAAAAATTGGTGAGTCAATTTCAACTAAACAAAGTGAACCTTAGATATGAATCACTTACTACCTACTGAATTTACAATTTTTAGACATGCTCCATCAATTTTATGATTCTGAAGGTCTTAATGATAATGAGATCTCAAGAACAATGGCTGATCATATCTAACAATGTGCTAAGTATCGAAATTTAAACAGGACCTGCTTAATTATACAAATCTACATTATAACGTAACATGTTTGGAAAACAATTTTTTTGCGAGTATAATATTGTGATGTAAGTTTGCAAAACTTTTCCCTTACCTTGTTTGATTAATGAATTGCATGCAAGTCTGTCGTTTCGCACTTCTGTCTATGAAATCTGGCCGATTCATTTCCAAATAATCTCTGATGGTGCACGTTCGCATTTTTTTCCCAAAATCTTCGCTAGACATTTCACTATCATTTGGCAAGCTTCTACATCTGTAAACCTTGCCATCGCGCCCTGGACTGAAATGAGGTAACTTTTTCTCTATTTTCGCTGACACTTCTCTGAATGGAGCATTCGTTAAGTGCTTATTTTTAGGGGGCACTTTAACGATAACATCTTGTAATGGCCGACACTCCTCACCACGAACGGTTTCTTCGCTTGCTATACTGTCCGAGGTTTGTATTATCAAATTGTAAGCGACACATTTCTTTTTGACTTTGTCCTTTTCCCCACCAGACTTTGTCTTATGAACTTTGCATTTCGATCGACAGGCACACTGATGTTGACGGTTACATTTTTGACAATTGACTGTCGTACTGCTTGACTCATCGCAATTTTTGTGTCCGGATTTACAACACCTCTTTTGATGGTATTTCTCACACTCTCTTCGAATTTTGTTCAATACTTTGCAGGTTGTTGTATCAGTTGACGTTGTCGGCATCTCACTCGACGTGGGTATATCCGACGACTCCGTACAAGTTTTTTGTTTCTTATTTTTAGTCACTAATTGTACTCCTTTGTCTACGTATGTCTTTTTATTGCTACATTCAGGATCGTCCTTCTCATGGTATTCGTTACCAGTCGCAGCGCGATCAGGGTTACAACTTGATCGCAGTTCTTCTTTTCCATCTGCACACTCCTCTGTATCTAATAGATAATTAAGAACACTAATTATCTCTTTAAAACATTTTTTCCTTTTACTTTTTTCCATATCTTTTTTGGTATAACGTTTAGTTATACCTTGTATAATATTCAATATAGGATCATTACATACTTCATCTTCAGCTCCGGACCTGCTACACGCACTTGATTTATTTAAGTTATATTGCGCACAACTTGTATCAACATTTTCGTTTTTAAAGTTATTTTTTGGTGCTGGTTGACAATCTTTCGTAAATTCGCCAACGTCTTTAGTCTTTGGTAATACATCTGAACAAAAATCTTTCTGTGTTTCGACGTTAATTTTTACGTGTTTATCAATATTTTTTCTGATATCCCCTAGACAGTTTGTGTCCGTATTCGATCGAACAAAAGGTTTTTTAGCGGATTGCAGCGTTTTCGGATAAGTATTATATTTTAAAGAACTTTCAGTTACATACGAATTCGCCATTCTAGATTCATTCACAATAATTGCACCATGATTGTTATAAAGGCTACCAGTATTTATTGGAATTGTTTCGCCTTCTCGTCCATGAACTTGTTTATTTTCATTATTAATTGGAGTAAAAATATCAGTACTATTACATTGCACCCCTTTTGAATAGCCTTCAAAATGCATATCTCGGTCTTTCTGTAGTCGTTCATTGTTAATTAAGCCTTTTGTGTTCACATCTACATTTTTTCTCAATTCATCTTTGCCATCTGCTGTTTTTGATCCAAGACTAACAACCAAAGTCATATTTGTCCCTTGGATGGGTATAGAAAATTTATCCCGATTGGGTTTAGGATCTCTTAAATCATTTTCGTTGACATGTACCCCTGACTGAGTTCGCGCTTTCGAACATTTTATTTCATTCAACAGATCACATTCGTTTTCTATGTTAGTTTTGACTTCATTTACGCGAGTAGAAGTTAGAGATTCATTACACTTTAGTCGTTTTTTCCTTGTATTTTCGTCAACCAACATTTTACTTGAACAAGTTGATGAAGCATGCCTATACTTTTCCTGTCCACTGACAAAATCTAGATCATTTAGAAATATGACATCGGATAAAGTGGGATCTGAGATCTTGGGATCAATACTTATTTCTGTTTGAATTGATCGTGTTACTTCTTTAAATAATTGTGATACAACATTATCATTCTGGATATCATCAATCTCATCGTCTATTTTTACAGTGCTTAAAATTTCTGGCTTATATCTTTCATTGGATGCTATAGACGTGGCGCTTCTGGCGCAATTGTCTCGTCTTAAAATTAAATCTAAATTTGCACTTGTCTGAGACGAGGTTGACGCCTTTTTTGTCGGATATATAAAGGAACTAGAACTGTGCGCAAGTTGTAACTCCCTATTTACACAAATCATTCTGTCTGGTAGAACTGTTACTGGTGATTTTATATCCTTAATTTGTTTGGTACAAGAGCACTCATATGAGCATTGAACGCCGATTGATGTGGACTCCTTAGACATTGTGTCAGCTACACAAGCTCCCTGTTTACTGACCCGCGAACATTTGTAAATTAGTAATTTTTCTGGTACTTCTCCTGCCTGAATTGCATCATTGGAGCATAGGCAAACATACTGCACATCTTGTGTATTTTCATTTGCAACATCTTCTACATGTCGAGGTGACGATTTATTACTAATAACATGCTGCTTACTGGAAGGCACATCAGTTTTGGGGTCCCTTTTACAATAAAAATGACAGTCTTTTTGTGATTTAGTATCTTCTTTATGATTTTCACTTTTATGTACAAAACTCTCTATCTTGGAATTAGTATTATGATTTGAATGACAACAACAATTTCCATTGGTATGGCTAGACTCACCTTCTGTATTTTGCCTTGGATTTTGATAAATATTATGCTTAGCAAGTTTTGTATTGCAAATCGATTTACCTGAAGCAAGTGTAAACACAGAATGACTTTTTTGGTTCCTAATATAATTACTTTTCTTTTTGTTGATATTACAGTTAGAGTCTTCTTCAAATTTATAAGCATCTCCAGATCCATCATCAACTTTATTAGATGCCAAGTCTTTTATTAATTTATACAATCTTTCACGAGACTTATCACAAGTCTCAGGCACAGTCTTAATGCAAGAGTCAGAGCTGACTAACTTACTCCTTAGAAGTGCTTCCTTGTCTTTTAAAAGCTGTTTGTGCACCTTTTCTCTTTTCAAAGCCTCCAAATACTTCTTATACAATTCCTCAGATGAGAATTTTGTTATGGTGTCAGAAGAATTCCTTTCCTTGCCAGAGATATCTGATTCAGTATTAGACAAGCCTGATGTCTTAAGAACATTAACAAGATTTTCATTTTGAACTATTGTATGTAAATTTGGCGTACTTTGAGATGTAGATGCCATTCCACTGGGATTAAATTTATCCATTCGAAGAATAGACTTTTTTGGTATTTTTATCATATTGCTGTCTTAGAATTGCCTTTTTTTCCTTTATTTGAATTATTTGGGTCCACTGGAGATGTGTTTCGTTAAGAAAAATGAAAGTTCTACAACATCAATATCTTTTTTATGAATATTTGTCTTTTTCTTAGAATTGCCTTTAGTTGTTCGTTAAGAAATTAGGCCTGCCGAGTATTAACAGTTCTAACAACATCAATATCTTTTTATGAATTATTTGGGTGGAGCACCAAATTGAGTATTATTATCATTGTTAGATAACTGTTGATGCAGTGCTAGCCTCTCTAAAGTACTAAGGCTAGAACCCGAGGCTTTTCTTTCACTTTCATTACCATATCCAACATCACCCAAAGAATCCCATTCCAACTTCCTTTGAGAAGTAATACTACTTGTTGGAGACAATGGTTTATTAATAGATAAATCCAGATGAGCGTCAGTTGCTGAAAAATATCACTATTTTAATACAAAATTAGGTCACAATTACATTTGACCTTTGTTACTCATACAATTTTACTTTAATAAGTTTAACAAAAATATTATATAAGTATAAAAGATAAGTTTTTATAAATTAAGATAAAATAGGGTCAACATTTATTTGTTTTTCTAACTGATAGGTTAATTTTGTTAGGTGTACATATTTAATACATTTATATTATATTATTATACAGCGTGTCTTTACCACCGCAACAACAAGTGAACACACGTCTAACACTACTTGCCAAAAATCATAAAAAAATCCATGATTAAAAAAAAATATTTTTCAAACAAACTAATTAAGTAAAAAAGAAACAAAATTTGTAAACTACATCTGATTGATTCATTTGTTGCCACAGCGATGCATTACAAGCCTTTCCTTCTAACAGTATGTTTGGTCTCTTTTAAATTCATTCGACCCATTCATATGCTACGTGACCTTTATAAATGAACTTTACATTAAAGTTTTATATGTAAGGGTGTTCTAATATTCTTTGTTTTGGAAAATTTGATAACTCGTTAAATATTGATGTTCAAAGAATGTAAATCTTTAATACAATTTTAAAAAGTTATCCTCTATATGTGTGTTCATTTATTGTCGCGATGGTAAAGACCCGTGTCTTTATATATATTATTGGCTGGTAATATTAAGGTTAATACAATATTCCCCAAAGTATCTAATTTCTTAATATGACATAAAAAAATCAAGTGAACATACATTTTTGAGAATTATTATCATCAGATTTAAAGGATTCATTGTCAGTATGATTGGGTGATTCATGCTCTGTTTTCTGTGGTAAAGCTGTTCTCACTCTCTCGAGTTTGACGTAACATTCTATTAATGGAAACATCTTCATCCATATTTAATATTAAATAAAAAGAAAATATTCTATAAATTTTAACATTGCGAAATATTTTCGATTTTCAAAAACGGTCATTCTTGAAGTCGCGAAGCTTGACATTAACTAGTGTTGCTAGTTGCTACATATTATTTTTAAAGACCTTTTTTTACTATAGTTTGATTCACTAAAGACTTGCCTGAACGACACGATCAATGGCCCTTCTGAGTCAAAAGTCGATCAGAAGCAACCAGAAGTTCTGACTTCTGATCGACGTTTGGATCTCGAGTTCTCACTCTCTCGAGTGACGTTTATTATACAGTAGTAAAAAGGAATAAAACTGTTTTGAAAAGAAATTTTAAGTTATCAAATGAGTTATGAGAAGTTATGAAACAAGATAGCAGTAGCTCCGAGCTATCTTCAATAATCTGCAAATTTCGCTTAATTCTATACCAATCCCATCGCAACGAACAAATTCGGCGCTGAACGCCAGAGCTGCCACGTCTTCAACCGCAGGTCTACCACGGCGAGAATGGGACAACTTAGACGCGCAGTAGTAATAGTGTATATTTGGAAGGTTTTTCTAATAAATCATTTTACACTTCAAGGAGTCAAGATCACTTTTTTCTCAAAATATTCTTTTCCATAGAACTACTTTACTGTAACGCATCTCGAAGCGGTATTTACGTCGACATTGCTATGTAATTAAAAGACATCACTACGTCGATCGATTGCTTACGAAAATTAATTAGCTAAATATACTAAAACAATTAATTCACGAGTTTGTTAGCATAGCATCACTAATTGAACCATTTAGGTCTTGAAGCCCTTGTCTGTGTTTAATAGTTCGTGAGAACAGCTAGAAACAAAATGTTATTCGCAGACAGTGCCTGGAAAGGGCGTCGAAGTTTATAAACGACTATTTATAGGAGCATAATAAGCTGAATAACTAAGCAATCTAATTATCAAAAAATCAAGAGTTATAATTTTTATTTGCAAAGTTTAAAAATATTTTAAACTTGAAAAACTGTGATGTGATAAAATATATATTTGACGAAAACCCTTTAACTTTACATCCCTTTTAACAATGTTAAAATAAACTAGATTTAATATCTTTTCTAACAATAGCAGAATCATTTTGAAACTTATTTACCATTATGAAGAAAAGTTAGAGCTGGTTCCCGCTAGATAAGATGCGACCTTGCGTCTCCATTCACTATCCTGCCTGGCAGTCCGCCGTGCAGTCCACCGCTATAAGCAGGATTGTTAATGGTGTCGCAGGCCTGCACAATTTTTGGCAGCACCGAGCAGGACGCGCCTTGCATCCTGGAAAGGACCTGCAAACTCCGCCCACCGCTTGCAGTACGCCGCGCAGGAGTATCAGTGGTTTGGCCGTCCAGCGTAGCGGCAGTGCTGATATATTATGAAGAAAAAGAAATGCACAAGCCCTTATCGAAACTGCGCTATGTTATACGAAAATACGGATGCTAACTTAGGAATTTTCTTGGAAAACTTAATAAATATATTTACAACAGAACTTATTTAGGAGATATTTTTTTGGAAATATTTTAAGGAATTAAATTTTATTCACATGTGTAAAAAAAATCTAAACAAGACTAGGTACTTTATTTTAAATAAAAAAAACGTGTGCATTCCGGGAAGTCCGACAGATGTGATAACTTAAACTAGGCTAAAAAACTGTTTCATATTGAAATAGTTTAACATGTGAAAAGCTTAGGTTATTATTTAAATTTTATGTATATTAATATGATAACGTGAGGAAAGGTAATTTATTAATAAAATCTTTTATCTAACAACAAAAAAAAGCATAGCAGAATCACTATTTTCTTTTTTTTTTTCGAAACGGCACGTAAATTAATACCTAATTATTACAACAACAACACTGACACTAGAAACAAACCACACGAGAAACGAAACAGTATTGATGATGGACGGCATGCAGGATAGTGGGTGGGCTACATCCTGCTTTGCAGTCCTGCACGGCAGACTGCCAGGCAGGATAGTAAATGGGCTCCTTAATTCTTATCGAAAATTTTCATACAGTTGTGGGTTAAAATACATATAGCCATACATTTCTTTGTATTTGATATATCAACTGGCAGCCATTGCATACAATAACTTTTTCGGAGGCGAAATATTACAACTTTTAAATGCTAAAACTACTTAACTATAAAAAAATATTCTTCACGATCATTATATATAAGTATAATAGTATCAAAATATCTACATAGGACATATTTTATTAAGTCAACAATCACTTCATACGTAACGCACTTACAGTAATAAACTTTATAAATTTTATTATGGCGTTCCGCTTGAAAGTTGTGGTCAATTAAATTTATTTCGTTTCATAATTTCATAAAGAACGTCTCTATGAAGCTACTTTAATAAACAAAACGAGCTAGTTGATGATATATGGAATTTGTTTACACTATCTTGCGTAGATACCATAGTACCCTAGTGGCGGTGTACATATTGTCATTTTCTTGGTACTATATTACCCGATGACTTTCTCGGTGTTGTTGGTTGTTAATGTAATTATAATATATAAAAATTTATATGTATCATCTTTAAACTTCGTTCAGAGCCGGGGCGGCATCGGAGGCAGCTGAAGTAAGTAAATGGCGCAAATATGAGTCTTTATGTTCAGATTATGTATATGTGCCATTTGCTGTTGAAACATTAGGTCCGTGGGGTTCCCGCACATAATTTTTTTTTAAAAGTTTATGTCTTAGGCTTAACGCCTCGGCTGGTGACAAAAGAGCTAGTTCTTTTCTCGCTCAAAGGTTAAGCATAACTATTCAGCGAGGAAATGCAGCTAGCGTTCTTGTCACCATGCCGCGTGAATTAGGTTTATTAGGTAATATGTAATTTTAGATAGATTTAATCTTGTAAATATTAGATCAATAAAAATCTTAACATGGTTAACAGATATTTAATGTAGTCTGTGGACTCGGTGGATAGCTAACATTAAATCCATAGATTATAGTAATACTACAGAAACATGAATATCAACTTCCTTATTTATTAGTCTGTGTACAGAAAGTTAAATCACTGAATTAATCAAGTGATTCTTAATTCTCATTTCTTAATCTTAATACAATTTAAAAAACATAACATATAACAAATTCTACTTCTCACGAAATTATTATTAACACAAATCTATATATAATGGGTAAAAACGGTTTTGTCGCTTTTTTTAAAGATTTTTATTACGACCCCTTTAAGTGGTAAGTTCACATAACCTATTGTAAAAATGTGATTTTTGTGAATTTTTTTTTATATGGTGGATATTTGTTATTCTACTGTTACTGCTCCGTTGCAATCGAAGGTCGTGTTGTGCAACGTTAGTTATTATAGTCATATAGTGACATTTTAATGAAATGTATGCAACATTCTTGTTATTGGATTCTACGTTACGAAATATTGATATCATTTATACGCAGGTTTTCAAATATAGGCACCGGTTTTCGTCCATGAAAAAAATTTTAATCGATAGAAAATGTTAATAATGAAATAATACATAAGTTCTCATTATGTTTATTTATTTGTGCCTGTATACTATCATCTAATATAAAAAAAGTTAAAATTTTACTTTTCTTTTTGTTATCATCATTCTATATTTTTCTTCTAGACGGTATTTATGAATTGACCATTAAATTAATTATATGTGGTGATAAAAGCACAATAGCAGGAAATTATAAATTACATGATGATAAATGCCGATTATTGTTCTATCACATTTTGTGCTATTTATGGCACTTTCATATGGTTTACAATAGTAATAATTTATTTATGACATTAATTATTAATGTCATAAAAAGTTAACTATATATTTTTATATATTACTGTGGGAAATTGTCAATATTCTAACTTACTACCAGATTTCATTTGTGACCTTGTGGTAAAATACCATTATTGCTAATAGTCCATATCGAATAATAAATATACAGTTGGTGAATCTAGTATAAAAGGCGTCTGTCTATACTTCAAACCCGCATTTAATCTGTTTATGCATTGGGGTGTGTGAAGATACCAAACACATAATATTTTCTTATTGGTAGACCTATCATACTTTATATATTGTTTACATTAACCTTTGACTCTGTACCAATCCAAATATGTTTTAGATAGTTATATGTTCATTATATTATAAAAAATGAGTATTGTGATATACTGTTTTACCACTGATTTTTTTGAAATATTGGCATACTCAAAGATAATGAATGACTTATCTTTCAGGTCAGTTGTGAAGAGTGTTGGTTTTTTCACAGTTGGAATAGTAATAGCTAGTGAGTGCACAGGCTTGGAAGTGATGCCAGCAGTGCCCCAGTAGAGCCATATTGTTGTGAATTTGAATTGATTTTAAAGAACAAATAAGATGTTAATTTATTTATTATTTACGTTAATTCTGGCGTGCGCAACCTGCGACGATAAACCGAAGCCAAACTTCGTTGTTATTTTAACGGATGACCAGGATGTTGTGCTTGGTGGAATGGTTAGTAGCAATAGATACAGATATGAACTAAGGAAATAAATAGAATAGAAGAGCAAGTGATTTTTTTTTACTTTATAGAACCCAATGCAGAATGTCAAACGTTTCATCGGGGATAAAGGTGTCACATTTACGAATGCCGTAAGTTGAAAATGTATTTACTAAGGAAATTTCATTTAGATGTGTCATTTTTTTAAGAAATAATCTTGTAAATTCTGCTGAGAAAACTCATTTACTAAATTACCATAATTATGTTAAAAACCTGAATAATTTAATTTCATTTGTACTACAAAGGTGTGGATTTTATTTGTAAATTTGTTTATATGGTATTCATAAACAATAAGTAATGTATTACATTCTATAGAGATAAATTCAAATGATTTAAAAAAAATTGTTTATATATATAATTGTCCAAGGAAACCATTCTTTAACAAATTTAAATTTTAAGCTTCATTGAAATCAGAACCCAGGCTATCCAGTTTAACTTTTCCATTGCTTTCCTTTGGCATATAGTGTAATAGGATTTTAGTGAGTGAATGTTTACCATCCATAACTATTCATCTGTCAGTGGAATATTATTCAATTACTAACTAGTTTGTAAATAAAAATAAATCCCACATTTGTATTTTTTCATGCCACATAGAGCGTCTCTCATATTTTTACCAGTAAAGATTGTACAAATCCTTAAAATTTAGACTTATTTCTGGAATAAAATTTTTTATGCCAAAAGCTGGCTTGGGAGAAGGCAGGCAGTTTGACTGATGTTAAATCCTCACAGTCTCCCATTCTCAGACATCTACTACACTTAACGGTGTACAGATACTTTGCCATCCTTAACTAATTTTGCCTCCCATACCGCATTTAACAAACGTAATGCGATAGTGTAACACTTCCACTTCATTGACTGGCTTTGTATGAGGTATTAGTACTTCCCCGGACGAGCTTGCCCTTACGTACCACAAAGAAAGCTTTTGAAATTCATTATACATGTATACTTATTTATTAATTACTCTTCATACGCCAACATCACAAGAGCTAAACTATCATTACTACTACTAAGTACCTACTAAAGAATATTTAGATGACTCCGTGGCGCAGTTGCCAAGGTATTTCCTTCGGCGTCAGGGATCGTGGGTTCGATTCCCATACGGGACAACTATTTGTGCGACCGACAGATAGTTGTTTCGCATCTGAGTGTTTGTCCTCGTGCAATTTATGTTTGTAAAACATCCTTACAACACAGGATAATGTTATCCTAAAGTAACGGCAATGCTTTTACAAAAAAAAAACAATATACATAATTATTTATACAGAAACCGAAAGGAATACATCATCAAAAAGAATACTAAAAAGCTATCACCTATGAATAGTAAAACATCAATATAAAAATGTTTCATTACACTTGTTAATTACATGAACAGACAGACGTAGTAGTTGTAGGGCAAATACCTGGTTTTTATATTTCCAAACAGAGCTCACGCCTGCTTAAACATCTTAGGTTTCGGAACTGTTTTCCAGGTCTTCCATTTGTAACATGCATAGACTTACGCCCGGTTTCTGAAACAATGATCATCGTAGATGTCAACTAATCGGCTGTCAAATGGCTTTTCAAATGTTGTTTGAGTCGCCAAAAGGATTGTTAAACTCTTTGAATTGATCAGAATGATCTTCTTAATAATCAGAATGATCAATTCAAGAATTTAACAATACTTTTGGCAACCCAAATAACATTTGAAAAGCCATTTGACATCTGATTAGTTGACATCTACGATGATCAGTGTTTCAGAAACCGGCCGTTAATCAAACAACAAATTAGGTAATATTAAAATCAAAGATGGTGGATGTGTATGAAGCGGTCATTCAACTTTAACTTGAATTTTACGCATTTCTAAATGCTATCCTTTCACATTTTATCAGAAACCATGGACTAGATTAGCTGCGCCTTTATAATTTAAAACCACGACCTTCAAACACTTCAACGATGTGGCGGTTCTCAATTCGGTTGTATTTTTTGTTATTTGTTATCTCAGAACTCCGTAACTTATGAACTGTTTTTAAAAATATTTTTTTAAGATCGCGTCACAATATCCACTCAACTGGTCCATGTCATTTCGAAAGAAAGTTGTCGAATATTGTAATCGAAATTATTAATAATCAAGAATTACAAAAAAAACTGATCTATGGGCAATTCTGGTAAACCGACAAGTTGATTTGCATTTGGTTTTTATTTGCGGCAACATAACACTTTACAATTGTATTTCTCCTACATTCAGTTTGCAGCACCTGCTGTAATTTTTGAGAATTATTTGATGATTGAGAATGGATGGACACAATATGTAAAGACTATTTGAGTTTCAGAGGTGTGGGTAAAATTTTACTAATTTTTTAAGACAGATACTGTTCGTGAAGCGCCTATCAAGATTATCGCCGCAACTCGCACGACTTACTTTGCATACATTACATTATACATTACATAATATACAACTTACATAAGTTAAGGTATTTTTTAAGATTCTTTATGTTACTGCTCTATAAAGCAAGTCTTGCAAAGCTTCTGATTATATATTTTTATTTACTTAAAATACATGGGAATATCTCCCAATCATTCAATATCTTTAACTTGTCATTTGCAATTTATTAGGAGAAATACAATGTTGCCTATAACGAAGTAAATATCCTAAAAGACCAATGCTCAGAATGATGGTAAAACAATGGAACTTCCTGAAATTTTATATTACTTAAGGGTTCAATATGTAACTATATTTGCGGGCGACACATTAGGCAGGTGTTGCACGCAAATGTAGATGACAGATGGAACCCGATGTGTTCAATTGAAAGTCATGACCGCATGGGGATTGCAGAATCCCGACTTTACGTGAACACTTTAGAACAAAACATTAAATGAAAAGAAAAAACGGTACTTCGAGAAAGCCAAAATTACCCCAATCCCCTGGTGACGGACGCGGTAAATTGACAACCGGACCCAAACGCAACCTTTTGGAAAACGTCCGCGTTACATTATTACATACACGTACAGTCTGTTGCGAACGAGCCAACAATAATTGCGATTCGCAATTGAGAATGAACGAAGAACTGTGTGTTGCCAAAAACAGTAAGTTTATTGACCCACAACACATTAGTTCGTCTTCGTCTATGAGCACGGTAAAACTAACACACCGCGTCTCAACGCTGCCAGATAGCGATAGGCTGCAGAGTTCCAGATCCTGCAAACGTTGTTTTGTGGAATTTCGTAAAAACCGTTCTTATCTGACCTCTATTCGGCGAAAGGAATATTCCTACCAAATTTCAAGTCTCTACGCCTTATGGTTCCAGAGATATCGCGATGAGTCAATTATCGGTGGAAACCTCATATATAATATATAGATTAGAAGAATATAATATATTCACAGGGTTACCTATCAAAATGTGGCCGCTAATATTTTAAATAAATTATTAATTATCTGATATTTCGGAAAAAATTGTATTCGCTTGTTTTTTAAATAAAATATCGTCCACTATACGGCAATATACAAAAAGACTTGAACCATCACGGTTGCCGTTGAGCACTTGGCCGCACCTCCTCGCAGCCAGGTGTAAACAGGTATGGTTTTGATACATTTACACGTTCATAACGTACATTTATTATTCATATATCAAATTAGCAGCCAGCAATCCTTAATTGCGGCCAGATTTAATTAGGCAACCGTATATGTATAATAATAAACACAAAAAAAAAATTGTTTTAATCGCATCGGCTACAATCCCAAACCTTGCTTTATACGTTCCTAGCCTATACTTACGGCGTTTCCTGTCTATAATAATTAGTAAGCGAAGAATTTGAAAAGACTATTTAATTTAAAAAGACGTATATCTAATATAGACTACTTGTTTAATGAAACCCAACTATAACTTTCATCATCTTGATTTGATGTGAACAGTTGTTTCTTTGATTTCTTGCTTTCAGTCCGTGTACTATTAAAGCTAAATCGAACGCTGAACTCGTGGGCTAGCCGTAACCCATGAGCTTTATACGACCCTCCTTATTTTGGTAGGGCCGCGCATGTGCTCGTGCCTTCATTATCTGTTGGGAAGGAATGTTGCCTATGGGCCATCAAGGTTCGCCACCGACAGTACGGACTATATTAATCGTTGGCTGGTGGCGGAGAGAACCGCCCTGGAACGCGGGTTGTATTGGCTGTGCGCCTTGTGCTGGTTGAAGAGAGAAATGAAATTAATGAAAATGCTATTATAATATGTTTTGAACTAAGAAGTTTGCATTTATAACTGTTTGTCTATGCATTGCTGGAGCTCTATTTAGAAACATTAAAGCGCGAAGGTATTTGCCCGACATTCACTTTGTCGCAATCCAAACTTGTGGTTATTCATTTTTATAACAGGGATAGCGTAATATGGCATTAACTTTATATTTCTTTGTGACGTTAGTAGTATAAACGAATCTTCACCGTATTTACTAAAATAATGCTGATGCATAAAATGGGTATATCGACCTAAGAAAACTTATTTACTGTGACCCAACATAATAGGGACTTCACAGGGACCCAAAAATGTTGAAACACCAAAAAGTTTACCTTATGAACTCAACCAAAAAAAAACAATCTCTTTCTTTCTTCATTCTCATTTGTTTATCAATCAACTATCTGATCCGGCAAACGTTGTTTTGTTGAATTTCGTAAAATCCGTTCTTAGCCGACCTCATATATATATATATGTGTGTGTGTGTGTATGTATACATTATAATATAGATTAACTTTTTTGTGCGTTCAGCATAAACTTTACTTACGTCGATATATCGAAAGTCATTGCTCTTGAACGGCTCAGTACGTGTCGTCGCCTATATGTTGCCCGAGCCGCGCGAGCTTCCTCACCGGCCAGTACGTGCACAACCACCTGACGGTGAATAACAGCCTCAGCGGCGGCTGCTACGGGCGCAACTGGAGGAGCTTGGAGACGAAGACCTTCGCGGCCATACTCTCCGGCGCTGGCTACGGCACTTTCTACGCGGGGAAGTACCTGAACGAGGTCAGCGGGGAGTACGAAACGTTTATTTCTTATGATTTTTTAGGAGCTAGTTTCCGAGATCAAGATTGAAATTGAAATTTTAATGTTTTCGTCGAGAAATTGTGTGATATCGGCCGCTTGGTTTAGTTTGAGCGCCTGAGCGCATCTTCCGGCTAAGAAGCCGAAGATGCAGGTTGGAATCTCGCAGCGCTGAAAACTTTTGGAAAATTTTTGTGCGATAACGTAACATACAATCCATAAAAATAATCCTTTTCGCAATTGCATACTTGTTATATAAAACGCATATTAGAAACTGCATACCTTGCCCCCCCACTCAACCCACTTCCAGACTACTAATATTTACCAAGGCATCGCATTAATTATGTGATGCATCATCGCATACATTCAGTGTGCAAATTACGTGAAGCGATATCACCTTGTCATCACCGCAGAAACTACAGAATGGGCTCTCCGACATTCCCATTCTGTTCAGGTGCCTTTAACTGCACGTAGTAGAGACAACATTCAGCCAGCTCCTTGAGAATCACACAAAAGAAAACGCTGTAAAAACATGCGATTTGCGTGCATGTCCACAGTACGGCGTTAAGGCGGCCGGCGGGCCGGAGGTAGTGCCGCCAGGGTGGGGAGAGTGGCACGGCCTAGTCGGCAACTCGGTCTACTACAACTACACGATATCTAACAACGGCGTGCCCACCCACTCCACCGATCTCTACCTCACCGACATTATCGTAAGCAAGTTTTTTTTTATTTTTTGAACATTGCCCTTTAGAATAACATTATCCAGTGTTGTAAGGACATTTAAGGAACATAAATTTCATAGCCCCGCGTTCAAGGGTGGTTCTCACCGCCCCCGGCCACCGATTGGCAAAAAAACACAGTCGACGACCATCGGAGTCTCGGTCCGCACCGCAACCTCGATGGCCCTTAGATGACATGCCGTAGCTAAGCGCACGCATGAGCACATGCGCGGCCCTACCCACAGCGGAAGGCTGTGGGTAGGGCCGGCTCAAACCCGTGGTTTCTGGCCAGCCCACCGATTCTGCGTCAAATAATAGAGCTTTAATAGTCTCGGGACTGAAAGCACAAACATCAGTTAATACAAGATAAATTTCACGTGGGCAAACACCCGGATCCGAAACAATTATCTGTGAGTCACACGAATACTGGTCCCGTGTCGGAATCGAATCTACAACCTCCGGCGGCAATGGCAATAGCTTAGCAACTGCGCCACGCAGTGGTCAAAGTTTTTACCATCCCTATTTGAAGAGAGGAAATGAGAAGGCACAGGACCCGTTGGTGCATGTTTTCAGGCGCAACAATCACGACTTTTATCGTCCCGTTTTTTGTTGTATGTGTTACCCCGAAACCTAATCGAGTCTTCGACAAACTACAATCTGATGACTCGGTGGTACAGTCGCTAAGGTATTGGCTCCGCAACCGTGTGTCGCGTGTTCGATTCCCGTACGTTTGTCTACGTAAAGTCTAGTTAACGTCCGTATAACATAGGATATGTTATCCTACAAAATGGGATAAGTTTAAAAAAGACGATATTGAGTCAAATGCCAAATGTGGCAATGCTCGGAAATTATTCGTAGCAAGCCTTAATAGTCTACGGGCTTAAAGCGAAGATATCATCATCATCATTAACTGCACTGCTGGACTTCAGTTATGTAAAGATAATTAAGATCCGCGCCCGCACCTGATGTTAAGTAATTAACGTCGGTCACGGATATGCAAGAAGCCCGTAGGGTTGCAGTTGCTTGCAAGAATATAATACGGCTGCCTATATTATGTACACTATGATTCCTGTATTTTCCTATTGTGTATTTCTTTGTGTGCAAATAAGTATATTTTCTATTCTAAAACGTGGGTCCGGACACCTCACACAGCACGTAACGACAATTATAATACTTCTTTATAACGCCAGCATCTTATCAGGCATTTTCAAGTTAACAAAACAAAACATTAGCATAAAATCATAGTTAAACTCTATAGACTCCAAATGACTGGAACAAATGCGACTTGTTAGTGTTTTATCTATGACAGCGTGACCTCAGCATCAGCTACATCGAGAACCAGACGGAGTCGCGACCGTTCCTAATGGTCTTGGCACCGCCAGCCCCCCACCAGCCCTTCACCCCCGCAGACCGCCATAAGGGTCTATTCAGCAACGTCACCGCCGTTCGGCATCCCAACTTCAACTTGGCCGTGGAAGTAAGCGCTCACAAATCAACACACACACCAAGACTTGAACACACACACTGAAATGGTCTTTGAAATGTGAAAAAATTATGACAGTGTGTATACGATACGTATTGCGCACACAAAGCACTCATGTGCTGTGACACAAAACAAAAGGGAGATTTATCGAAAACTCAGTTGTACTATTTTATGTCACCGCTAACATCGAGTGGTTAATTTATTTTTACGAAAAATAGGTACAATTTCTTACGCGCGTACTAATTAAATCCAAAGACCAACACGCTTTTTTTATCTTACCCTTACGATTTATACCGATTACCATACCATCCCCAAGCGTTCATACACATAAAATTGTATTTAATTCTTCGAGAAAAAAGGACCAACCAACAAACACATTTATAATATTATTGGAATCAACGTGGCCCTATGCGCTACAATTTTCTTTATTTTTACTTCTTAAAACATTATAAGCCACTATCATTATCGAAAAAGTTTCTAGATTATAACATAGTTTAACTCTAAATAGTTTTCCAAGAACTTTTCATTATTTTCGTCAATCAGGAAAAGCGATTAATTGTTATGATGGAAAATTTTCCACATGGATATCAATGCCTAGGTAACAACCCTTACGCAATAAATTGAGTCAGTATTATTCTAGTTACTGACGGTGATCTTTGGGTTTTTGGTTTCTTGTGCATGTTGTGAGGTCTATGTGAGCAGAAAAATAAATAACGTGTTAGTTAGTTAGCTTTAGGTCAAGCGACCTGCCCTGCTCAAAACGATTCACCCTAATTCGTACGACCTTAACGGAGGATAAAAATCTTATATCATCCTACAGTTCCCAATGGTTTGTCGCCAATGACCGATCTCTCATTGTACCCACAGGACAAACACTGGCTGATGAAGATGCCCCCCTCCCCGCTGCCCGAAGAGATGATGCCCGAGCTGGACAGGGTGTTCCGTTCCCGCTGGGAGTCCCTGCTGGCGGTAGACGAGATGGTAGCGGACGTTGTGGAGGCCCTGGACAGGAGCTCCCTCCTGGACAACACTTACCTTATCTACACGTCGGACAACGGCTACCATATAGGTATTCTGACTGTATTCTTTTGAATTTAAAGTTTTTTATAGTGCTAATCTCTGCACTTAAGATTGAACATTAAAACATGTAGAAAAAGTACGAAAAGAAGCATTGCTTCAAATGCTAAATAACAATGTAGAAAGAAGGCATTAAGATTTTCGTCGCTGTGGCTATCAGCCGATTAGCTCAGTGGCTAGAGCGTCAGGCCGCGAATGCCGAAGACGTGGGTTCGATTCCCACAGCGGCCACAATCTTTTCGTACTTTTTCTACATGTTTTAATGTATTCTTTTGGTTTACGTGGGGGAAATTTGTACGCATAACCTCATTCGCAGCAAGGGTGGGCACGCCAAACTCGCACCGACTAAAACTCCCGCTATGCTCCGCCCAAAGCGCATATTGACAGGGTCACGGGAACGCTTTCGCATAGCAATGCTCCCTCCAAGGGGAGAGGGCTATGTAATCCCCTCATCCAGTTAATGTGCGCTGGAACATAAAGTGCGTCTTACATTCTTTTGTACGGTCAACCCACTCGTCGGCCCACGTGGAAATTTCTGACTGAAATTTTGTCAAAAGGAAGAGGTCTAAACGGCCATTTATACTATCATTTATATATCATACAACGCATGGCTTATTCTTTTTTGTTACAGGTCAATTCTCCCAGGTGTACGACAAGAGACAGCCCTACGAGGCCGACGTGAAAGTCCCCCTCATCATAAAGGGGCCGGGCGTCCAGGAGAACATCAGGAACTACCAGCCGGTGATGAACATCGATTTGGCGCCGACGATAATCAGCCTGGCCGGCCTCAAGCCACCCAGGGTCATGGACGGCAGGCCAATAGACCTGCAGGAGAGTGAGAACGAGAAAGAGAGCGAGAGGACGATGCTGGTGGAATACTACGGCGAGGCTAGGGACGGCACAGTAGACCCTAAATGCCCGTGGCATTACGACAACGCCAACCTAGCTGTGAGTCATGCGCGTTCGGAGTTTTGCATGTTTTTAATGTCTTAGGCATGTTTGTAAGGAACGAGGTTGTCATCCCATACAAACATGCCACAAAACGCTAAAACAAATGCGAATTTACGACTGGAGACTGGAGTCCTTGTTTGGATAGTGTTGGAATGAGGAGCTACGTGCAGGCGTGAGAGTATCGCCATCTCTTTCGTTTTTTCTCTCGCTCCTACTGCGTGTTCGTGTGCGGTTTTGTGAACATTGATAATTTAAATTTATCTATTTATTTAATTACTTATCGTTTTTAAGATTTTTACACTTGACTTTTTTATATACATACACAGAACTTAAGCTTACCTCAATCAAGCGCATTTTATTTACACAACCTGTATGTAATTATTCCTTTGCAGCAATGTTATCCGGAGTACGATTGCAAGTGTCAAGACTCGCGAAACAATACGTTTGGTTGCCTTAGGCATATAGCGAAGAGGATCAATATAAAATACTGCCTCTTCGCTGACAATGAGGTATACCTGTTATTTTTTTATATACATAATAAGTTCACCGTTGGATGAGTCGTCATCTTTGTTTAGCTTTGTGTTCGACTATTGTTTGGATATTTTGCATATTGAAATAAGAAAACCTAAAATACTTGAGATTACTGGGATCCGATCGCGACTTTAACGACGGGCACTCGGCCAACATTGGCTTGGTAAAAATTGATTAGTAGCAGGGCTTGTTCATTTATGTAGTAAAAATTACATAACAGCTATTGTACTTCCAATAGAATCCTTTCCGTTCGACAACTAAGGCATACAGAAACGTTCTACAGCATTGTGTATATTTTTTTTATGTAAGATGGCAAGCGAGGTGGCGGTTCACCTTATGTCAAGTGATAAACACTAGCCATGGACACTTGCAACACCCGTAGGGTTGGAGATGTGTTGCCACTTTTTAATAAAGTGGGCCCGGTCACCACTCGCCAGATAAAACGCAGTATGACCCTTCCACATCAAGTCAGTCTTCTGTGAGATCGTGGTTTCATGCAACAGAGAGTACTATACGTAATACAATTTATTACTGTGGTAACTACTCACTCTACCACAGTAACAAATTGTATTTTTTATAACAAACTAAAACTTACGTTTCACCTTTTTTTTTTCAGAGTTTCAAGGAGATGTACGATCTGGCTAAAGACCCATTCGAGTTGAAAAACATCGCAGACGAAGTTCTGCCTTCGATCAAACATTGGTACAAACTAATGTTGTCCCGAATGTTGGCCTGTCGAGGAAGCGACAATTGCGACCATCCACTGGATACGCCCAAAGTATTTAATCTATTTTCGTAACTGTAATTGTTTTCCATTTATATGAATTAACGCTACTAGGATATCGGAGGCGCAAAATTACTTGCGCTTATGAAGAAACTCGCTGTACGTAATTTTTTAAATATAAAGAGACATGCAAGGAGGTCACGTTCATTATTATATTGGCGTCACGTTCACGCCGCAGTATAAATGTTTTTACTATCTCGCTCGCACTACTGTATGTGAACAATCGCGAAAAAATATGCTATTCGGTTATTTGAACATAGATTTAAGTTGCTAAATAGTTACGTCAAAAGATTTTTGCACTCGAAGGTACACGCGCAGAAGTTCCGGAGCTGAGCTATATCGCGTTCAAGTTTCGCACTACCTTTAATGCGTAGTAGCGATGAGTGAAAGCAGTAAAATGTATTTAGTTTTAATCGGTTTTCCAAAGCGTTATAAATCAGCGTATTATAATTTTGAATACAGATGTGTCATTTCGCAGATTAGGGTAAAATAACAATAAGTCATATTGGTCCGAATAAAAAATGGTTAAAATTATTTAAGTGACGTATAGATTTAAATTCGGCCTCTCTGAACAGAATACCAACCACAGTGCAATTTTATTGTGATTTATTTTTATTACGAACAGTTTAACAAAACCTTTGGTCTTGATTCTAATTAAATATGTTTATTCCTTATTAAATATGTTTTGTGTATTTTTTAGAAAAAAGCGATTGTTGAATTAAAGTTATTATTAAAATATATTACTTGTTTCTTTTATTTTATAATAAAAGCCCTTGAATCAATACTCACGTATGATGTATGATTGCGATTATTGTATATATTTCAATATATATTGAAAATAATACAACGGAAAAATTTAAGTTTACACTTATAAACATTTTATTACAAAAAAAACTTCATAAATTAAGTTAAAATATAATAATATCAAAAATTCATCACAGTTGGGAAATGGCATCTTAAGATATTTTTGTACCTGAAACAAAATTAGATCTAGTTAAGCCCACAAACAATTTTTGCGAATATACGAAACACATTAAATTTTAGTTTTGGCAATACGTGTTCCATGAATAAGTTATTTTTTTTTTTGATTACTAATGGAGGGTAGGATCGAAATTAAAAGAACATATATTTTTTGACTAGTCTAAATCACAAATTTTTCAGAGAAAACGTAAGTTTCATGATGATTCAAGCCTCGAACGCATGCAGTACTGTGAAAAAATAATGTTACCTCTAATCACGAGACAGCATGCACTTGCTGTCGGCTCTGAGCGCTAAAGTAGTCCGTCACCCTGCTTTGGCTTCTCAAATCCTCCTTATAGGCCAGGGGACATGGGAAGTATTTCTGCAATGAAACAAAAATACTAGTTACATACATTCATAAAGGATAAGATTTGGAATGACAGAAAATGTAGAATGGTAGATTAACTTGGTATGGGCACATGTATGAGAAGGGATGAAAGTCATGTGATTAGACAAGTGATGAATAAGGTTGGAGGGTGTACAGCTAAAGGAAGTCCGACAAATATTTGGATTATATATTTGCCGCGCTAATAAATGGGATGTGCTGTAATGCCAGTGAGCATGCGGTTCACCTCAGGTTAATTGATAACAGAGGCAAAATTTGCATTGCTAACTTAGTAGACTTCTTAATTTTATGTACATTATATGATAAAGTAATCAATAATGTACAGTAAAAGTGAATAAATAAATCATACGATAAAGTTATTTTAATGTAAAAAGGTGGCAAACTAGCTGGTGGTACGCCTGATGTTAAGTGATAACCACTACCCGTTGGTTTGCTGATGTGCTTAAAGCGATAGTTAGACGGTACATGTGCAGACCTAGTGTAGATAACTTTACTATTTTTTTTATGTGAAAAGTTGTCAAGTGAGCATCACCTGATGTTAAATAACGCCGCCCATGGACATCTGCTACACCCGAGGCTTTGCAGATACGTTGACTAGCTTTTTGAAAATTGGGCTCCGGCTACCTCACTCTCCAGACGAAACGCGGAAGTATTATACTTCCACTTCACGCCGGTCTTCTGTGAGGTCGTGGTACTTATCCGGACGAGCCTGCCCATTCATGCAACAGCTGAGGCTGCTGCGTGGCCCTACCACAGTATACGGTGTATTAGTTTTTCACGGGCTATACAACACATAACTATGTAAACGAACCTGTACAGCCTTGATGCCCCCAGATATATCGACAGTCGGCACCACCTGCTTCGGCTTCAGGAAGTTAACGAAACGTATCATCTCTGGAAAACTGGAATGTTCACTGTACGGTATACCTGACCGGGCAGAAATTGAAAAACTTTAATATAATATGTCAGTTAAAAATCACACAGAAATGTTGCAATAAACTTAGCTCGAGATGTCGATTGATAATAAACTAGTGGACAATTTTTTTTTCTTTTTTTTTGTAAACTTGCCCTTACTTTAGCATAACATTATCCTGTGTTGTAAGGACGTTTTACAAACGTGAATTACACGCGGACAAACACCCAGATATGAACACCCAGATGCGAAACAACTATCTATGGGTCACACAAATAGTTGTCCCGTGTGGGAATCGAACCCACGACCCTCGACGCCGAAGCCAATACTTTGCCAACTGCGCCACGGAGTCATAAAAATCGTTTTTATTGGAAAATAATTTCAAACACTTTTCCAATATATCAACATGCAACGCTTTAACAAAAACGAATTCCGGATGTTCTAATACTTTAAGCATTTATTGTTTCCGACTGCCTGCTGTGGAGTTCACACTAATAATAAATGAGTAAAGTGTTTTTTTTAGGAATTTACTATTAATTAACATTATTATTATTATTATTTATAACAGCTTAGTTGAATGAATCGCCATACAATTATCACACAGAGAAGAAAGGCTGTATCAAGAAAGTTACTATAATTTATATTATTTAAATTAAAAAAATTTACCAACCATATATAGTTACAAGGTCTTTCTGAACAGCTGCCTCTTTTCCACTCTCCCAGCCACTGGGTTTGAAAGCCACCACTTCGCTGAAAACCCCTTCTAGACTGTCTAAATACGCCCGAAGTTTCTGAAACAATAACATAACTAATTGTAGCCATGAGTTTTTTTTTCATTAAAAGTTGGCAAGCGAGGAGGCCGTTTCACTCGAAATTTGTAAACCTCATCTTCATTTTATTCGAAAAAGTGATTATATATTTCAGCTAAATATGTATGGTAGAAATGAATGCATAAATCATATGATAAAAAGTTATATTTAATTTCAAAAGTGGCCAGTTCACCAGATGTTACGCGATAAGTGCCATCCATCCACATTTACAAAACCTGACGGGTTGAAGAGGCAATGCCGACATTAAAAAGTGGGCCCTGGTTAGCGTTGAATATTTATCCTGAGAATTCAGTATTTTTTGGCTCCTGACCGTGAAACAGTTTTTTCAGTACATGTTTTGAAACAAGAATATAATATTCTTTGGATATTATCACAAAACAATGCAATTAACATCAAGGAATCAAATATCACAATAATCAATGTTAAATATGATGACTTCTTTCATTAATCTGTGAATTTAATTCGTTTTATCGCACTTGCATTTACTTGCACTTGCAAGTATTATAAAATGCACTTTAATCTCTTTAAATTGTACTGGGTTAAAAGAAAAGCTCAGATTGAAGCCACCCATAGTAGATTTGTTTCATAAGAGCATTGAGGTCCCATGACCGAAATACATATTGACAGATATGCAATGGCTCCAGTAATCTTAAAATACTTAAGATCTTAAAAATTGATGCCCACAACATATAAAAAACAAAACAGTTTCACATCATTACTTCTTTATCATTCAGCTAACGAATTGATGAATCAACGGCTCGAAATGGCTTAATAGGTAGTGGCAGGTACCCACAGAGGGTGTGGGTTCGATCCTCACTACTGGAAAAATATTGTGTGATGAATATAGTATTCTTCTAGTGTCTGGGTATTTATATATTTATAATTCAGTTATTTACAAAAGAAAAGTATGTACAAGTATGTCAGTCTTATCAGTTATCTAGTCCCCATGGTACAATCTTTGCTTTGTTTGGGACTAGAGAATGTTGTCAAAAATGTGTCCTACAATATTTATTATTTATTGATTAACATGGTAAAAGTCAATAATTTCGCCCTTCTTCAGCATCAACCAATTAAAAACCAAAATCATCTAAAGACTTAACCAACAGGTGGTTAAAAATTCAATGCACATTTGATACATATTTTAAACCTCTTGTTTAAAAACTATTTCTTTTATTAAACAAGGGTTGATTTTTTAATGTATGGTAAAGTGATAAGCGAGCTTGCGGTCAACCTGAAATTGACCCGAAATTTGTAATGAGCAAATTTGCACTCGACTTTATTATTGAGGAACTCGCGGTCACATCGCTCAATTTTCTAAACATTCCCGTACAAGTATTCCCGTGCTACCTCAATGTGGTGAGATCGCGCATCGGCACGACGCAACGCGACGTATAGAACTCGCGGTCACTTCGCTCAAATTCTCTCACGCGACGGTACCGACGCACGCAGTACAGTCGGGCGCACAAGTGTTCCCGCTACCTCGTGCGTGAGGTCGCGCATCGGCACGACGCAACGCGACGTATAGAACTCGCGGTCACTTCGCTCAAATTCTCTCACGCGACTGTACCGACGCACGCAGTACAGTCGGGCGCACAAGTGTTCCCGCTACCTCGTGCGTGAGGTCGCGCCTCGGCACGACGCAACGCGACGTATAGAACTCGCGGTCACTTCGCTCAAATTCTCTCACGCGACGGTACCGACGCACGCAGTACAATCGGGCGCACAAGTGTTCCCGCTACCTCGTGCGTGAGGTCGCGCATCGGCACGACGCAACGCGACGTATAGAACTCGCGGTCACTTCGCTCAAATTCTCTCACGCGACTGTACCGACGCACGCAGTACATTCGGGCGCACAAGTGTTCCCGCTACCTCGTGCGTGAGGTCGCGCCTCGGCACGACGCAACGCGACGTATAGAACTCGCGGTCACTTCGCTCAAATTCTCTCACGCGACTGTACCGACGCACGCAGTACAGTCGGGCGCACAAGTGTTCCCGCTACCTCGTGCGTGAGGTCGCGCATCGGCACGACGTGCAGCTGGCACGCCTGGGGCAGCGCGCGCGTCTGCTGCGCTTGCCTGCCCTCCACAGCGCGCAGCACCCGCTCCTTCTCCGGGCACGCCCACACTGCGCACCCGACTCGCCGCGCCATGCCCATGAAGAACTTCTCCTTGCCTGCAACAAAAATTAATAGAATGATTAGGGAAAGAAACTAAGAAATATTTATTCGGTGCATTACATTATGGGTGATTTTTACCTTCACCGCTGAGCATGTGATAAGTTGGCAGTTAAAATTGGGAAATACATCATTTCATTGGGGACCCCAGGTTTTGAACTAGGGTTGCTTCAGTATATTGAATTATTTAAAACAAGCGCCCAAAGCTATCATGGCTCATGTAAATAAGCCAACAGTACCAGTTTAATAAAGATGACGCGTTAAAATCTCGAAATTGATTCACACAAATTACAGTAATTGGCGTAATTTGAGTGCCTCAATTTCGGTGTTGTTACCAACCATGATTCCTCTCTTTGTTTACAAATAAGGAAATTATGCACAAATACCTATAGTATATGTCCCGCATACAATGAGGACTGAAGCGAACTTCTTGCCAGCTTCCTCCAAGCTCGCCTTCTTTTGCCTGAGCAAATGCAAAGCCATCTCCAGGCTTTGATCTTGCGTGGGGAAGTCGTAGCGCGGGTTGCAATATCTGTTTAAATTACTAAATATAAATAAATTAAATAAACATATTTAGAGTTGATATAACTAAAAAACTTTTACTATAATAGTAAGTACTTCCCAGAAGACCGTCATATGTATTATATGTTTGCATTTGGCTGAAAGACTAAGCAACAAGGCCCACTAATTAGAAGTTGGCAACATATATTGCGTTGCCACATGTTGGTAAACAATCAATATGTATGGTGGGTCACAATAAGTTTGTAAGTTGACAAGACTAAGCTGTTAAACAAACTGTTTGACCAAACATAACTAATATTAACCACATCGCAACCAAATGATCACCATATTTATGTTATTTTTACAGGTGCTCTATTTTTACTTTTTGTGATGTGAATGGCCCGTTAAAGATGCATCCACTATTCACTTACAATTGCAATACTCAGCTTACTGAATCTGAGCTTTGAATATTTGCTCATATAATGTTCACTACTACAGTGTGAGCTAACATATGTATCGCCACATACGTAGTGTCTAGATAAACTGTGTGTATGTCCTTGTTCCAGAAGACTGGATAAGACTCCATGGCTGGAGAGGCACGGAAGTCTCCAGTGTGTAGCAAAGTCTTCCCGTTCGGCAATGTGAACACCAGCATTACTGCACCGGGACAGCTGGAATAAAATATGACTGTCCTTATTATGGTTCTATCACAAGTCTGTGGCCTACGGCTGTTGCACAAAAGGGTCGACTTGTTTGTAGAAGCATCACGGCATAGCGGAAAATCGGCGTAGTGGACGAACTTTTGCTTTTCCCCTCATTAAGGAGTTCACCAAACTCTTTTTTTTTTGTGGTTTAGAAGAAGATTAAATAAGAGTAAGTAAGAATAACTTTTCTCACATTTGTCCCTTTTGGTCCTTACTGGTCAAATTTATACTAAATATTACTAATACCTTGACAAAGATATATTTTGAACTCACTGGTTAGCATCAACTGCGGTAACTTCAACTCCCTCTATTGTTATAGTTTCATCAAGATTCATTATCTGGATGTGTTTTGGATTCACACCCAGCCGTGAAGTGCAAAGGTCCGCTGAAAAATTAAAATAATTAGTTCAGAATTTAAGGTCCATGTTGTAATGTCTAATATTTTAAACTAATAAACTGTTTTAATATTCAGGCTTTTAAGGATAGTATTGGATAGTGTATATTACAATGAGGAGTGTGAGGAAGCTCAAAGTCGCTCAGCGAGCTATGGAGCGGGCTATGCTCGGTATTTCTCTGCGTGATAGAGTTCGTAACGAAGACATCCGCAGTAGAACCAAGGCAACTGAAGCTGAAATGGCGATGGGCCGGCCATATAGCTCGTAGAACCGATAACCGTTGGGGAAGAAATGTTCTCGAGTGGCAGCCTCGTACTAGCCATTGCAGTGTAGGACGACCGCCCACTAGATGGAGTGACGACCTGTGCAAATGTGCGGGAAGTCGATTGATGCAGGTGGCTCAGGACCATACTTCATGGCAGTCTATGGGGGCAACATGGCCTATGCTCAGCAGTGGACTCAAACAGGCTGAAATGATGATGATGATGATATTACAATATCTTTATGGTAAAGAGAGAATCAAATCGGAAACCTTACAAAGACACAATAAAACTTAACTTAATAACATTATAAATAAGACAACATTATAAAGAAGAGAACATTATAAATAAAAAATTCAGACAGAACAATAAATTGATTTTATTAATTTCTGTTAATAAATATTTGTACTCATTAAAAGACTACTTACCAGTGATTTGTGAACAAAACAATAATTTATTAAAACTTTTCTTAAGTCCAGAATAATGGTCTGAATGAAAATGTGTGAGGAAATAATTATTGACATTTGGTATATCGCCATATGAGAAAGCATCCACTGCAAAATGAGTACCTGTAAAAATAATGCACACTTTATTACAAAATTAAAAAATGTAAACTGTGACAGATTGATAAACAGGATAATTTTTCAATATACCAAAAATTTTCACCAATTGTCACATAACAATTTATAACTAAAGACAAAAATAGTCCTTTTCAAAAATGAAAATAAATTAACTTTCAAAATAATACAACTTTTACTATTCTTATATAAGACTCAATTTATACAGAGTATAATATTAATTTATTTATTAACTCTGATTCATGTAATGTATTATTGGCTAATTTTATACAGGGAGGTTTTTCTAAGTGTATCCATTTCTTTTTATTAAATTCTAGACATAAATAATGTTATATAAAAGTGATAAATATTTAAAATCACTGTTAAGTAATTAATTACATTCATTTGAACTTATCTCAAAAAGTGCCTGATTTATACACAACTCATTTGTTATACGCGCGATCGTTCATAACTAACACGCACACAAGTTCGTGCACAATAAAATTTAGGTATTAAGAATGAGTACCGCATTGTCAACGAGTTGTTTTTTAGGGAATAGAATGACATTTCTTTTGAAAAAAAAAGTTTGTTTTTTATTTCAATAAACGATTATACTAACGAGTCTGAAAATCCTGTGTTAATTTGGACACTTCCCAAAAAATCTCCCTGTATAAATGGGAAATATATAAATCAACTAGAAGAATAAAACATGCACAAACACAAGCATTCAAATAATTCAATAACTAAATAATTTGGATAGAGTATTTAGAGAAATAAAAACATTTTTAATATATTAAAATACCTGCAACAATTTTATAAAAAGGGACATTCCGTTGCATAAAATTTGTTTTATTGGATCTAGATTTGCATGGCAAACTAAAATGTAACGAATCCACATTCTTTCTTGGTGAATAAGAACTAATACTGCCATTCTTTATTCGTGGAGAAGGGTTTCGTGGTACCTCAGAACTTGACGCTTTGATATCCTGCTGTCTATGTGCAAAATCTCTTTTAGGTGAGCATAACTTAGACCGTGATTGCATATCATTCTCCTTTAGGACTCTTAAAGAGTTTGGCCTGATTTTATCACTTTTAATCACAGTATCAATCACACCTGAATTCCTATTCATATCCTCCACATCATCAAGCACTACAGGCTCAGCATGGTGTGAATTAATTGGATGCACAGACACAGCACAGTTATTTCCAGATGTTTTTGAGTGCACTACTGGATGATTACATAAATAATTAAGAATGGATTTCTGCTTTAAATTGTCACCACAGATTGATACTTTTCCATACTTCAGGTCTAATCTAGAAAATCTCCCTGCATCAGCTTTTAATTTATCTCTAAATGCAAGTTTTCTTTTCACTAATTTATAATTTGGTGGTTGAACAATGACATGAGAGATCTTCTCAATGGCATTTGTATTTAAAATTAGAACACTATCTCCTTTCTCATAATCTGTAGGCAAACACTTTTTTCTCTTAATTTCTAAATTGACAGCCACAGCTTGCTTTTTTGGTGGACTAGGTATGATATTACCATTCATATTTTCTATTTCATCATCAGAAGACAAGCAAAAATCTTCAATTATTTCACAATCAATATTAGTATTGTTATTTTCATGGATCACTGAGAAGTTTTTGATATTTGAATTTTTTGCACTTACATCAATAGTTTTGCAATTTTCTATGGAAAATGACACTGAAACTACAGGTCTTTCAACAAGATTATAGACAATTGTATTATCACTTTGGGTGTCTAATGTATTAATCAATGCAATATTTTGAGAAATAGGATCTTTAAGTGGTTTTATTTCTTCATCACAACATGAAGTGTTGTCCCTTTTTCTGCTATTTAAATCTTCAATAGCTGAGAAGCCTACAGATTCTGCTATGTCCCACTCAGATTTAGTATGGGTATCAAGTTGTTTGCGAACAGAACATTTTTTTTCTTCTCTGTAAATCTTTAAGAAAAATCAACTGTAATCATGACTAGCATTTAATTGTTGTTGTATTACACTTATTATAAAATTTGTGTAAATATAGGTATTTTTAAAACATTAGGAGTATTCAAATTTTTAACAAGATTCAAAGTCCCATAATATGAACAAATAAAATTTTCACATTATTCTTATATGCAAAGTTCATCATTGTTTCATGCCCACACCGCAACAAAAGCATAATCTTTGGATTTTAAATCCTCTATCTATTCTTTTAGGATCTAGTTATATAAAGGTTTTGTACTTGCACATGTCAAGAAAACAACATAAACATAAATACTCCAACAAACCTTATTTAAAGTTCTTCTGCAACTTGGTCTTATATTGCTTTTCTTCAAAGATAGCGAACAGCGGCTGATAACAGAATGCTGTATTGAAATTGTGTGTATGAATAATATTGTAAATGTACATATTGTTATTATCACATGTATTACATTATGTATGCAAAAGAAAGGATCCAAATGAAAATTAAACTTGAATTAGTAAAAACAAATAATATGAAAATTTATAAACCTGGGTAAGATTAAAATCTGCACTATTTTTTTTAGTGCTCCTCGGATTTAGTATCGAGGGAATGTACTCATTTATGTTATCTTCTTTCATTTTTTACTTAAGTTTCTCATCGATTTAAAAATAATATTAATAAACTATCGGTAGTTTAGTAATTTAAAATATATAATAATTACAAAATAAGTGAATGAAATTGAATATTTATATTACTATTTATAATACATATAGTAGTTGCCAGCTGGTACTTAGTTCGTAGTTAGTTGGTTCAGTAATTAGTTCAGTTCAGTTCAGTTCAGTTCAGTTCAGTTCAGTTCAGTTCAGTTCAGTTCAGTTCAGACTTCAAACTTCAAACTTCAATTCAATCAAATCAAATCAAACATAACCACCCCACCAATATATTCTCTTTGGGTTCAGTGTTACCAACTTTCAAAAATATTTGTCTCTAAAAGTTGTCTATGTCAAACCCCTACAACCCCATAATAAAATATTATTAATTATTAATAAATTAATAAATTCTTAATAATTAATAAATTATTAAGAATTAATAGCTTAACTTACGGGCATTTTACTGTCGAAATGGATGAGCAATACGTGCAATTTCGTTGCCTACGGGAAATGATGAGCCATGCGCCCCGCATGGGGTTATGCGGGCGCGAAAGTTGCAATGGTACCAAAAATAGAAAGGGAATCTTTTTATTCTCCCTTTTCAAAAAATATTGCCCTTTAATTAGGATAACATTATCCTGTGTTGGAAGGACGTTTTACAAACATACTTACCTGTGGGTCAAACCGTAATGAAATAACGCCTTTCATCTTTTAAGATACGCCTTATAGTTGATATTGATTCCTTTTATATATTTTTTAATTGGAATACTAAAATTTTAAGTAATTATGATCAATTTTAGATCTCGCTAATCATAGTCTATGCAAAATATATCCAATGTAATATTTAGATATTTATTGTACGTAGACATTCTTTGAGAGTTGAGATAAATCAAATCTAATGTATTGTACACGCAAATACCTTACACTAGCTAGGTTTCTATGTGTATGTGTAGGATCTTTGAATACACGTCAGCTTAATTTTAGTGTTACCATTTCCTTTTATTGTATGTTAATGTCAGTAGTTTTATATAGATTTATTCTTGTATGAAATAAAACGTGTGCGAACCATTTTATTTTTTAAAAAACAATTTTAATAGCATCTAAAACTCTACTCATACTGCGTGTAATTTATTTGGTAATATTCAAAGCATTGTTTAAATTATTGTCCCGATTCATTTCACTTTTAGTAGAAAATTTAAAAGTAGATAGCATCTCATGAGGATATCAACATTACCAATTCTTTTTAGTTGTAGATATACATTTGACTGGAGTGTTCGTTTATTTGTTTAATATTATAAAACGAAGTGGTTTATAAAATCAAAGCTATATTTTGTTAAAAAAAATATTTAATTGACTTTGAACTTGGATCTTTGTCGTATGTAAGTATTATTTTTATTTTATTTTAAACTGTTAGGTTAGAAACTGCATCAATTTCTGCTGACTGTCCTAAATGATTTATATTAAACTTTATAATAAGTATATGCTTATTACACTAGGGGCTGACAGTGGCTTTTTTATTTTGTATACGCTCAGACAGTAACTATGTATCAATTTATATATAAATGTATAATTTTTTTTGTATCGTTATTAATCGATATGAAATAATGATTCATATCTGAACAAATGGTAGGCAAAATATATGTTCTACGATATAAATACTTCTTCATTAATCGTTACCGACTACAGCGTCAGCATCGTGAAATGGACCCATCATATACACTGTATTAGTTTCAAGTATGTTATATTAATAAAGATAATTTTATTTTACTACATAAAATGTTACATAATATAAAAAAAATTGTATCCCAAACACTAAAAATATTGTATTACTTTGTGCTTCAACATTCGCTTCAAGTTTACCTGGACAAGGATTTGCAAGACAGTGCATGAAGAAACTATGTGAAATATGAAGCAGTGCTTTATACATTAAAGTTGTTTAATTAGAAGCAATTAAAGAATGACTAAAACGGCTAGTGCTAGACGTGCCCGAAACCAAGCTTCATCTCTTGCTGTGCCAAGACAGAACTCAATATCAGATAATGGAAGGGCAAGGCAGAACCCTAGCTGTGAAATGCTTGCAGCAATGAACAAAGAACAGCTTCGAGCTGAATGCAGAAAAAGGGGCCAACGGTCTTCTGGCAACAAGAATGAACTGGTATACAACTGTGTGATTTGTCTTTGTGCTTAATTTATTTTTTTGCTGTCAGTAATGTGTTGCTTATATTTCTGATAACAGTACTGTTTGCAAAGTAAAAGCAGCTAATTAGAGCAATCATTTGTCTATATTCAGTGTGCATATTAAATACATAATATGTATGTTTATTTAATGTAGATTTAGAAAGTAAAAAAAGCACTAATGTAGTCACTGAGCCATTCATTACATCATTAAGCTAATATTATCATCAATAATGAAATATGTATGTTGTCGTGGTAGGAAATCTATCTTACTACATATACATAACTGAAAATATGATATTAAAGTTTTAAAATCTTTACATTACTATTACTGATATATGCACTAAACTCAAATAAAGATAAGAGTGGCCCCACTTTTTTAATATTATTTGCCAGAATAGGAGTTTATATTACAACATCAAAGTACTGGTACATGACCATTTTATAGTGCCCCCATATGTATAAGATCATCTCTTCAACTGAAAAACAAAATGTGTTATGTGACCATTAGTGGAAAAGTGATGAATGTATTATAAAATATGGAAAGAACATTACACTTAAATCTTTTGATGCTGTGGAAACCACATCAATATACTAATTGTACATAATTAGTATCCTTTTTATACAGTGGTAAGAAAGCTTTGCTATAGATGATTTTTTTGAAGTCCTATCAGCTATCAATGTGGCTGTTAAGTGAAAGTATGCTTTCCTCCTTTCACTTAACTAATTTACCTAATAGTAGTGATTGGTTATTGCGGAGAGTTTCCTTAGTAACCGGATATTGAATAATATCTATCATCTACAAATTTTATATATTATCTTTAGAATTATAGTAACCTATTTAATAAAATTATAAATTTTTGGGAAACATAAAATAAAATTTGCGCACTTATGAACAAATGCGGTGATTGTAGGGGAGTGAGAGATCAAAACATATGTTATGTTAAATTTTACGCCAAAATCGGCCCTTGATTTGATAAGAGTAAAAAAAGGTTGTTGTTTTAGGTAGTTCCCTGACATAAAGACAAAATCATGATTTTCTTATTTAGGTCCCTTTAGTTCTGTAGGTATGAACAGAACTTTGTTAGAGTCTAGCATTGTTTTTATCTTGACTGTTTCACATGGCCCACTGGTTAAAATGGTGTGAACATGGAAAAAAAATGTTCTAAATTTCTTCTTCGCACTCTTTGTGGTATGCAACTGGCCACCAATGTCAATTCTGGCATAGAAATGACGACTCCATGGCGCAGTTGCCAAGTTAGTATTATCCTCTACAAGATAATAACAATTATCTTACAGGAAGGGCAACATTTTTATTGATAAAAATAATATTAAAATTTTAACATAATTGCCAGATAAAAGAGACTGCAAACAATCTCAAATGTATCAAATGTATATATGTATATGGTGTATTAACTATGATTAAATGTTGGACTCTGCTGACTGTGTACAATTATGTCCGTAGTAAAAATTGACTTCTGTAACGCAATATGACCGCACCCTGACTGTTTTTACCAATTATTGTTATGTCCCCCTGTCCCATTACGAATAGTTACCGCCCTAGTGTCAAGCGTCCCTTTCCACATCCACACATTTTAGCCATCGAGAATATTCTATATCAGTTTGTCTCAGTCGACATATCACGCACTCAACGTAACACAAATGTTTTACTATGGTAGGGCCACGCAACGGTTATCTGTGTTGCATAAATCGGCTGCGTGAGATCGTGGTAGTTGTGAGTAGACGCAATTGAACAGCTCGTCGTTGTAAAGAAACAATGTCATATTTGTTCTTTCGAATATGACAGGGCGTAATGTCATTTTTAAAATGCGAACTATCATTTCAAAATGCATCTTTTAGGCCAAATCTTTTGGTTGCACCACACTATGAGCGTCGAGCTAGTTGATTTTTTCCCCAGTAAAATTATAAACGCGAGTCTCCTAATAAAATGGATGAATGTATAATGCGATGCCGATGAGACGTCAACCATGGCTGGGTCAGCTAAATATAAAGTGGACAGAAATCGATATTTAACCAACTGTTCTCATGTTTGATTAGTTCGATAGAATATTTTTTCCCTTTTTCATTAAAAAAAGAATTTGGCTATTTTATTAAAAATTGAATTGAAAAAAAGAATTTGGTTACACTCTGAATGCATAAGTTTCCTTTCTTTTTAACCGACTTCAAGGAGTAGGTTCATTGTTCGACTGTATGTATTTTTAACATATTTGTTCGGTCATATCTCTTGCAATTTGTTTGCAATGCTCAGTCAAATTTAACGTCTATCGTTATGCATTAATGTCATTTATACCTGTCACTTAAGCGACCTTATCTATTTGCTCTTTTTATTTTATCAAAGTATGCCCTGGAACATGTTTGTAGGATATTCTGAATATTGTATTGAAACAATGATACGTTCACTGCTTGACAAAAATAAACAATTTCATTTGTTATGTTTCAGAGAAGCTTGTATTATGTTTGGACAGAATGTCTGAATGGCAAAAAAAAGGATCGCTGAATTGAATTCAAAAGCAACCGCTTAAGCGTTTTGACTTTCTCGAAATTTTGATTACCATCACTTTGAATATTCTATTGTGCACTAAGTGAGGCTATGCCCATTAAGAAGAATTTAGATGGTTAATTACTACGCGCTTCCTGATAATTTTTGAACCGTTATATAATATCATTATCCCCGTACCTGGCCCGAGAGATATGGTCGATTACCATCCAAGGGACTATTCGTTAATAGAAGAATTTTCTTTACACCCAACAAATTGACTTATGAAAGTAACTGTACTCTCCCAAATCGCTTTGTGTAAGTTGTTTCGTAGTCGCCTATCTATCTTTCTATACATAAAAAATAAACTGCTGTTCGTTAGTCTTGCTAAAACTCGAGAACGGCTGGACCGATTTGGCTAATTTTGGTTTTGAAATATTTGTTTGGTTTAAACGTGGAGAACCTATGGAAAAATTGCACGGAAAATCGAAATAGCAAAATGTTTATTTTCCAATACAAACTGTTCCTACTTTTCAAACATGCGTGCGTTCCAAAAATTTGATTAGAAATAATATTATAAAGAACTATTTTTATTTTTCCGACTTGGAACAATTTCAAATGAACCAATTAAATGCCTAAAACCTTTCATCTTCTTACAAAATGCACGGAACCTGTAACTGTAACGGTTATTAAGATTATTCACAGAGCTGACTTTGTCTCTATGCGGTTAATAGTTTCAGCTTATCAAAGCGAATTAAAACCTAGAGGCATGCCGCACGCGCGACGAAACTATATTTTTTTAGAACACAGAATATAGGACAAGAGTTCGCTGTCAATGTCGACTTCTTTTTAAAAGTAAAGAGTTTTTTCAGATAAAGAAACGTTATTTTATGAAAACTATTTTTTTACCATGCATTTTTGAGTGTAGCGAATAATCCAAGCAATTACTTTCGCTAAGAAATTAAACGCGATTGAAAACTCGCTACCGATCCCTCTTCGCTTAAAGCATGCAATTAATTAATTAAAATGATTTTATGTGTAAGTTCAGGGTGGAAATTAGTTTTCGTACGGCCAATTAGCGTGAATGGAATAATTTCAGTTGTGTTCAATATGCTTACCATTTTATTAATTTATAGGACAAACAACAATGGCGATGTAAATAACATATTACCTGCTGGCAGAAGCTTTAGCTCTGTGCTACTTCTTTGTTGAACAAAGAAGTAGCACAGACTTCATTAATTTGCGAAGTTCTATGCTGAATACTTGCTAATAACAAGTCGATTTCACGAATAAACGAGCTTATAGCTCGTCAAGTGCTAATTGAAGTCCAGGCGCGCTGCAATTACCCATTAACAAGAGTTTTTATCCACGTTTTTAATAGTTATTCATATCGTTAATATTAATAATTATTAGTAGTGGACGGCGAGTGGTCGACCATAATTGATTAAAATTTTAAGTTTCAACAATATTAATCTATTCTCAAATACAATACACAATAAACAAAAGAGTATGCGAAAGAGTGTGACAAATTTATGAATAAACACACTACGTGTTTAATGAAAAAATCATATATTGATTTAATGTATGGATAAACCATAATTTTAAAAAAATGTTAGCATTCTGCACTCCGCCTCTATATAAACTATAAGTGTGGGAAATTTCATATTCATCCGTCCACGCAATTTCGTAAAAATGGGTAAAAAATGTTTACTTCACGTGTTAGTCTAAAGATAACGTTTTAAAAATAAACAATTACACAAGTAGCTGTGATGAAAACAAAATTAAAATATGTATTATAAAAGGAGAATTATTGTGACCGGTACATTTCTGCATTTATTACGGCTTAGGGGCAGGGTTATAACAGAGGTTGCACGACTGCGTAGGTGTTGTAGATGTCATGGGCGGCGGTAAAGCCTTAACATCAAGTGAACCATCTGCACGCGTGCGAACGTTTACTTAACTAAACGTACATTACGTAACTAAAATACATTTGTTGATATTAATTTGCAATGATAAAACTTTTCCATCGTCGCTGTCGCAATTTCTTCGGAATATGGAAATAACGACGTCCTTTTGTTTTTCCTTATTACCCGAAGAAAGCTCTATCTTATATCTTATATCATATGTCAATCATCTGCCCTGAAATGATATTGTATACATATGTAGTACAAATTCAAATATCTTTATTCAATATTGAAGCATCTCTTACTTATTGATTGTCAAAATACTATTACCGGCTGGTAAACAATCTGCTGATCCGAGAAGAACCGCCGAAAGAAACTCGGAGGGACAATTTTTTTTACATAATTTGACAAAAAAAATACTTACAATATATTAAATTCCACTTAATGGAGCCAGGAGCGATCATCATGTCCAGTGTAACCAGAACTAATTAATTATAATTGATATCTTGGACTGCAAAAGAGACATGGTGTGGCTATTATGTTTTATGACCAATCGGGGTCATTTCGCCATACTGTCAT